AAGGGGCAATGGGTGCAAGCTGGAGCATGGGGGGTTCCATGTAAACATAAGGAACATCTTTTCCACTGTGAGAGTGACAGGACACCGGGGGGACAGGCTGCCCAGAGGGGTTGTGGAGTCTCCTTCTCTGGAGACATTCAAAACCTGCCTGGATGCCTTCCTGTGTGACCTGCTGTAGGTGATCCTGCTCTGGCAGGGTTGGACTAGATGATCTTTCAAGATCCCTTCCAACCCCTACCATTCTGTGATTCTGTGATTCTGTGAAAACAGGATTTAAGTAATCTTTGCAGCTCCTTCATCTTGCAGCTGTTTTAGCTTCTGCTACCTCTACATCTGCTTTAGCCCATTGCAGAGGATGTTCCATAACAATAATGCTCCTCATTGTCTGCTTCTTCTGAGTGCAGTAAATGGAGTTTCCAGCTTTTGATCCCAGACAGAAAACAAAACCCCTGTAAATGGAGAGTATATCAGACAAGAGCCAGAGGAAGTAATGGCCTGCTGAAGTACCTTAGAAACTATTGATTCTCACTGCTTCTTCACAAACTGCAGGCTGAGTTCTTTAATTTTCCTGATGTCTTGCTACTCAGGGCTTGTACTGCGACATCCGACAGCTGGTCCAGTTTATCAAGGAGGCTCATGGGAATGTCTTTCGCAGAGTGGCACTCAGTGCCCTCTTAGACAGTGCTGAAAAGTTAATACCAGGGAAAAAAACAGAGGAACCGGAGCAAGAGCCAAAACCTTCTGGGAGCAAAAGGTGGGTGTCTGGGAGGGAGAAGGCAAATGACTGACTTGTGTATGACTGTATGACTACATGCACTGAACAAAAATGTAGGCAGTCCAAGGGCTTGTATGTTTTATCTTGGTAACATATGTCAGTTCCTGATCTATAGAATTGTACTGTGTCACCAGTCTCCTTCTGAATTTAATGAACTGAGGCGGTAATAGATTTGCAGCAAAACGTGCTAACCCTCTCATACAAGAGGCCTAAGAGAACAGTGCAATGGAAACACCGGGAGGAGGAAAGGTTAAAAGAAGTAAGAAGCATGTCAGTCCCAAAACACTGTGTGGACACAGCTTTTAATATGCATCCCATCCTTAGTCTTGTTTATCTGACAGGTAAACCCTGATATACAAAGCCAAGCCCCAGAAGAAATCTAATCCTGACATACTTTGTCGAAAATAAATTTTCTCTAGTGCTTTGAGGCTTGTCATATTAAAATGTTAGGAAGAAGGATTAAGAAAGTTGAAAAATTCCTAAAAACCTTGACTTGCTTCTAAGAGCTGATGCCTTTTTCCTGAATGATATATATAGAGGCAGTAAGTTGCTAAAGAGAGGGTATATCTCCAAAGCTGCTTTGTTGCCCAACAGTGCTGGTTTCCCTGTCATGTAGCTATGTGGTGACCATGAGATGGGCCATCCATTTGCTTTAGCTGATGATTTATGTTGTCTGTATAGATCCGAGGTGGGAAACGTCATTGACAAAGGCCAGGCGTCAGCTGCCACCGATGAATGCCGTAGTTACGTCTCAAGCCGGCCAATGCAAACTCCAGAACAGTAAGTAAATATTGAATTGTTTCATGTGTTATTGCTAGCAGTTTCCTTCTGAGGTTAGTAGAAATCGGTAGGACAGCAAGGACTTCTCTCTTTGTACAGTACAACAAATGTGTTGTGTCTGTTCAGGAGCTTCTGATAGCATCCAGGTAATGCCTGTTTTCAATGCTGGCAACTGGACCCACCCTGAATTTGCGGGGGGAACCACCAGAGGTTTTCAAATGACAGTGCAGTAGAGTTATCAATATCATATTGACAAATAGGGCCATGAGGATGATCCGAGGGCTGGAGCACCTCTCCTGTGAGGACAGGCTGAAAGAGTTGGGGCTGTTCAGCCTGGAAAAAAGAAGGCTCCAGGGAGATCTTACAGCGGCCTCCCAGTACCTGAAGGGGCTACAAGAAAGCTGGGGAGGGACTTTTCATAAGGGCAGTTAGTGACAGAACAAGAGGAAATGGGTTTAAGCTGAAAGAGGGGAGGTTTAGATGAGATATTAGGAAGAAGTTCTTCACTGTGAGGGTGGTCAGACACTGGAACAGGTTGCCCAAGGAAGTTGTGGCTGCTCCTCCCTGGAAGTGTTCAAGGCCAGGTTAGATGAAGCACTGAGCAGCCTTGTCTAGTGGAAGGTGTCCCTGCTCATGGCAGGGGGGTTAGAACTGGATTAGCTTTAAGGTCCCTTCCAACCCAAACCATTCTATGATTCCATGATTCTATATACTATCATAGCCATGAATAGAGTGCTAATTCCTCAGAGATGTCATCACAGCTGTTATCCATGCCTTGTTTGTACTTCTAGGGGATGATTCTATTAATTTTCAACTTTCAAGTTGTTGCTAAGGGTCGTTAATCCTTTACTGCCTCTCAAGAGCCAGCCCATTCCTGACCTATCTTGGACACGTAGGTTCAGAAAAGTGTTGCATTTCCATAATCAGCACAGGTTTCTTAATGAGTGAATCAGCCTGCTGTTAGGCAGTGGACATTTGAAGTCTCTATTGTCTAAAGAATTCTGCCATTTAATATTGAAATAAATCTAATGAATACTCTGAAGAATTTTAGAAAATTTTATAAATGACCACTGGTCTCTATGTAACTTTGGACAAGTCATTTAACTTCTCTGTGCCTCTAAATATCCCCCTGTCTTGTTAAAGTGCTTGGTGAGGCACTGTACAAAGACATTGCTTGCACAAAGGCCCAGAGCTCTATAATATAGTATTCTCCTATGTTAACTGAGCCTGCAAAGTCTCACTGTTGCCGAGACTGCAAGGATAACACAAAGCTCTTTACTGCCCTGCAGAGTTGCAGCAAGCTGTTCTGCTCTGAGCCCTGCAACAGCTGTGGGAGATCTCAAGAGTATACCAAAACATGCTGTCCCCATTCTAATCTCTTAATGAGAACTGTGACTCCAGCAGGTTCCCAAATGGCTCTCGTGATGTCCAAAAGCTCTCCTGTACACATGCTTGTAGAAAGCACCAGTGTAGTCTCATCAGTGTGGGTCACTTTGACCTAAAGAAGATGATTTGTTTTTCACGTGTAGAAACTAAAAATTTGAAGGACTTGTTCAGTGGACAAGCTCCTCAGGGTAGAAAAGATGGTTATTTCGTGCCTTGAACAATATTGAGCATGTTGTCAAACTTGATTATGTCCCACTGAGAAGAGCATGTTTGAAATTCAAAATGAAAAAACATCAAAGAATAGAGAGGTCAGGAGGGGGCTGCAGGAGGTAAGTCTCATTCCCCTGAGCACCTAAACTTCACTGAAATGCAGTTCATGCTCCACATCTCTTTTTTTCCAGTGATGAGCAAAACCAAGGGGCCGTTCTGGGACGCAAGGACTTCTGGCGAAAGATGTTCAAGTCACAGAGTGCAGCGAGTGATACCAGTAGTCAGTCTGAGCAGGACACGTCCGAGTGCACCACTGCTCACTCTGGGACCACCACAGACAGGCGCTCCCGCTCCCGTTCCCGACGAATCTCCCTTCGAAAGAAACTCAAACTCCCTATAGGTAAATGTATGTCTCTTCCTATTCTAATTCATATTGCATGTGCAGAGAAATACAGATAGATATATCTGTCTTACGAAATATTGCAACACAGTTCCTTATTGTCCAAGTATATTGTATGTTCTCCCACAAGAAGCTGGGAAATGCTGCTCTCTCCATTTTGCAGATGGGCAACTGAGGCAAAGGGAAACATAAGCAATTTGCTAAAGGTAACAGAGGATGTCTGTGGCAAAATAGAATACTGAATCCATGTCTCCAAACTAGTAGACTAGTACCTTAGTCTCACAGGCATTGTTCCTCTCTGTAAAAGAGAAATATTCCAAATAGCACTTGATAGACAGAGAATGTATCCTTTACAAGTCCCAGGACACAGCCTTGCATGGTAGTTTAATGCATGTAACATGAAAAGGTTACCTTCCCCTTTCCTCCCATTTTCCCATACCCTGGCATGGCCATTTTGGAGAAATATGCTGCAGTTGCTAATAAACAGATTCTGCTTGGAAGCATTTTCAGAATTGTCCTGAGTGGCTTATTCTGCAACAGGGAACTGGCTGAAGCGCTCCTCCCTCTCTGGCCTGGCTGATGGGGTGGAAGATCTTCTAGACATCAGCTCTGTCGACCGTCTGTCTTTCATCAGGCAGAGTTCCAAGGTAAATGTGTCGGGTGGGATCGCACCAAGCTTGGAAGGACAGGATCTGGCTGGTTTTAGCTGTCTGGGGAAACTTTCTACTCGATACGGACATTGCAGCCAATATGTCTCGGTCACAGAAGCCTTCAGAGCAGAGTGCCATGAGAATTTGATACTGGACATTTGTGGCTCACAGCAAAGACCAGGCTAAAGCTACGCTGTATGTGACAGTCTGCCTTGATTCACTGAGAGAGAAATGCAGGCTCTGTCAATGCACTTAATGTTTAACTTTTGGTCAGACTTCTCCTTCCTTCTTTGTGCCTTTACAGCCTCTTGTGAAAGACCAGTCCATTAAGCAGAAAGCTTAAAAGATTAAGTGCTTCAGCACACGTAAATCTGTTCAGACTCACTGGTGTTGCTATGGTGATCTACTGTGTTACAGCCCTTCTGTAGATGCTTTCTATGCAAGCAAGGGAGACCAAGAGATAGTGGAACAGCACAGCCTGACCTCTTGTCTTTGTGCAGGTGAAGTTTACCAGCGCAGTGAAGCTGTCAGAAGGAGGGGGGCTAGGAGGTGGCATGGACAACGGCCGAGATGAAGAGGAGAATTTCTTCAAGCGTCTTGGTAAATGGCGCACCTGCCGAAGACACCCATCCAAGCTTCATCACACAGAAGAAAAAGATGGTTAGAAATCAGGGTTCTCGTCTCCTTTTTTCTTTCTTTTTATCTTTTTTTATTTAAATCTATTTCTTTCTGTATTTTACGCCTTTCCCTTTTTTCCTGCTTTCTCCATAGTTTTTGTATCCATTCTAGCCTTCTCCAACTTTTTAGTCTTTGTAACTGTTTTCTTTCCCTTCCTTCTTTCTTTTGTTTTGATTTAGGAAAAAACTCTAGTAAAGTTGATTTTTTAAAGAATCAAGACTATCCAAATAAATTATGCTAATACAACATTTGGGCTTTTAAAATCAAATTGAATTTGATTGACACACTTGAAAAATCAATGCTTGCTTCAAAGCGCTTATTCAGTACAAAATGAGATGTGTAAATCTTTTATTGCCTAATATAACAATGGGTATTCCATCAGTTTTTTTGTTTGTTTTTATTTTTTCCCCCACTTTGTAACCATTTGACAGTTTTAGCAAAGATCAGCACTGATGAAATGGAAAACCCTGCACAAACCTTGTTATAATTATCTCTTTTCTTCTGTGTTTGCATGTCTAGTGTCTGCATACCATTCGTTAGGGATGCTGTCCCTTTTTCTTAGCACACAACATAATAATAATAATAACACTACTTTTCCTTTCCACGGAAGTATATTTAATTGCAATGTGTTTTGAAAATCAGCAATGTTTGAAAAGTGCCTTTATGAATAATACAAGGTCATGATATATTCTGTTTTAAAATGTCATGCAGTCATTCACATGCTCATGTCCTCAGCTCAGAGCTCATCCTTGTTGTCAGGGAGACAACCTTGTATCTTGAAGTTCTATTACTGTTTTTTCAAGAAAAACCAACCCAACTCCCAAAAACACACAAAAAGGATTAGATCTTCCTTTTCACCATGATTTCTGTAGCTTTACAGTGTGTTACATTCTGTGGCATTATGTTTTTTATTTCCTGACATTACACTTTGACACTGCATTGTATATATTTCACCATCATCTGTCCCAGACCTGCAGTATAATGCATGTAAGGCATTGTTCAGGCAAGTGATACTAGCAAGTATGAGCACATCTCACCAGTGTAAACTGGTCAGCACTCTACCACTGCAGAAACACTGATGGTGGTTTTCAGCCAGCTCCTAGCTGGAAAGTGTCATTCCTTTAGAAGAACAATCTATCAGCCCAGCAGCTTGTTGCAGCTTGGTAGCTGAAATTGAATAGCTCTGCAATGGAAGGTACTGCGTTGATTTCTTCATCCACTACTTTGTGCTGAAGCAGGTGTGAAATACTTCCACCTTATTATCTCCCAGCTCTTACTGGGAACAAACAAATGCGGGGAGGTGAGATCTTTATAGACTGCCACAACTGTTTCTACAGTGCTCCTGTGAGATGTCCTTCATATTTTCTTGTAGGATTTTTTTTGTTTTTTCATCTTTCTAATGCTGATTTTATGCCACTGTGAATTTATGACACTCTTCTGCCTAGAGTGCCCATATTCTTGATTTAATGGCACAGATTTAGTCTTGGCCCTGTGAGCATCGAAAACCTTGTTCAGTATGCGTGGCACATCTTATATCTATACAAAACTCAGATGTCACATTAGTTTTGGCTTTTTGAACTTTGGAAGTGTTGTCCATACTTCAACCTTCCGTGAGTAACGTCAGAATTTACGTAATTAATGAAGAGAATTTGAAACATCTTCTACAGGCCTGTGAGAGAAGAGATATACATGACACATGCTTGGTTTTGACATGTGCATGCATTAGAAATACCAAAATGAAAGTGATGCAGTGGGTTAAAGACAGAGACCCTTGCATGTTAGCAGGAGAAACAGGCAAATTGTCCAGTGATGTTGATGGGGGGGGTTGGGCTGTTGCCTGATGACTAACTGAAGCAAAGGGAGGGTATTTAAAGTTTACAAGACAAAGTGTGACAGTTGAGGAAGTTGTATCACCTTTTCCACAAGGATCTCTGGTATGCAATGAAAGCCACATACCATTAGCAAAGATATTAGTGTAGTTGTACCTGTCTGTGTGTGTGTGTGTGTGCACTTCTATGGGCGTAGTGAAATCAATGTGAGGCCTTTTCCGAGTGTAGCAATTTATAACGCAGTAGAACAGCAACGTTACAGATGGCCTTCAAACTTCCAGTGCTCTTCTATCTTCCATAAAGATCAGCAGGTTTTTTGTGCTTATGGAGAAGTGAATATAAGCCTGTTGAAGGTGGGTAGGCATGTTATTAAATCCCTCAAGGTCTGACCCTAAAGCATTGTTTTGGAACCTATTTCTGCCTTCCCATTCTTGCCATTCATGATGCTATGCCATTACTTTGTGCATGCTTTTTTCATGTGGTGTTTCCTCTTGTGTTTTTGGGTTTTTTTAACATAGTAGACCAAATTTAAAAGAAAACAGAGAGAGGAGAAATGCATTACATTTAAAAAAAATAATAAAATGCAGAATAACTTGTCACATCATTTATGAATTGTAATCTTGTGATATATCATCTAGACCACTGGAAATTCTATGTTGGGTGTGTATGTAAGCATACGTATGTGTGTGTGTATATCTGTATGTGTGCATATGTATACATATAGATACACATAAATATATGCACATTCATGCATAACAAAATGTTTATTTTAATGATCTTTTTTTACCTATACTAAGAACACAGCATATATACAGAAGTGAGTTGCAGTATGTTTATTTGAGACCCCTAACGTTCCTTCAGGCACTTACTGAAGACATTGTGAGTGACTGTAGAAGTTGCCAGGGTGTTCAAGGCATACAGCACAGGTGAACCACAGCACATCCTTGCTCCGAGAGGTGATCTTGCATTTGCACAGGAAGCAACTGTGGAGGTGGGAGCTTGGGCATCCAGTGTCCTCCTATGTTAGGAAATGGTCTCTGCTCACTGGGTGAGATTTTCTGCAGGGCTGAGTCACATACCATGAAGCCAGTGGAGGGCTCCCCTGCTTACAGGCTGCTCCTGGATTGGTGTAGTCAACTGCTTCTGAAGGATTCTCTTGCAAAGCTTCAACAAAGTGCAAGGCTGGGACTGCAAAGGGCTATAGGGATAGACTGTAGGTAGTACCACTGAGCCCAGACGGACAAAGCCTTTGCTAGATGTTTATAGTGGGGGTTAGGGAAATGCCTTAGGCATGTCTTCATCAGAAAGCCAAGTTTCTGTTCTTTATCTTATATGGGCACAGCCCTAACAGTGCCCTGAATAGAAGAAACATTTGTTTGTACCTCAAATGAGTTAGTGTTACAACAGCCATGGCAGGAAGGCTGAGATAGCATGCTACAGGCTAAAAGGAAACAGGAGGAGTTGGAAGAAAAGGGTATTTGTGCCTGCTCATTTGTGTAAGTGTTCTACCTGTTCTTTCTACTTTATTTGTTTGTTTGTTCCATTTTGATAAAGTATTTCCCAACATAGGAACATTTTGTTTACTGGAAAACTATGTACAGCTTCACTGGAGAGAGAAAAGCTACAGTTGTAAAGAAGTCTCTTGAAATTTGATATCCCTCTGTCTTCAGGGGGAAAGTGAAGATCTACATTGTGGTTTTCTGTTGTGACTATTGTTTGTGGTACATAAGTGCTTTCCAAGTAATTCTGTGGAGTGCAATCTCAAAGGGACTTTGAGTTTTCAGCCATTCTTCTTTCCTGAGGAAGGAGAAGTCACAAAGTCCTGTATAGCTGATGTTTTTTGGATCTTGTCTTTCAAATCCGTGTTTAAAGTCAATCTTGAATTCTTCACTCGGTGTTCTCTTCTTCAGTGCTCTATCCTTCAATTCTGTAAACATTTGTACTTTCACATGTAAACAGAGAGAGTATTATAGATAAAGACAAAAAGCCCAGAAGTTGACTATTCTTATTTTGACCAGCCACCTTGGCCTTGAAACTACTTTCCTAATATCTCACCCGTATCTTTTGACCACTCTCTCAACTCTGGGTACTGACTGCATAATGATCTTCTGCCTTCAGAAGTGTTCATTCCAATCAGCAATGGGATTAGCTGATTTATCATGTAAATTCTATACATGGAGTTTAAAATCATGTTTGAAACAAGCCCTGGAGGAGGGTGCTAGCTTAATTTTCCAAAGGAATTCTCATTAGGGAGCTTTCCATCCCAAAGAGTGCAAGGCACTTCAAGAGAGAGGGGCTGGAATTATGATGTTAGCTAAGAGCTGAGTCCAGCCTCGCTTTAGGTGTTCTGGTAATCGCAGAAGATGTATGCCTAAAAAATGGACACTACTTGATTTCCACATAGAACATTTCCAATATTTGCTATGGGTTTTTCTGTCCTAGTAGATGATATATTCCTAAACTGATACATGAGGAATAAGGTTTATGCATTTTCCACTTTAAGGTAAACTTAGACGCAACATGAAGTAAGATTATTCAGGAAAAACGGACACTGGGCATTATGTTCTGTGCTAAAGAGGTGGTGAGGAGGGGGCCATATTCTGGTTTTACCTATGTTGGAGTAGGTCCTGGGCTTCCACACTGAGTACAGTGGAGTTGCTTTGGGCAGACATCAGTATGACCAAGATCGGAATTTGTCTTGCTGTACGCCATGAATATTGTAAAAATGCCCCTGTTGTCTTCAAGATAGCACGTCAAGGTGAGGAAGGGATTTAGACCAAGACTGTACTCATCAGGGGTTTGTGCCGCTTTTTTTGTTGGTGAGAGACTGTGTTCCCTTCTCCCTACCCCTCCCTGCATCCCTTCTGTACTCTCTACCTCTTCAGGTGGCCATAGCTTTGATGATCACTTGACCTCCAACCAAGAAGGAGGAAAATCCAAGAACGTTGTGAACCTGGGAGCAATCCGCCAAGGCATGAAGCGCTTTCAGTTTCTCCTGAACTGCTGTGAACCAGGCACTATCCCCGATGCCTCCATTTTGGCAGCAGCCCTAGACCTTGTAAGTAATTCGTTGGTGTATTTTTACCTGCTGAGTGAGAGCATGTGCATACGTGGTGGTCCGTTGTCATTCCCTAATGCTGTTCATGCCCGCACAGAAAGCAGGTGAAGCATCACAGCAATGCCAGCTGGTGCTGCTGTTATTAGGTGGCGTTTTAGCATCTGTAACTGGATGAGTATGCAGACAAAATATTACATGGCTCCCCATAATTAGATTATTGCCACTGCGAAGCTTTTGTTGTTAGACTTCAAATTTTGCTCACAGCCATTCTGCTTCTGCTCCTAGTATCAATGATAACCTACAGAATAAGGATTGAAGACTGGATAACTACCTGGAGAGGCATAATTCCACTCAGGAGTTCTGACAGAGTTATATTACGTGAGGCAACACTGAACTATTAGTCACCAGAGCCAGTCAATGGAAAAAAAACAGAGTGTGCATGATTTTAAATGCAGATACTGGTAATTTGCAGATCCAAATCACAGAAGTGACACAATTCAGTCCCTCCTTCCTGACACTGAGTGTCTCTTCTGTATCTCCCTCCTTCTCTTCCTTGAAGCTGCTGGGTTTTTTTAACAGTTCCTTCCATTTCTAAAGCAGTGGCCTTCAGCCTGTGGTGCATGGGCCAGTGGGGCTCTGTGAGGTGCTTATGTGACAGGCACAAGAGTGTGACAAAGAGAAACTATGAAAAGCCAGCCAATTATTAGTAACTTCTCTGCACATCGCTCTTCTACTTCATTCCAGAAGTGTTTGGATGTCTGCAAACTGAAAAAGCTTGAAAGCCACTGCTCTCAGAGCATCCACATCCTTTCTATCCCTTTGTCTTCCTGCTCCCTGCCTCTTGCCTCTTTGATTGTCATACCATTTGTGCTGATACTCACTTTTTTTGCTTGCTGCTGAAGGTGCCAGGCTTATGAACTCTCCCGTTATTCTAGTGCTGTGCCCCCAGCTGTGCTGCCTTGTCTGCTCCATAGTTCTAGGGATGATGTGCTCTGTGCTCCATGCCTTGATACTTTCTTCTTAGCCTTGCATCTGTAGGCTGCAGTTTCAAGCAAGTCTGTGTTAATATTGACCCAAAGTTGTAGTTGCTATCAGTTCATGTTGAGCTCTACTATTTGGACTGGTCCCTGTCCATTTTCCAGTAGACAGGTGTTTTCTTTACTAGTTTGCATTCTTCCTGCTGGAAACTTTTGGCCCTCTGGCTGGAAGCTATGGAATGGTGGCTGATAGGGAAGTCCATCTCATGCTTTCACAGTCAGCAGTGGTTGCTTTGGTGGTTCCTGTTCAGTCAGGATTGCAGTGAGCTCAGAGGTGGCTTGGGGAGATAGTCAGTCCTGCTGGGTGTGCTGCACAAAGACAACTTCCTTCTTCAAGGCTGCCAGGCTGCCACCCCAGTGCAAGTTCAAAACTAACACAGAATGTAAGATGTATGGGCAGGGAGGGGCTCGCTGCTGTTAAGTATGTCACTAAGATCTTTCTGGGGATGTGCTACTCTGTGTGCTAATAAAACAGATGATAAAACAGAGGTTTGACAATTATGTCCCTATTGCCTGTAAATGTCTTACTTATTTTTTAAGTTTGCCACATGCGTAAGCCACAGACCAACTTATTCTCTGCCCATGTGTGGAGTCAAGTGAAAACTACTGGTGAGAGTGAGCTGTTTGAAGGTGTCTGTTCTGACTTCCAGAGCTGGCTTTTACAAAATAAGAGTTTGACTCTGTTTCCTTTCTGCTGAATGATGCAGAAGACTTTGGTATCAGAACTTCTAGAAGGTCTGCAGCTAAAGATGAAAGAAGCCTTGTTCTAATTACAGACTTGGGAAACTCTTTACAAGTACCTGCTCAGCTGGCATTTTGTCTACAAAGTATTGGAGATAAACGGAAATTAAGAAGTCTCATGCACTGCAGATTGCAAAAGATGACAGCTTGTCATCTCACTCTACTGCTTAATGGCAATGTATGCTGTTATGGAAAATTCCCACATTTCATGTCAATAGAGCACACCCAACAGAAAACCTTCTGGTTTTTTAACTTGTGTTTTCAGGCTTTTGAAGTAATAGTTTGAATGAGGTTTGATGCAAATTAAAAACTTCTTAAGTAATTTACCCAGTGTAATTGCTATGGCAACCTTTAAAAAATGGAAGGCAAACGGCTCCAGTTTCAGTTCTTGCGTAAACTTTTTGAGCATGCTTTTTCATGGAGATTTTAAAAATTCCATTCTTATGCTGACTTTAAGATATTTGATTAACCTGCATGTTTATACATTTAAAGAAATTAAAACAATGAAGCAAAGGCTGCATCCATATGGAGGTAATGATTCATTTATGTATTAAATTGAGTTTTGCATTAGTTTTAGAAACTATGTAGTTAACATATTTTCCTAGAAGCAGCATCCGTCCTGGACTGAATTTTATAAAACTACAATTGTGGCTTTGCAAACATTCAATGACAATTGATAATATGTTGCAGGCAGTTTCATCTTTGTGTCACCAGCTTGAGTCCAGACTTGGCAATAGTAAATTGATTTTCTTTCCCTTTTTAAGAAACTTCAAAGGTTGAAAGGCAAGCAATGTGGTATTTCAGTCTGTGGTCAAATTTCCACAGAGGGTTCCAATAAACCACTGTCTAAAACAGCCTAATTGTTAGACTAGGGCAAATGCCTCAGGTGGGGAAATACAAGCTTTCCTTTGACAAGTCTGGCAATGCGTGACACCTATCACTGTTACACTTCTCCAGTAAAATGTATGAGCTGGTCTGTTGTAACATGTAAATCTCCTCCCCTTGTTGAAATGCTGTAATGGCACTGCTGTATGGCAGGGTTGTGTTTGAGAGGACCTACTGCAGGAATACTTGCCTGTATCCTGACTCTTTGTCACACAGTGTCTTAGGCAGCCTCTATTGTTCCCATGTCCCTCTTTTCATAGGAGAAGTATTTATCCATAGGAGGGCATATGACCTGGAAGGGCACCAGAGATTGCTCCAAACAGGTCCCCACAATAGCTGACTGGGAACAGAAGCAAAGAGCTGTGTCGTGGGTTGTATTTGACCATTTTTAGATATGATCAGAGAGATTGAACTAACAATTTTGAGGCAATTCTCCTAGGGATTGATTAATAATTTACTTACCTCTCTTCATATACCTGCTAAGCTATTTCTCATGACAGACTTACCTCATGGCTAGACAAAGCAGAGCTATCCAGTCAGCATCTTTTGACAGTACTTGAATTTACTTAATTTACTCTAAAATTAGTTTATTACTATTTTGCGGTTTTGGTTTTGGGTTTTTGTTGTTGTTGTTGTTTTTCCTTGAAGAGACTAGTGGCAATGAATTTTTGCTCAGTGCCTTGCAGAGTATAAGACGGGGCACAAGAAAATTCCCACTGGTTTATTAGTCTTATAAAATTAATTGTCCTTGAAAACAAAACTGGATCTAAACACTCTGCAGTCATAAAATTCTGCAGAATCAGCTGTACTTGAACAGTAATGTGATGCTGTAAAATTCCAAATCCATTCTGTATTTGCTCTCTCCCACCTAGGTCATTGCTTTTGCTCTTATTAGTACAAATCACAGTATCTGTTGAAAAGCTCCAATGGGAGTACTTGGAGTACTTGCAATTTTGTTAAGAAAATGCTGGATTCTTATTCATGTCAATTTATACAGTACAAGAACAATTTTCAAAAGGCAAAGCGATATAGTGGGTCTGATGTTACAAGTGCACTTGTGAAGTTTCACAGGCACGGGCTTGTAAGAGTATTGCTGCTGTGTTTTGACAGTGACCACGGTAATTTGTGTTCTTTTCAGCTATGCATCACCTGCCTGATTCATTTCTCTCCATTTGTGGTGTGTTTCTCTGTGGTGTGAATCCATCCCTGTCCATTCTGTCACATCTTCATCTTTCTCTTGCTGCTGCTTCAGGTTTGTCTGAGCCTCAGGTAAGCAATCACAGGGAGCTTGTGCCCCATGTTTTTCAGAAAATCCTTCTACATACAGGAGGTGATTTTTAATTTGGAATTTCTGCTCCAGGACACACTCCTCCTCCCTTTCACCCCCCCCCCATCCTACCTACCCTCCTTCAGTTATAGTAGATGAGTGCTTCCATAACGTTTACAACATGTATCTTTACAAGATTCCTACATGCTAAGAAATTATGATTTTACCAGTGGTGAACTAAAAGAGGAGGAGACTAAGGCTAGGGTTTAATCTTTTAATGTTATGTCTTCAGGTCTGGTTAAGGTTTTACTCTTTGAGAATAAAAGGATAAAATCCTCACCTATTCTGTGTTCCATAATGTGTATGGGCAGCAAGTGATTTGCAATGTTTTTTCCAGGTGCTAGATTCTAGTTTTCTTTCTGTCTGTAAATGACTGTCTGGCTTTAGATTTCTGCCTTCCTCGTTAGAACATTGGGCCAGCTTTAAAGTTCTCCTTATTCAAGAGAATTGCTAGAAGGTTGCTATTTTCTTCCAACATTAGAATAAAATATGAGCAAAAAGCTGCAACAAGATGTTGTATCAGGAAGCAATTAACATGTTTTGTTAATGTAGACAAAACATAATCTTTTTTTTTTTGGCCAATCTCCTAAAAGGCATGACTTTTTTCAGTCCTGTTGGTAGTAATATCTGGCTTTAAGTTAGCTGCAGGACAGAATTTCTTAAATCAATTCCCAAACTTTTGAAGCATTGGTCCAAAATTTCTTGCTTTCAACTTTTGATTAAAGCACTATTGGAGGCACTATTTAATAATGTTCCACAAACCAACTGCAGACCATCTTCCATGGTCTCAGGGACCATTTGTTGTTTATTGATCACAGATGAAGAATCTCCCCTTTTAAGTAGATACTGATCTGTTTAAATTATCTCATTAAAGCTGTCAGAATCTCAGTGTGTGGAATACATGTTTGTGCTCTGTGAAATCCTTGTTAGGGAACCTTTCAAAGCCAGCTTCTAAAGTGTGGACATTGTTGTATTGTTAGTTTCACAACCTGCTGGCCACAGGGGTTTTTGCTTGTGAAAACTGCAGGAAGAGAAGGAGGAAATTAAATGGAAATGAGGAGAACCATTTGATTTTAGTCATTTCCCACGTGTGTAAAGATGTTACTTTGCAGAGTTGTAGACTGCTGGGAAGAAAGCTCCTTCCTGAGTCTAATCTACCCTTTAGGAAACAAATTACAGTGTCCACTTTTGAACATATTTGAGTTTCAGAAGCACACCTTATTGGTCTAACACAGATCTTGCTGGGCAATTTAATACAAACTAAAATACACTCAGTATCATTTTTCCCATTAAAGAAAAGTGCTCTTGCAAGCTGGGGGCCAGGAGGATTTTCCTTTGGAAAATGGTCAATCACTTCAAAACTCAGCTGCCTGATGTTAAGTTTCAGTACTAAACTGTGATGCTCGCTAAGGCCATTGATGTTAGGCCAGTGAAATTTTGTTGATTTATGCCAGTAATAATGGATTTCACTCTGCTTGTTGTAAGTGCACAATAGCACTCTTCCTAATTTCGGCAAGCCTCCATTCATGCTTCCACCTCCACAATGCACAAGCAGAACTTAACATGACAAGTGCTAGGGTTCATGTGGCTATGCTGCCATCTGTGCTTGCAATATTTGCAGCCTTACTAGCAAAGGAGGAAAGAAAACTCGAGACTCATTCCGCCAGTCAAAGCATCAGATGCGTGCTTCTGCTTTTTTGCAGTAGCATGGTTTCTGAAAGAAAGGATTACAGAGGGGTGCTGAAACGAGGTGGTTTGTAATGTGGCTCTTTCTGCCCCTCTAGTGGTTGGACTAAGCCTAACTGTTCAGTGTTCATGAGCCTTGGTTTTACTTGCTTAAGAGGTGAGACTTAGGCAGAGATCCTGGTTTCAGATTTTGATGGAGAGATTGCTCAGTCTGTATGACTCCATGGCAACCTTGCAAAGCAACTGATTAAAGTACAAAATTCTCTAATGTTCAGAGAGTTTTTCCAATGTATTTGTACTTAAAGTGATTTTTTGCACATATTTCAGGAAGCTCCTGTAGTGGCGAGAGCAGCCCTGTTCCTCGAGTGTGCACGCTTCGTCCACCGCTGTAATCGTGGCAACTGGCCCGAGTGGATGAAGGGCCACCACGTGAACATTACTAAGAAAGGCCTGTCCCGTGGGCGTTCTCCTATTGTGGGCAACAAAAGGAACCAGAAGCTACAGTGGAATGCAGCTAAGCTCTTCTACCAGTGGGGAGATGTGAGTGGTTTTTTGTCTTCTATTTATGCTAAAAAATATACCAAAATGTAAAGGTAATTGGATCCTATGCAGGATTTCAGTTCTGGTAAAATGGGGACTCATAAGTCTCCCTTCCAGCTTGCACTTCACAACCTACCAGGATCAGCTCTTCTCCTAATGGAAACAGACTTTGTTAGGATGTAACAGTGTCCCATTCCCTCTCCTCCCCCTGCTGTGCTCCCTCTGAGGATCCATTTGGTCCACTCTCTTGTTTCCAGCACTTGTCATATGTCAATACCTAAGGAAGAGTAACAACAAGTGTGTGTGATACTACTTGATTTATTCTAGCTTCCAAATAATTTTAGCCCAAGACTGCTTGAGCTGGCTGTAGTGCTGTATATTCAGTAATGGATATCTCTGACATACTTACACAGTCTCTCTTTGCACCCATACAAACTGTTAGCACTCATCATTCTTTGGCAAGGAATTCTACAGGGCTACTACATGTCATCTAAACAACTGTCTCTGTTTGTTTTGAGCTTGGCCTCCTTCAAGTTTTATTTGATCATGTTCTCTTACCATACCTGATCTAGGCAGCTGCCCTGTCTGGCCCTGTTAGTGCCTCTTGCAATGTCTTTGGAAACTCACCAGGGTATGCCTGCTGAGGGTCTGACACTAGCTGCAAGTCATTTCACACCACTCAAAACAGTGGGAGAAGTTCCTTTGACCTCTGTTGTGCCCGTTACATATTTCTGTCTGGAAGCGAGCTTTGTGCTTCTCACCTCTTTTCACAAAACCAGAGATTTTTACAGAAAACATTATGATTTAAAAAAAAAAATAAAGACAAAAAAGGCCACACAATCCAAGGCTCGGGGGAATTTGAAAACCATGTACCCTACAGTCTTGGGGTACTTACATAAGCCATGTCAAAAAAGCCTTGCTAACTCATGTTCTCCTTGGTTAAACCAATGCACGCTTCTCACTGGAACACACTGTAGGGAACCTTGAGCTAGGACTGACCACGTCAGTACATTCCCACCACAAAACACAGCCCAGGGCGAAAACCTGGCTTGTGTCTAAACACCCAAGCTAACAAGCTTTGACTCTTGGCTGCTCTCCTCCTTCATTTCTGAAGCTACCTCAGGGAATGCTGCCTGAGAATCCTCATCTCTGTTATGTCTCAAACACAGGTGACTATCTTAATAACAGCACAAATATGAAAGTTCCTTGAAAAGTACATAGTGTGAATGTATTTGCTTCTATATTCCCTGAGGTCACCACCTTAGCCTAGCTCCTGTGAGAACTCCTTCCAAGTGGAGAACATAGGATTACATCGCCCTCATATTTTTGCAGGCATTGCTGACAGTGAGGACTATCTGTTTCTGTGGACTCTATGCTTCTAGACATTCTCTTTTTATTCAGATTCTGACAAAAATGGGAGAAAGCAAGTCAATAACTATTAGAAGCCAGTTGGATTCTCCCTCAGCTGCCATTTTTAGAAACTGAAATAGCCTGAGCTGGAAAAAGTCCAGGAAGGTTTTCTTTTCAAAATGTTAAAGTACCACTGCATGATGCAAGGTCACAAGAAAGGAGCCAGGGAAATCTTATGGCAAGCAACAATTCTTTTCCCTTTAACTTTAATGGCATCATAAGACACACCTGGATGCATTCTCCCTGCTAGGAATAGTGTGTGTTTGCTAACTGCTTAGGAACATCCCAGAAGGCAAAAGCCTTACTTTACTGTAAGGTGGGAGAAGATTTGGAGAGTAGTCTTTATAATGCAAATTCCTGTTCTTTTTACTGCAAAATGTCCTGCAACCTTTTAATATTTCTGTTTCTTCTCATTGGAGGCTCAGACAATATAGTTACTCACAGCATCACCAGCCCCCAAACAAACTCATGCTTCAGGATTGGTCTGCACCTAGCACTGCTGAGGTGCAGTTCCTTTTTGTCCTCTATGTTGAATCCTGGGCAAGGCTGGTCCACTGGCACTGCTTTTACCTCCTAGAAGCCATTTCAGATGAAGGTGGCTGCAAGGATAAGTAGCAACCACCAGCCAAGCCTGTAGAACTCTGCAAGCTGTACTCCTCAGATGGCTGCTTTTGACTGACCAGATTCCAACCAGACAGGCTGAACTGTGAGGAGAAACAGCTTTCTGTTGCTGTAGTACAGGCACCTGCTGTAGAACACGCTGCCATTCCTGTGTGTTAACCTGCCCATTTCACCATGGGCAATATCAGCGTGAAGGGTGAAATGTCGGTGCGCTCACATTAGCTCCTAAGCAGCTCCAGTACCAAGAAGATGGGAGACTTTGCCCAGCCCATCTCTGCCTCCATGCTACTGTTGTCTGAAAAGCAGATTTGTGTCCAGTGTGCAATTAACCAACCTCACATGCTCAGGAGAGATAATTGTGTTTATCCACAGGGTGCTGGGTGGAATCATCCACAAATCAAGCACACCTATAGCAAGTTTCATCACTTCTTTTATACACATTTGACAACATCATTATCATATTAATACCTCCTGCCTATTATTGATTAATTGGTGATTTATGTATCAGTTACATCATTTTAAGTATTTCTACGCACGCTCAGGGGAAGGGTCTTCACTTGGATGAGGGTCTTCTTAAGGTGTGATTTTTAGTATTGTAATGTGAGCAATTCACTTCAGGACACCCTAAAAGTAAGTTTTGTTGTCAAGTTGGCCAGTTGTCAACTGGCCAGGTTGTCACATAACTTATCCTATATACAGTCACTCACATATGTTCTCTCTGGTCAAGGTCCAGAGAGTAGGGACTTCAAACATCTTCAAACAACACAGTATCCTATTCATTATTAATTGATTAAGGCTGACATAGACAATACTCACCTAACTCCTTTAGTTCAGCCTCCCTAATAGCCATCAGAATATAACAGTGGTGTGGGATTTGGACTACCCCTAACAGTGATAAGCCTATTGAATCAAACAATCTCATTTGTTATACTGTCTTTTGAAATAATACAATGTTAAGTCTATTCTGATCAGGTTAGTATGTCTCTTCTTTGGCTGCTTCTCTGAAGAGGCGTTTTCTTTTAAAAGCGTGACATGCTCTCTGTTTGCTAGGGAAACCAAACATAATTCATGCAGATAATACATGTTAGAGATTCAGTGCTCATTAGGTAGGAAGCTGTGAGATTATGCATGATTGCTTTAATATTAGGGTGGATAACACAGCTTAAATAATATGTGATAAATTACTTCTTTGTGGAGAGGCATGCAGAACATTTCTTCCTTTAAATGCCTGAAATGTGAAAGGGGAAAAAATGTGAGAGATACGGAGTTTATTTTGCCATGTGCAGGCTCACAGATAGCTGAGATTGCCAACTATTTGCATCAGCTTGCAAACCACAACAGTACCACCTTATTCTCTTTGTGTGGCAGAGTCTTCAAGAGTCAGTAACTCTTCATTGTTACTGGATTTCACAGGAACTGCTTAGTAGCAAGGAAGAGCCATAGCAAGTGACTGTTTTTGTATTTCTGTGTCACTTCAGCTGAGACAGTAAAATTATATAGTGCTGGCGTAACCAGCAGTTCTGACTTGTGGAAGATTCAGAAATCCTCTTTAGTATCTTTCTCTGAAACTATCCCAAAACCAAAAAGGCCAAATAGCAAGTGTTGATGAAAACTCTGTAATTAAACACATTTCCTCCCTCGCAAAGTGATGGTACCACAGGATAAAGTTTTGCATACTTGTCTGTGTTCTCTTCACCTATCTGCAGCAAAGAAAATCCTGAAGACCTCTGAAGTGTCTTAGCAGGAAAGCATTCTTCTTGCTAGTATATCTTTATCTGTAGCTTTGCTGACAGTACCATGAGGGCTGTTTACATGCCAGTAATGATGCTGGCAAACAGCCTCAAATAACTGATTAAGGCCTTTCTGGAGAATGTAACAGCATTCAATGGAAATCTGTCTGTCTGTGTTCTCTACATGCATCCCCTCTATACCATTACCCGTGCTTTTGTAATACCCATTACCTTCCCAGCTTTTATATGCATATTGTCAGCCCATTTTTGGAAAGTGCATCAGGGAGTCTGTGCTTTAAAGAAGGAAGCAGGCTTTTCCATGGGCATTCAACAGTTCTGTGGAGGAAATGGGGGCTGTTACTGGATTCGTAAGTCACAGGATAGTTTCTTGAACAGAAGACATAAATTCTCAGTGGAAAGACTTAGCAAAAATCTGACACTTGTATATCAAGGGAGAAAGAAAAGTGGAAAAAATTAATACACAATAATGACCCAATCTTCTTCTGTTTATCATTTACCACTTTGGAGGTTTTTTTAATTATTTAACCAAATTTCATCCTGAAATTTGACACTGTTTGCAAGTTTTGGTTTAAAAAAAGGGGGAAATAAATTATGGTTTTGGTAGCAATTAATCTTCTATCATCCCTTTCTCTACTGCATATCACATACAATAAAAATAAAGTCAGGACATTCTGTTCTGGTTGGAACATCTCTACAGCCTGCATGGGGCAGAGCCCTTGACCATCAATGAGCTGGGCTGAAATTCTCACCTCCTTGTGCTTTCTTTTTCTCCCTGTCTGCAGGCAATCGGTGTCCGCCTCAACGAGCTGTGCCATGCTGAGAGTGAGAGCCCTGCCAACCTGCTGGGCCTCATTTATGATGAGGAGACCAAGAGGCGCCTGAGAAAGGAGGATGAGGAAGAAGACTTTTTAGATGACAGTAAGGAGACTCCCTTTACTACAAGAACCCCCGCTTGTAAGAACCTCTGCTTTAGGAGCACTTAATTTTTCTTCTCTTTTCATCCTCTTGCCACCCAGCTGTATTTCCCAGTCCCTCACCTTCACCCCAGCTTCCTCCCCTGTTCTTTCTGTGCCTGGATGTACAACATGACAGATGAGTAGCAGCACTGAGAGACTTTGAAGGAAAAGGGGGGGAAAACAGGCAGTGAGTTGCAATTCCTGTGTACTGGCAACTGCAATTATAAGCAGGGTAATAATTTATTTCTTGAGTCTTGCTGTCACTTGAGTGCCAAAAGTGGTTCGGACTCCCATTCTTCCCAGTTATTTCTGCCAAAATATTTGTGTGAGATCAGCTGCTTTTCTGTTTCTTAACATTGAAGAGTCATCTCCTCACCTGTCAATTGGCAAAGCTCTACCAAAGGCTTTTAAATCTTGACTTCAGTATATTTGCCTAATTCTCAGGCAGAAATATAGCATAGTGGTGTAAGAAGTATCATAAAAAATCAGTGTAACAACAAGATGACTAAAACACACATATTTGTGCCTGTGTGTACATAAGGGTGGGAGGGGGGTGACAGATCCCTGATTCTGAAAGTCTAAATAGGCATGCAAATTATAACAAACCTTGTGGATCAAAATAAATTAAGTCAAAACACAGACTGTTGTAGGTGTAGGTGAAGGTGGTAACAAACATTATGTCCTCTCCAGATGCCATTTGTATATACATGTGTGCTGTAATGTACTGGTTCCTGTGTCTGTGTACTGTTGTTTGCCATTGGATGTAGTGTGCTAGCACTGTTTATGTATCTTCTGGTTTCTTTTTCTGTGCTTCTGGGTTTGTTCTTAGCACTGCATAAAGGCCAACTCTGAAGTAGAGAGGAGTAGGTGGGAGCAGTGAAATGACATTTGTGGGAAGTGGTCTCAAGAGAAGGTACTGGCCCTAAGCTGGACCTTCACATGTGCCATTGTGGTGTGCCAGCACTAGCAGCTACAGGAATGTGGGTGGCTCTTCTGGATTTTTTTTATTGGCCCTTTAAGAGATATATCCAGGAGCAGGAGAGTGTACCCCAAATTTTCTCTCTCCTGCACCGTGAATGACTTTTGCAAGGTGAAGAACAATTGTATTCTCTTGCTGTAGGGAGTAGACAAAGGAGCATAAAATATGCAGTTGCATATTCCGTTACACTGTATGTTTCATCTGAATTTGATAGTTCAGATTATTTTAGTCCCTGCAAAGTCCATAAATTGTTACTGGTAGTGTGTACAGAGGAATTAGCAAGCATCACAGAATTAATCCAGTTTTATCTGATCCCTGCAGTGTCCTCTCACTTGTTTGTTTTGGACTGTTTCTTTGCAAAAAGTAATTACATGGGGGAAAGCAAGTGAAAACACAAATCTCTCTGAAATGTACATAGATGGTAATATCAGGTATTATTAAAAAATGGACATGGTTAGTTGTTGTCACAACTATTTTTTTTGTTTACTTTTTTTTTTTGCTGTCCATTATCCTGGATAGTATTTTTCAAATTGATCAAGCATTGAAGAATCCTTCCTACTTTTCAAGCTTTGAATGGCATTAGATGGGTTAGAAAGTGTACAGCTTTTGAAGCTGATTGTTTAAACTCAGTTGAGCCAAAACTTCAAGTATTTCAATAATCTGTCTTTCCTTTCCCCCTTTCTTTTAGGTTAAGCATTTGAATGTTTGATTAATTTGATTAAGCAGTTTGTTGGTTTTTTTTTTTCATGATTCTCTCTCTAAATAGCACTTGGATTCTGTGCAGAAATAAAGACGCCTAACTAAAAGAGACTTATCTTTTCCAGTTGTCAGGGTAGTAATTAATAGGCACAGTGCCTCTTTTCTGGCTAGTCATAACTCTACATATTTTGAGAATTTTTCCTATATTTTAAAGTAATTCTTTTCTAGAACTGCAGAAGATTTGGCTGAATGTAGAACTCTAAAGGCAAAGAAGTGTATCTACTTCTCAACCTGTATTTACTTTAAATGAGATGTATACAAAAGATGTAAGATCATGATGTTAGTTTAGCAGATACTTCACCATAATATACTATAACAGATACAATAGTACACTACAGTGTGTTAGTACTATTGCACATGCTGGTAAATATTTGCATTGATATTTGTTTAACTATGTTCCTTTCAGTGTAGGAACAGTAGCATAGACAGATGTCTGGGTTTTCCTCCATTTTAGTGCAGCTTGCATTGTGCACCATATGTGAAAATGTCCATCACCTCTTGGTTCCCAGTTTTCGTATCATCTCCTTGCTCACCATAGTAATATTTTTTCCTAGGCACTGTGAACCCTACCAAATGTTGTTGTCCTTTTGCACTGAAAATGGCAGCCTGTCAGCTTCTCCTGGAGATAACCACTTTCCTTCGAGAGACCTTTCCCTCCTTGCCCAGGCCACGTACTGAGCCTCTTGTGGTAAGTGGACAGTACACATTGGAGAGGGAACCACGCCCACAGAAGTCACCGGGCTCAGTGCCTGTCTGAGGAGAGGTAGGGTGGGTGGGATAACTCAAGTGGGTATCTGATGCAGGGAGAAAGGAGCCCTTGTCTGGTGAATAGAAGATGGGCAGGGCACATCAAATGGTTGACTAAGAAGATAAGACTGTGGAACCACAACATGTACTGGAAGTTCAAGGAAGTTTCAAAACAGAGAAGAGAGCGGCAGATAGATTGAGAAACTGAGTGTGGGAGACCTGAGAGGTGTGGAAGGTGGACTGCAGGAGGTGACAGCTCACATGCTACCTAGCTGATTAGGAGGCCAAATTGACAGAAAACTGAACAGGGCACTTTGGAGAAGGGGGAGAGGGTGGTTTACAGAGAATTTGCTTATGCTTAGAAGTTGCAGATTTTTGGCTTGGGTTAGACAACACAATTGAAGGGACTGGAGGGAAAAGGAAAGAAACAGAGATAAAGAAGCAAGGAAATAAATAAACCTCCATGAGAGTGAGAGAGGCACAGGCAAATCCTGGCATGAATAGTAAGCTGAATGACTGTTTAGGTGACAACTAATTTTGTGAATAGTAGAACCCATGAAACCTGATTTCCAATCATTTGTTCTTGTGGGGGTTTTCCTAGGTCTAATAATGTGATTTAACATTGCCTTCAGCCTGTTGTTTCACAAAATACACAAGCACTCAGTTATCTTTTTGTCAAATTGAGTTGAAGATGACCGTCAGAGGTGGTTAGCATGGAATGAGTTGAAAATTGAGGGGCAGACATGCAGTTTCATCTTTTAGGCCTAATTTCTTTAGGAAATGAGAATAAAAATTATAAAGAAAGAATGAGAAGTTTCCAAGTGAACATGAAGGATTTAGCCCTACTATTCGTTTTTTTTCGTCACAGACTGAGATCAAATTTGCTAACGATAATTTTGCTTGACAGGCTGATCTGGCTGGACATTATTGTTATTAGGTTCTGAAATTGGTTTCAAAGGCTGTAGATGACCTATGATGAAGTGACTCAGCCCCCAGGTATGCGAGAAGGACAGTTTTAAAAAACAGAAATAAATTCAGACAGAGTATTCCTAAGAACTTTGTTGATATTTTTACCATGCAATAAATGACTGCATCCCAAAGCAGGATAGTACCAGGGTTTAAAATTCATCTCAGTAAAGTAGTTAGGCTTGGAACTAAGAATATGTTGGGTAATGAAGGTCAGCAGAAATCTGTGCTTTTGTGCCAAATAGAAATGCAACTGATTAATAGATTTTCAGGCTTGTATATGGGACAGAAGGAGGAGGAATTATTCTGTGAAGTGTAGGCATAAGAAACCTTAAGGTCACATTATGTAAGAACCTATTAGAGAAAATGGCCATAGAGTGCTTCGTTTAAATTTGTACAGGGATTTAAAAAAAAAAAAAAAAAAAAAAGCCAATAGCACTCCATTTAAAAATATTAAGTCTCTGTATTTATGTAGTGGTGCTTCCTTTGCAAGAGAACCAGGTACATAATGTTATGGTCCATAAAGCTGCAATTGCAGTACAGCAAATCTCACTTCCATTGGTGTTTGCAGTCATACCTGTTCCATAGATATGAGCCCAGGCTTAGCAGCCTTGAACTGAAGAATTTGCAGGTGAACTAGTTGTGGTAAACCAGTTTAACTACCCACAGTCCATCCAGACTTGCCAGGCTGAGGGCATAAACACCCTTACCTATGTTTGAGTGAGGCAGGCAGTCCTGGCTGCAGTTTAAATCAAAGCCTTTTACTGAAGCTGGTGGAGTAGATACAAGCTCACTTTGCAAACGGCTGGGAGTGAGGAATAAATTCTCTTGGAGCCTAGTGCTGCCACAGTAGAGCCAGAGAACTGGAACTCGTTATTTGCTGTGGTGGAAAGTCATTAATTTTAGCTTAGGAGTTGCTGAAGACAAATAGAGTCAGACTAACTGTGTGCTAAGAGGATGTATTTCATTCTGTCAGTTAATTTGTGGGGGCAGCAATTTCCAGTGTAAGCATGTTGACAAACAGCTGGGAGGAATAATGTGTTTAAATACTCCAGGATGGAGAACTCTGACCATGCCCTAGGAATATACCTGTACTGCTATCATTGCTCAACTTACACATGCTAATTTATGAAGCTGCTGTAATTCAGTCAGATTTGATCACAAATTTTTATCCAAAAGTGCTTTAACCTTTGTTTCATATCCTAAACTGTGTTAGATACATTTTAAACTATTTACATGGACACTTTCAACACTAGAGGTCCTACAAATAATTCCTTTAGGCCCCCATCTTTTTATATCCCATGTTTTGTTATTGAGAAAAGTCAAAATATTTCCCTTATGGTAATCAACTGTTAGTTTTTCTGACAATCATTTATGATAATTTTCCCTGGAGATGCAAAGCAGACTGCAAATGGTTTGGGACCTTTGACTGGTGTTAGATAGGCTGGTTAACCCACTTCAGCACAGCTCAGTCTAGAACATATGTTTGAGAAGACCTTTTTTTTTTTTTTCTTTTTTTTTTTTAAGACCAACTCTTAAGAGTAGCAAACTTTGTCACTACTCAAGTAGGTCCCAGTAACTTCTATAGGAGTTTTGTATTTGTATGCAAATTCCAGTATGAGATGTCTTGAGCCTACAGAATTTTACCCAGAATAACTATTTTGGATAATTTCAGTGATGTTATCATTCACATTCATCAGCCATTTACTCACAGCAAGGAGCGTTGTGTCATCTTAAATTTCAGCTAGTTACATTTTGGGTGGGGAGATCTCAAAGCTGATGATGTCCCCAGTCAAAATGCACAGATGGTACTCTCAAAGAGCCCAGCACTTTAACAGTGTTTGCCAGAGTGGCAGTTCACAGTCTTCCTGTCACTTTTTCTAGCTGTGGTTAGAGAAAGCGGATGATAACCTGTAGCTTGCGGATTTTTAGGACTTTTGCTTTTTTATCCCAAATTGGTAGCCAGTAGGTGGCACAAATTGTGCCATTTCTGTTAATAGGAGAAAATGATGGTCCAAAGTAGCATCTCTCCAGTGCAGTGCTGTTCATTTTCCAGAATTTAAATGCAGCCAACATTTTTATTCCAGAATTTAAGTGCAGCCAACATGCACCCAGAAAGCTTGCTCTGGGCCATGCTGTCACGACTGTCGCACTGTCAGCTAGCCTTCTCTCAACTTTTCTGCCTCTGATGAGTATGGTGGCAATGCATTCCCTAATCAGCCACAGGGGCCTTTTGGAGTAGAGACCTAACCATCCACCCAGCACCTTGGGTAACAGCCACCTTTTATTGCCACCTATCCATTAGGGACCATTTACGTGCTTTCCCCCTCATGAGCCTGCAGACAGGGTGCCAAATAACTCAGCAGTGTTAACCAGAAATGTGTGTTAACACCTCTTAACTCTTGCATCCTGACAGTGTTTACAGTGTGGCTCAGCATGCTGCAAGCCCAAAGAGTAGTTGGATCAGAAAGTGTCAGGGTAGATGGAGAACTGTGTGATAGAAATAGGTTTCCATCTGAAGCAGTTCTTCCTGAAGCTTATATGGTTGCAGTGAAAACCATGGGGACTCATACTGCTTGCACATCTGTGTGGTCTACATTCTTCTACAGGATCTGGAGAGCTGCAGGCTGCGTCTGGATCCTGAGATGGACCGACACAGGTATGAAAGAAAGATCAGCTTTGCTGGGGTTTTGGATGAAAATGAAGATTCAAAGGATTCTCTGCACAGCAGCAGCCACACTCTCAAATCTGAGGCTGGCTTCGAGGAGAAAAAAGGTTTGTCAGTACAATAAGGCTTTTGTAGTCTCAGGGCTTGTGAAGTGGCGCTTGATTTTATGTTTTCATTTGCATAGAAGGTTGCTATGGAGTCACGTGGCTTTAAATCATTTCTGAAACGCTTCTGGCCTTCAGGGTTCAATACAACAAATGTGAGAAGCAAAGATGTTAAATTTTGTAAAACACTGCTATGACTGAAACCGATTGAGAGCATTGCAAAATTTCTAAAAAGGAGAATGCAGCCTTTGAAACCGTCTCTCAGTGAGATGCTGAGAGAAGCATCACTATTTGATTCACTTTAGAAATAAAGATCAAAAGTGCTCGTTTGTTTTTTATTCTGATTACAGTTTTTCATTTTGGGAAAACCACAGATAGGAGGGAAGACTGCAATCTTTCTGTGAAGACCTGTACTGGTTTGGAAGTTATGGCATCTCACAGAATTAGTAGTTGATCACTTGATCTCTTGAATTCTTTGCTACCACATGAAAAACACAGACTTATGTGGCTTTTGATGGCTAGCAGATTAATGTTACCAACATACTGTATACTGTACAAGCAAATCTCAAGCTCACTGTGTTTGCTGAGAGCAGCAGATTGTTTCCATTTTTGAGTCATCTCATGCAAAACTCACATACTATCTGATGGTACAAGTGTTGCAATACAATATACAGTCATCGTGTGTATTTGCAATTAGAGACTGAACTGCCAGACAGTTACCTGTAAATGATTCTCCCTCTAACAAGTTTTCTAGAACTGTTTAAATTCTGTTTCGTAATAGCCATATAAAGGTGCCGATTTTTTAATGATAAATTTGAAAACGATAAATGCTTGATGATTGTTTGAAAAGGATGGAGTCTGTGGCTGGTTATCCTCTAGGAACTGTAATATGCATTAATGATTCAGAAGAGCTTTTATTGACTTCAGGGGGCTTTGCATAAAGTTTGCTCTGTCTTCAGCTGTGACCCTGACACAATTATGGGAGAAAATATTAGAACTGTTTCCAAGAATTACATGGTGTAAAACTGCCTCCAGAACTGTGTGTCAGGTGGGACAGTTACTCCTGTGAAGAGAGCTAGGTATCCATATGAGAAAGGTGAGCTGGATAAATTCATGCTCAACCTTATTTTTTGTACCCTTGGCATATTGGCAGGCCAGAGAAGCACACAGCCTTGTGGTCTGTCTAATAGTCTAAGATCAGTGGGATAAGATGTCTCCAACTATTTAGATGAGGAAAAGCTTGGTTTTGTGGTGGATTTTTTTTTTAAGATAGTTATGAGAGTTACTTGAAACCACTTTCCAGCCTCTCAAGCAGCAGTCCCATCCACTGGGACGTTACCTGAGTGGGAGAATGCCCACAAGCACACAGTCCTGCTGGGAAATGCTGGTGGCCAGTCTCTAACTACCCTATTTTTCTTAGAGGTAGTGCTGACTTAAGTTTTCCTTCATGTGTTGCTGCGCTACAGGCCTAATGCAGAGTTGAGTTATTTTTGCAAAGATAGTACTAACTTTCTGCATCCTTGACTCTGCATTTTCCCTGCAGTTTCAGTTGGATTTTTTCCCCATTCTCTTTTCCTTATGCTGTCACGTAGTGTTCCTTTACTGAAGCTGTCTTTTTACTACGTTTTAGAGATGGGAAAAGTGACTGTGGCAGGAAGGCTGAGTCCTAATACACTCCAGCAAAAATGTGTTTGCAGTATTTTGAAAGCTAAATAAATGCAAGATAATGTTATATTTTAAATATATATATATTTTAAACTTACAATAACTATGTTATTTTCTCTGGCCACAGTATATTTTTCTGCAGATCCACCTGGGCCAAACATAACAGATGCAGAGGCATCTTTTATAATCTACACTTTTCTAGATAAGAAAATATTGTTGTGTGAATGTAACTAAATGTTTCTCACCTGCAGTGACAGGTTTCCTTATCTCAACCTCTTTGATGAGTACTAATCCATTTCCTTTCATTTTTTCCTGAGAGTTAAAAACTTTACTCTCCGTCGCTCACCGCAGGCGTGGCTTAACAGCTATCCAAAAGCTGTGAGTTTACTGTATAGAATCTGCTCCAGGTAGGTCTGAAATACAGACACTAAAGCCAGGTAGATGCAGGCTCTCAGAGGATTGTATGTACTATTTGGGTGCTAAAATGGGATTCTGCAGAATTCATTAAATGCAGTTACAAGTGCTTAAATGGTTTGGTGTTCAGGGGAACTGAGCCACTCTACTGAGGCTGATCTGAACTGAATTCAAGCAGTAGTGATTGCTGAAGAGCTCAGCATGGTCACTTGGAGGGAGCTTCTCTGGTCACTCAGCAGTGATTTGCCCAGCTGATTCATGAGGACTGAGGAGTAGCTCTCAAAACCTATGCAGCTGTCTTTGGCCAATATTTTAACCACTGGAAATGGGACTGGGAGTTGAGTTCTGGAGGAATTAGGGGCATTCTCAAGAGTAAAGATGTGTTTGATTTTTCCGGAAGCCAAAATACGATTCTTTTGAAATATTTTGCTTCCCCATGGTATCCAAAAAGCTGTATCCTGTTCATTCTCAACAACACACCAAAAAGTAATCGATCACACGTGGCCTTGCCTGATTAGATCTGCAGTAAAATGACTGAGTGTTGCAACATTTGGACTGACATATTGCCATGTGCTGCCTTTGAACTAAGAGGAGACTGAAAGTGCTAACAGTTGGTGCTTTGAACATTGAACCATTTCATGTCTGTGCTCATCAAAAATGCAGAGTGTCAATGGATGTTGTTAGTGCCTGAAAGCTGCTGATTTGTCTGAAGGAGAGGATCTACGTGCTCCCGTTTCCTCTAAAGCATTCTAATGATGAAGAGTAACATGCAGAGACACGGATTTATGCAAATCTTATTTCAAAGAAGTCTTGTGTGCTAACCTCATGAAGCAGACCACTCTTCTGCAGTCACACGTGCTGTATGAATAAATAATTGATCCTACTGCAGAGCTCAGTGAGGTTTACAGAACCCAGGCCCACAGGAAAATAGGTTTGTCCATGATGCCTTGTTCATGCTTGGGATTCAGCCATCTATCCCTAGCAAGAGGTGATTCTGCACTAATGCAAACCCCGGGGCTGGCAAAGAAAACTGCAATTTACATCCATTGGCCGGATCCTGTTTCCTGGCAGGAATTGATTCAAATTGGTGTGAATCGTAGGTTTCCCTTGTCCACGTTTTGGGTTTCTGTTAGAGCAGCTGACTCTACTTGCTGGTGGTTGAACGAGGGCTAATTCCAAACACAGACAAGGCCTGAGGTGACGTGCCGGGTCTCCAGGAAATGAGGTGCTGAACACATTTCCGTAAAGCATCTTTACTGCCTGATTGACAGAGCTGCATTGGCGATGGCTTTGGAGGGAGCCTCTGGCAGAAGAAAATCCTTGATAGAAGAAAAGATGCTGCAGTACAGACTGGCAGCAAAGGGTTGGGAGGGAGGGGAGGGCCAGGATATCTTTCTTTTTTAAATGGGGAAAAATTAAGGGGAAAAAAGTCCTCTTTTATTCTTTTAATACAGTTCCCAGCAGGAAGATCAGGATAGGAGGCTCCCGATTGCTCCAGATTAAAGGAACCCGCAGTTTCCGGGTGAAGAAGGGGGGTTCCCTTTCCAGCATTCGCCGGGCCGGCAGCCTAAAGAGCACCAAGTTATCACGGCAGGACTCAGAGTCTGAGAATGAGGAGCTGCAGCTGTCCCACAGCAGGGACACTGTCACTGATATAGGTAACTTAGACGAGTGGGTGGAAAGGGAGGGGACAATAGGCAGGACCTAAAGTCTTGATGTGATTGCAGCAGAGTTAGAAATTACTAGAGACCCTCACCGCAGCAGGCAAGGAAAAACCTAGAATCTTCTTCAGGGACTGCCTAAACTAGGGCCTGGGAGGAACATGGTTCAGATCCCAGGTTCACATGGGTGCAGCGTCGGCTCCAAGCACAGGTTATCGATTCAGAGCTCCGTGTTAGAGCATGAACTCTTGGAATGCTAGTGCCTGCCAGCCAAACGCATGCTGTCTTTAGGGGTGCACAAGCACATGTGTATATGCACATACACACACCCCTAAATCATAGGGTATAATGAACACGTGAGGTCATATGCATATATGATATTTTATTGTATGTATTAACAGATAGGAGATATATATATATATGTACAGACATGCACTTCATATTCTATGTAGCTTATGATGTGATAGGCATGTCATATGACATGTAATATATATATTCCTATATGTAGAACATAACACATACATGCTACATACTGTATTTCTACATATTGGCATATACATATATTTTTACAGTTTACACATACCCACCTTAGTCTTCCAAAGATGGATCCCCATATATTTATCTCATGGTAACCAAATGTGCATCCTGCCACAAGAAATCCCCATCACAGTTGAACTTAAGGGACTCCCTCTGCTAGGGGTGTTAACCAGAATCCACTGTTTGGATACATTTGGAGCTGAAATAACCTCCCAAGTTTAATAGTCATTTTTATGTTGCCCAAAAGATGCTCCAGTAGGTGAAAATGGAGAGCGGGATTGCCTGTTCTGTAGACTTTGGCAAGTCACAGTTCACTTAAAGAGGAGAGAAAAAAGGTTAACCATTCATCCCCAGCCATCTCTTAACGATATTAATGTTAGTATTGTAGGAGGCCCATAGGTTATGGAATGGCTAAAGAAAACACAGGGGTCAGTGAAGTTCCCAGAGAAATCTCGCCGTTGCCTGAGTTCTTTAGAACTAATGTGCTAGAATCAGGATTTTTTTCCCCTTTTATCCCCATGACATTAGCAGTTTCCATGGGCAATTAGCAGTGACTTTGCCCATTGGCATTTCCAGTTGGATGCCACTTCTGGTTGGATTTTTGTTGACATTTTTAACCACAGAGCCCAGTCAATGCAGATCACTAAACCAACCATTTGCAGCATCTGAATGATGCGAAGAATTTGTTTCTGATGTTTTTTGTTTACCTTCTCCCCTTCCATTAAAGAAAAAAGCAGGGAGGGAGCAGTGTTTGCTACTGACAAGGTGACCTGTGAGCCAAGTCTAAATGGTTCTTGTAATTGTCAAGCCAGCATGGTACAAGGATTGGGGAGGGGTGTCCAAACGCAGTCTTTCCAGTGTGGCATATTCTGTGTACTCTGGTCTGTTCCCACAAGGCTGGCCTGGCTTACAAGTGCTGTCCCTAGTCTTTAAGCACATAGGGAGCAATAAAAACAACCACCTTTTGGGTGTTTTTCTTTTGAAGAAGGGAGCCCTTGGAGTGCAAGCGAACCTAGCATTGAGCCCGAGGTGCTGAGCAGCACAGGCACGGAGGAGAACTATCATCGGAACATGTCGTGGCTGCATGTAAGTATGAGTCGCCAGCAGCACTCTCAAGGGTGGCATTTTCAGTAGGAAAACCTTTGTGTTGACAATAACCAGATCACAATCTGTGCTTTTTCCATGTAGCATCAAGGATCTCAAGTGTAAGTAAGCTGTGACCTTTGGAAATAATATGTTTGCCATTTCTAAAATGGACTAAAACCAGAAGGTTTTTGTCTGGCTCCCTCTGTCCATTTCATATATTTAGTTTGTAAGGGAAAAGGGACTATTTATCTCTTAAGTGTGTAGGGACAGCCATGCTACCTCAGCTGAAAAGTCCATTAGCTCAGTATTTATCTCCAGCATGGTTAGTAGTGAGTAGTTCAGGAAGAGTAACAGAATAGGCTATGGTGTGAGGTGGGCTCCCAGCTTCTTGCTAATGGCATTTTAGAACCTACTTGAGCTGGAGATTCTGTTGTGATCACTATGTTTGCTAACTACCAGAAGATTTTTTCCTCAGCGAGTTTTTCCAACTTCTTTTTGAGCCAATTTATATATTTTTATCTCCATTAACTCTATGACAATAAGCTTAATTATGCACCTTGTAGGCAAAAAAATTACTTTTGGAACATTTTCGTTGATTTCGTTAGATTTATTCTATCATAATGTCTAAGCCAACAGGGCAGTGTGTACTTTCAACTCTATCCAACAGACGGGCAGTATAATAGTACAAATGTGGTTTGGTCATGCAGGGCCTAAGAAATCCATTTTGTTGATGTCTGTACCCATGATTTAGACATGCTAAAAGTCAGTTGGGCAAGTCTACACAGTTCAATTCACTGGTATCCAAGGACTGTACACCTCTACCTCTGTTGCCTCGTGACAGGCTGTGCTAGTGCAGTACAGTCAGTGCACGTGCTTTGCGGAAAGGTTGGATTAACTTCCTGTGCACATATGTATGAGGACAAATGCCTCCCCGAATTTCCTTTGGACTTCTGAGTTGCCTTTGGGAAAGACAGCTGCCAATGTTGAGTTGATATTCCCGTGTTTTTCTCAAGTATTTTACACAGTCTGCTCTCAACTGTCCCATTCTTATGAGGTGTAGGCAGGAACAGGCTTCATCCAATCCTGTGATGTCAGAAGCAGTTCTTGATAGTTGTCTTTTTCAGAAGGGGGTAGCAGGACAGGGAACTTGAATGTCATGTCTTCCAAGCTAGTACCTCAATCCCTGCACTACTCTGCTTCTCTGTCAGTACTCTAATGCTCTTGGTAATGATTATACCTCATCTGTAAATTCCAGTGTACTAAACTGAGTATGTTGAACATGAGAGTGTGTACTAGGCAATTAACTGCTAGAGGATAAAAGCGTCTCCCTAGTTAGCAGTTTAGGATAAATTGTGGTGCCTTTGCTCGATGTGGGAGGATGCATGGACTCATAAATATGAGGCATAAACTGAAGGGAACTTGAGATGTTTGTCTCACTTTCCATGTGATTAGCCTGTATAGGAGAAAGGAAGATTTGAAAAATCACCCGTTCCAGTCAATGCCACGCAAGTACCAATATCGCATGAGAACTTTCTCTTTTTGTTTGTTGGAAAGAAGGTGTGGGTGGATGGTCACTAGAACTGGGGGCAAAAAAAAAAACCAACAACCCAACTTGCTTTAATTAATGGTCATGAGCAAGCCACTCAAAAAGATCTCTGGTTCCAGTTGCTTCTGTGCATGCATGAGCATTTCCTTTACCTGTCTTTTACAGCAGCCCAGCGCATGATGTCCTCACTCTATGTCAGTGTACCATAACTACAAGTTCTAACAGTGCACCAGAGGCTGAGTAGAGGCTATACAATGCTGATCGGGTTTATACCATTTGCACACTGATACAGCACTAGTGGTTTGAGTTATTCCTGCTTGACCCTGAAGTAACATGAGGCCAGAACAGGCAGGCAAAGACAAGAATCCCACATATGCAGCACAGATTTGTTTTAAATTAAGATCCTGACTTTTTCGAAAGCTAAATATTTGAGGGTTGAGAGTGATGTGGCTGCCTTACTTGAGAGAGCCAGCAGACTGCAACTGCACAGACCATAAAAGATGGAAAAGGTGGGATAACATTTTCTTGTAGTTCTGGGTATTTCTGCATTAGGTTGTGGGATGAGGAGAAGAATTCATAAAGGCCAGTTATGACCTACAGCATGAATGGCTTGGAGATTCCTGTGTTTTCTTCAGAGCGCTAATAAGTGGCTGGGTTTCTGTGTAACATGAAGACCAGTGTACAAAGAGCTGCTGGACTGAGTTACAACAGAGAGCAGTCACTGAAGTGTAGATTTACCCAAGATTGTCTTTAATTAATTAGTTGAGGGACTATTAGCAGTGTTGCTGCAGCAAAGCAGGGCCCAGAAGAGCTAAATGCCCAAATATTTACTCTGTTTCTTAGACAGATTTTACAGCTCCTTGCTGCCATATGGCCACACCACTAGAAATAGTAACTGAGGCAGCCAACATCAAGCTAGGCTGGATGGGCCTACCCAAGCAGGGTCAGGGAAGCATGTGCAGAACAGCTGGCACAGCTTATTCCTACTTGAGAGCATACTGAGACATTTCCTTTCCCATTTGCTGAAGGACACTAACCCCTGAACCTGGTGGGTTTGCAGCTTTAATGATGATTGAGTAGTTGACAGTTTCTGGGCTAAGCCCTCACCTCAGAGTGGCAATACAACAGCTTTTCTGCAAACTGAGAGAATAACATTTTCCTCAGCCTTAATCTTGCCACCAGCCAAACACACACATCTATAGCAGCTCTCTCTGTTTTCTTTAACACTGATGTTTCTTTAGCCATGCCTAATTAGTTTGTAAACCAGTAGGAAGTATGGAGCTCTGTGCAAACATGCAGACCCTTTTAAAAAGCTGTGTTGAGTTTCATGTCTCCCCAGCTAGGCTGTGGAAAAGTTAGTTTGACCGTCCCCATCGCTGGCTGCCCTATGCAGTTCTCTGGGTTAACTACTTTTTCTATAGGTAACTATTATCTTGTTTTTTCTTTTCAAGGTTATGATCCTGTTATGCAACCAGCAAAGTTTCATATGTACCCACATTGACTACTGTCACCCACACTGCTACCTCCATCACAGCCGGTCCTGCGCTCGCCTTGTCCGGGCCATCAAACTGCTGTATGGAGACACAGTGGACTCTCTGCGAGAAAACAGCACATTGAACAGTGTGGCAAGAGGCAAAAAGCAAAAGGAAGTGAGTAGATGGAAAAAGCAGAATGTTTTGGGGTTTGTCCAGGTAGGTCATAGTCATAGGACTATGTCAAGGACTGCATAATGTACTCAAACAGTTCTTTTATGACAAAATGAACACAGCCCTTCCTAAACACAGCTCTGCAAAAAAGCATCTGAAGTCATTTTCAGATTCTGGAAGGAATGTAATCTATATTGATTGGGAAGAACCTTAGCTGCTGATATGGTCATTTAAAAGCTTAGAGCCTGAACTTAATGTTAATGTTCTTTATGGCCTCTACCTATGAGTCCCTGGAGCCCAGTCTCTTTTTTTCATGTTTCTTCTCATCTGTTAATAAGAATCTTGAAATTCTTGTAAAATTTTACGTGTTTTCTTTCTTTTAGGTCTGAGCTCTCAGAGCTGTTGCAATAATCGTATACATGAGTCTTTAATGTTACTTTCTCTTTAGTGACCCACTTCTAATTATGAGTTCAGCAGCATATTCAATCAAGATTGTGCCTTTCTAGCTGTATAAGTGGTACCTTTAACTTCAGTGGAAATACATTTCTGCTTTCAGTAAAGTGCCCACCCAGGTACCAGCTGAATTATGTCAACAGTTGGTTAATACTTTCATACTCCTGATCACACCAGGCAGACTACAGGTATTCTGAATACTTGTAATGGCAGAGTCATTCAACTACTTTAACATTGAAAACAAAAGTGTTAATGAAACTCCCATCAAGATTTCAGTTGGGTAAAGAAGCTATTGTCCCTGCAGGTGGAAAATGAAGGAGTAAGAGACAAGTTCATGTTTCTTCATCAACCAGCAGATTGTTTGTTTCATATCAAGTTAGAAAATTGAATGATATTTGTATGGAATAGAGCAGAGAGTAGATAAAACAACAGCTAATTATTCTGCTTTCCTGGAAACTGTAACCCCATACATTTCCTCTGGCACAGAAAAGCAGTGGATCACTTACTCATTTAGGAAGAGAGGGAGTCATTTCTGCTACAGAAAGCAGGCTTGAGGTGAGCAGCTGGCAGCGTTCATGAAAGGTAGCAAAAGAACACCGTGCATTACTGTGTGTTGTTTCATCTCCACCTTTGAATTGCAAGGCAAAGTGATACACATTTCATCATCCATCAAAGCATTTAAGCAACAGTAAGGAAAAAAGAGGTTGGGGGACAATAAGGTTGCCTACAAACACATGCACGGTGTTTGTACAGACCTCACTGCAGGAGAGCAATTGTTATCTTTTGAACTTTATGTAACAGTAGACTTTTCATCCCAGTTCCTCATGCTTTGGTATTCTTCAAGTGTTGTCATTCTCTGACTGCATGGGCACCATTTCCACATGTATCTGGGTTCCAGAGGAACCTCTCTTCTATTCTCACAGCTTGCAGAATGAAAGATTGGAGGTAACAGTTATGTGCAGACCTGGCTATGTGCTCTGTGGGGCTCGTGAGCTCTCAGATAAACAAGAATCCATGTGTTAATCAGCAGGGTACTAGCTTGAGGAGAAGAGTCTGTGGCAACATAGCATTCTGGGAAAAGTCTCTGGTGTTGTGAATGAAGAACATAAAACAGACTTGTCATTATCACTGGCCTTGGCAGTCTGCTAGGGACAACTCTCAGACAGGTGTGAGCTCAAGTCCTGAAATGTGTTGTCACTTACGCTTTCTGAGGAAGAAGAGAAGATAAATGTAGCTGAAAGAGAACAGCGTCGTGCACACTAAACATTTCGGTTGTTAATTTTTTAGAGGAAAGCTCTAGTCTTTTTACCTCTAATCTGCTTAAAGTTCTGTTCTGAAATACGTGGGTGTGCCACCTGCGAAGATTACACAGAGCACATTCATTTCCTCATTTGGTTTACTGGCTTCTGCCTTAAGTTTTTATTGGGAAAAGCCCTGTTAAAAAGAGAAGGAAATGGGATGAGATATGCCATCTCACTGATACGAGGCCTGTTGCCAGCACAGGAGAAGGCATTGTGCTACAGCTTCCTCTTGTATGTTATCTCCTCCCTTTCCACATTTTGGGAAATCTAAGTGTGAATTCCACTTTCTTTTTTTTTTTCCTTTCAGTGCTCAGACAAGTCATGCTTGAGAACTCCTTCTCTAAAAAAGAGAGTGATTGATATCAACTTGGAAGGCAAGAAGGACTCTGGAATGTTAAAATATATCAGACACCAGGTACTGACTAGGCCATATGCGAGTTAGGGATGCTGATACATAGGTGTCAGGTTAGACTGCAAGAAGAAAGAAAATGGATCTCTAAGCCTGTGGGAAGAACTGTTGTTTTTGAATCTCAGTTACTTCAGCCCTGCATGTTTTCCCCAGTTGAGTAATGCTAAATTTAAGCCTCGTAAGGTAACCCTGTCAAATAATCCTTTAACCATGTAGCTCCTTCCCCTAGCGACACATGCATCAAAACTGGGGACACAAAAAAATTAAAATTAAAAAAATATATTAAAAATTCAGAAATGTATTTAAATACAACCTGTCAGTTTACAGCATTAGTTTCCCTTTGTTCTTTCTTGTTCAGTGTTCCTGAAGAAGCATCAGGCTCTTCACAGGCCTGTTCTTGTCAGTCCATGAGATTTTAATGGATCTGTGTCACTGTTTATACACCACCTTGGGAGAGTTTGTCTTTCCTTTTGTCCTCTTTATCAGTGTGTTTGTGACATGAGTGACTAGCAACAGACTCAAGGAACTAGTTTTCTAATGCTGCTCTTTAAGTGTAGAAACATTCTTCTATGGAGCATTACCTGAAATGGCTGAAACTAGAAGTTATCAGTGGGTAATCTGCAGACCAAAACTTGGGGAGAATTACTGAGTGTGTTGTTCACTGTGGATAGTTTGCGCAGTTCAGTTGCAAGGCATGGCTTGTTCTTTTGCAGGTAATGAGCCTCTCCCCTGCACCTTTGTCACTGCTAATCAAGGCAGCTCCTATCCTCACAGAAGAGATGTATGGGGACATCCAGCCAGCAGCGTGGGAGCTCTTGCTCAGCGTGGATGAGCACATGGCTGGAGCAGCAGGTAAGAGAACAAAACCACTTCATATGGCTACCCTGGCTGCACAACTCACAGTACATCACAGCGCTTTGCAAGAGCCCGTTGTAGTGTAGGAGTATTAATGACACCAAGGTTTTCTTGGCAGCTGTTTAATTTTCATAGACCTTCATGTGTTTTTGTGCTTTGTGCCAAAGAGGTAGTCAGAAGGATCAGAAAAGCCATCTGTCAGACCCTGGCTGTTGTGAATGATTAGAGAGCATCAAAATTAGTATTTATGTTTATCTGGGTTTCTAGGCAGAGGAAACACAGGGATTTAATCTGTCCGGAGTTTACTAAAGGTTTTTGTACGTTGCCTCATGGAAATTGTTAGTACCAGTTGAGGGCTAACACAAAAACTGAGAAAGGCACTGAGAGTGGAATTGTCATAGCTTCTCTCAAAGGAGAAGTCTCATGTTGCATGGACACAGCAGCATTGCTCAATAAGTAGTCTTGTGGTATGGTATTTATGTAAATTTTCCATTTTCACTTAGTATTAAATTGTGCAGATGACATTTGGTGATGACACATAATTGACAGGCATCTTTAAGACAGAGAAGAATAGAACTTCATATACCTGTGAGAGTATTACCCTGAAAAAGGAATTCCAGACATGGGATGAAATTTATTACTACAAAGTGTAAGATTGTGTCCTTGCAGATTAATGAGAATTGCTCTGTTATGAGCTTGGATCTTCTCCCATGGATCTGATAGAGGTTTGGGGGAATTCAGAGTATATCAGAAGATGACTGGCTTGCCGAGTAGAATTAATCTGTGGAAACTATAAACACAGTCAGGATCTGTCAGAAGCCTATTTCGTTAGAGATTCAAAGTACTAATGCTATTGTAAAGCACACTGTATAATTACCTAGAACACAGCACAATTTTGGTCACTGAAGAAAGAGACATTTACATGGGACAGGTACAATAAAAGACTGTTAGGACATGAGGCAGAATGAAGAGCCTATATGATAAGGATATTTATCCCCTCTCAGGTGAAAACTGGGAGGGGATATTCTTGCTCTCCATAAATATAACAGACCAGGCAAGGAGGAAGAATTATTTAAGCCATAGTAGCATAAGTATGAACTCTTTACGACTTCTTGAAAACAGATTTTGAACCACCCCAAAAGAGAGCAAATGCACTCGGATTTCAGCGTTTATGAAAGGGGTTAGATGATATTACTCAGGAGGTACCTTCTAGTCTTAGTGTCCTGTCCAAATGCTCATAGCCAGTGTGTGCTAATGCCAGATGTTCAGAAATCATGAGCCACAACCCTAGAATATGTGAACATCCCTCACACACAACACACAAATTGCTTAAACAAAGCATAAAAATTAAAGCAATCAAATTTCTAAGCCAGTCTCACAAAACTTTTAAATTCTGCCTTTCTCTTCCCCTGGCGCCCAATGAAATGGCTTAGAGATCGCCATCTTCCCCAGATTCTCACACCTAAGGGAGCTTTCACAGGTGTTCTTGATTAAATTATGGGCACTTTATCAAAAGCTGCTGACAATGCAAGAGTTTTGAAGTGTTCCTCAGACACCTCTCCCCTTTTTGCCACACTTTGATCTAGCTCACCAGTCCTTCATTTTCCACAGCTGGCAATGAATTCTGTCCCGAAGTCCATTGTTTGAGTCCACATCTCATGTTCTTCTCCAGTTCTGCTTCCCTTGCTTTGCATCTGCTCCACCAGTGCACAGTGCACTTCAACTCGCAGGTCTTCTCTGCACTTTCCCCTTCACCTTTGCCTTTCCCAGGCTAAATGTGCAGACAGAAGGAGACAGGAGCAAAACAAAGAAAAGAAACAACGTGCCTGTAACTGCACTCAAATGCACTTGAAGTCCCCTTCTGGGGAAGTAATTGTGGATATGCTTTCTCTCTTACCAAAAACTTACAGTGGCTCGCTCACAGGGAAGGGAACAAAGCTTTGCCAGTCTTCCCGAGGAGGAGCAGCCTCTGAGATACATCTTTCTCCTTCTCCCCTTTGCAAAAGGAGGATTAAAACTCGTTTGAGGGTCTGTAGTAGCTTTTTTAGTAGCAAGAGTGATTCCAGCCCCAGCATAAATTACGTTCATGAACTCCTGTGTTGGTGTACAGCAGCACCATCTACTGACCCCAAGGCTGTATTTCTTTTTTTGGTTACTTCAGTATGAGCTCACACTTAGTCCTACTAAGAGTTGACATAGTTACATTGAAAACACTAAAGATTAGAAGGTTCTCTGAGCTGGTGAAACAGAAGGGTCCCTACAGATTTGCGGCAGGACTTTGGATCAGGAATGGGAGCCTTCGCAATGCAAGGCAGGGCCTAGGCAGTCAAAAAGCAGCCTTGTTTTTCTACAGATATTGGGACTGCCTCCCATCAGCACAGCTCTCATGGCTGGCACCTTCTGAATAAGAGCTGAGGCAAACACGATGGCAAACGTCCTCTTTCTACGGTGGAGGAACAGCCACCAAATCTAGAGAAGCAGTCTCTGGTGATCTGTGGTGACCTACTGGTCAAAGAAGCCACGGACTCGCTAACTGAATCCGCAGCAACACTGCAGTGCCTCTCAGATACCCATATAAATTAATTGGCCTCCATTGTATGGAGTTGGACTATGTCCCTTTATGTTCAGATGTGGTTCATTAAAACTATGGGCCAGCTCAACTTCTATTGTGCTGTTTTCCATTGTGGTCTGGTCCTTTGTCTCACCATTCACAGCAACTCCGTTTTCTCTTGGAGGCAGATTGTGATCATTGCACGGCACCTGTTTAACTAAGAACCTTTCTTTTTTGGTTCATCCATTAAAACAGACAGATGAGACCTCTACTGAGGCATTGCTTCCTGCTCTGAGGGGAAAGCTGAGCTTCTGTCAAATCAGCCTTTATTAATCATCACAGGAATCACTTGGAAATGAACCAAACTCAAACTGAATTAGTCCTGTTACTTCAAGAGATGCTTCTTATTTTAAACCAGTCATGACTGAGGTTTTATCAAGAAGGACAAAGCTGTGTTTTATTTTAAAAGCAGATTTTCCACAACCTTTTACAAGCATCACACATAATGCTGTGTGGCTCCAAAAGGTGAAATCACACGTGCTTGGTTTCATGAAGCAGTATGATTTTCACTAGGTCTGGTAGACTGCTGATCTAATTTCTAGAGCCAAGATTAGGTTTCTTTTGGTGGGGGGTTGTACAGCTGCAGTTTTTCTCTGCCAAATAGACAGATTATTAAGGAAAACAGATAATCAGATGTTCTCTCCTTGCAGCTGCCATGTTCCTGCTGTGTGCTGTGAAAGTGCCAGAGGCCGTTTCTGACATGCTGATGTCCGAATTTCATCACCCAGAGACAGTGCAGAGACTGAATGCCATTCTCAAGTTTCACACACTCTGGAGGTTTAGGTATCAAGTCTGGCCAAGGATGGAAGAGGGAGCACAGCAGATCTTTAAGGTAGATAGGACACATGAAGCACAATGTTGCCATTTACAACTTGTCTTGTGAGATAGATGTGTAATGACATGCTGCCATGAAATTGCCTGGAAATCTGTTTAGAGAAAAAAATGGTCATGTAAGTCACACTAGTGGGGAAGGTGATGTGTAGAACTCCTGTATAAAATGGGGAGAGTATAATGGGAACACAGATCAGAGAAGACATCAGAGGAAGAAAGAAATGTGTGTCATACATGGTGTTCAGTGGAGTGAGATATGGAGTTGGGAAAAAATGCAGAGGTAATCAATGTCTTTGGTACTTGTACTCATGTTTAATTAACAGTACAGACATTAATAGTAGTCTTAATAAAATGTCTTTAATGTTTTTGTTTAGATCCCTCCTCCAAGCATAAACTTCACTCTGCCTTCTCCTGTCCTGGGGATGCCATCTGTGCCAATGTTTGACCCGCCCTGGGTCCCTCAGTGCAGCGGGAGTGTGCAAGATCCCATAAATGAAGATCAGTCGGTAAGCAGAGACATTGCTAGAGTAAGCATTGTTTTTTCTCTGTAGTCGCATGGGGGAAGCTAAAGCCAAAAGATGTGGACTGAACTCTGAGTTTTCTTGTCTTCCTCAGCTGGGAAAAATCTAGGACACAGTCCGTGTAGGGCACACAGCATTTTCTACATGGACCTAAAGCTTTTATCTTTGTTCACTGAGGTACTGTACTATGTATCATATCCCTGTGAGAGACAGTAACTCAGATCTCGGGAGCACAGGGCTGTTCTCTCTCTGAGAGAAGATTAGTTCACTTGAGCTGCCTAACAGCCCATTTTCTCTGCATTTGTTCATGTGGCATCTCTTGGGATAAGTCTGCACCAAGGCTTATTGTAGACATAGCTCTGAGAGGAGTGTCCTGGTGAATCTCTGTTCAGCTAGCACTAGTCTGATTTGTATTTAGAAACTCAGTTGCTGAATGTCAGAGGTCTCTTGCAGAAAATGCAAGATGTGTGCATCTTAACTAACAGCTTCAGGCTGTGTTTTTTCTCTTTTCTTCCTGACAGAAGTCATTTTCAGCCAGAGCTGTGTCACGTTCCCATCAGCGAGCGGAGCACATCCTGAAGAACCTGCAGCAGGAGGAAGAGAAGAAACGCCTGGGCAGGGAAGCCAGTCTCATCACTGCCATCCCCATCACTCAGGAAGCCTGCTACGAGCCATCCTGCACACCAAGCTCAGAGCAGGAAGAAGAAGGTGTGCTCCAGGGCCAGGAACTGCATTCCAGGAACCTGAGAGTACCTGCCACCAACATAAAGCACTGCTTAGGGGTGTGATGTCTAGGAACGCTGATTCTTAGTGTTAGGAAAGTCACAACCACATCCATTTTTTGAAGAGTCCAAGTCATGGAGAAAAAGTGTAATTAAAATTAACGCAAGAAAAACACAAAACCTTGGATGTGTTGAGTGCTGACTGTGTGACCTGGAGCCCCTTACCCCTCTCCCTGCAACTTCAGTGGAACTTACTAGCATTTAACATCCCAAAGCCCCCAGCATCTTGCAGGATTTAACACAATGAGAATATGCGACAGTAGGAATTAAATTTGTCTTTCCTAACTTTAATAAGTAAAGGGTAGGAGGAATCACCCTTTGGCAGTATCTGTTTAAAGATAGGTAGCTTAGGATAGGCTGAATTGCCCCTGGAGTTTTCTGCCTTTATGGTGACTAGTGGGGGAGCCTAGATGACCAGGTCAACCTCGGTGCCAAACTTTCAGATGGCCAGAGTTACGCAGCATAAGTCTTAGTCTTTGGGTGAGGATTTTCATTGGTCCAGGCTAACGGAGCACAGAGATTTCATTAAAGACCTTCCAAGGTATGTGCCATTAGGTGAGTACAGTGATGTTCAGATCTAAACAGATATTGGGAAATCTGTGAACGTAAATCCCAGTTATTAGGAAAAACGAAGCACCAGCAACCATGCTGGTTAACGGGATGTAGATGAAAAGAAGTATAGAGCTGACTCAGTTACAACGTGACTCACCAAAGCACTGAACACTCTTATGGAACGATGCTCTGCTGGTTCCCAAAGCATGAGCGAGTTATCTATCTGACTGATCTTTATGGATTTTAAATTGTGCCTTTTGAATGTTATCTGAGTTGAATTGTCAATGTTCCAGTTTGGTTTTAAGTGCTATCCTTCAGAAAGTCCCCTTAAGTCTGTCAGTTAGATCTGGATTGACATTTCCTGTTCTCTTTGTCAGTAGAAGAAGTTGCCAACCTGGCCTCCCGCCGCCTCTCTGTGAGTCCTTCCTGCACCTCCAGTACATCTCATAGGAACTATTCTTTCCGCCGTGGCTCGGTCTGGTCAGTGCGGTCAGCAGTCAGTGCAGAAGGTGGGTTGACTTCACTTTGGAATATCCTTTCCTAGGATTTCATTCACTGGAAGCCTTTCTTGTTGACCTATAAAGCTGGTGGCATTTTCTTTTGGTGAATGTATTCCCAGACTTGAGCCACTTCATAATAAATTACTACCCTGCATTATTTTATTCACCCCTGCTGTCACAATGTCTTCCCTTACCTCTCTTGTTTCATTTAGCAAGTAGTGCCATGGAGAGCACTCTAGCTGAAAAATGCTAATGAAATGGGATTTCATCAAAAAGTAAATGGGTTCCCTACAAGAAAAGAAATGTAAATTGAAAAAAATATATATTTACAATGAAAATTATTGATCAATAAGTTGTCTGGAGCCTCAGTTTCTTCTTGGAGATAGCAGTAAACCTGCCGTGCTTGCACAGTGATCAGCCAGCCTGTCATTTTTTTCTGTTTGTACAGCATCTAACATAAATGTTTATCTAACCTGCCTGGATAATACCACAGCTTATTCACCAACACTTACCTTCTACTCTTCTTACTGCTCCAGATGAAGAACACACTACAGAGCATACTCCAAACCATCATGTGCCACAACCGCCTCAAGCTGTGTTTCCAGCATGCATCTGTGCAGCAGTGCTCCCTATTGTCCATCTGATGGAAGATGGAGAAGTCCGGGAGGATGGAGTAGCTGGTACTGACAGAAATTAAACTTCAAGGGATTCTTGCTCAAGGGTGGCAGAACCTGCCTGCACTTTGAACAATGGTTTACATTTGTTAGGTGCCCTAACTAAAGTGGACAAGAGGTGTAACACAACCTTCTATTTGCTCATAGTTCATGCTTCCTAGAAGTATTATGTGCTATATATTGTTATAAGTATATGTTTGTTTAAAAGTTAATGAATAATCTCTTAAATCTTCACAAACTATTTGCAAGTAGGTTCACAACAGAAATATGACTTTTTAGGGTTTTTCCTTTTTTTCTCCATGATTTGTGTTTGGTTTTGAGGGTTTTTTGCTCTTTTGGGGCCCTAAAAAAGCCCCTGATTGAAGAAGGATGTTGAGAAGCTGAAAAGGGTCTAGCAGGGGAATACAGAGATGGTAAGAGGCCTAAAACAGATGTTCTATGAGTAGCAATTGCAGAAGCTGGGTTTGTTTTGTGTGATAAAAAGAAAACACAATTAGAAGAACTCTAACTTAGAGGTTACAACTTGGGATGTTTAGGTTAGATATTTGGAAGGAACTTCATGACCAGAAGCATAGTGCAATTTCTGTGGATTCTTTATCCACAGAAGTTATCGAGCCTTGGCTAGTCAAAGCCATGGTTGACATAATCTGGTGCTGGTGACAGCCCTGCTTCAAGCAGGGCTTGGACTAGAGACCACCAGAGGTCTATTCCCACCAACATTTCTTTGATCCTATGACAAATGGAAAGCCACCTATATACAGTTTGAACATTTTGGTTATGGTCTGTGATGTATTTGTAAAGAAATAATGCATTTTTCTGTACTTCTTTCTCTAAAATGTTTATAGATGGTGGACTGTTGCCCTTCCTTCCTTTCTCATCACTCATCATATCAGCTAATTGCACATTTAACTTTCTGTTACAGTTTGTATTCAGTTTTGGGTGGATGTAGTCAGCCACTTAAATAATGTTCGTGTCATTTTGTGATCAGGAACTGAGTACTGAAAACAAAATAATGAATAATTCTCTGTTGTTAATCTTCAGAGGATTGCAATTAGTTACACTTTGGGGAGTTGATCATCAACACAATTCCCTGCTGACTGTCTAGTACTGTTCACCAATACCAGATAAAATCAATGAATCACCATGAAATTGAACTTCTATGCATGAACAAAAATGTACATGAAATTATGGGGTTTTTAATTGCCAGATTTGACCATCTGGAGTTATGAATCCAAATAGTTATTTCTTTATTATTCCTCTGACAACAGTGGTGAAGTGCTTCCTGTCATATCACTAGTAGTTAAGAAAGGTTCAAATATTAGACCTGTTATTATTGCTTGAGATGAGTACACTGGTGACCAGGAATCCTCGTGCCTCAAAGAGGGTCCTGTGTACATGTACACCTGTACAAAACATGAGAATTGAGGTAGAAGGTTAAGAACATTTGCATCTAAGTGTACAAGTTTGAGGCTTTTCCAAGGGAGATGGTTCTGACCTTGTTTTCTGTCTGGTTTACAGTAAGCGCTGTTGCTCAGCAGGTCCTGTGGAACTGCTTAATTGAAGACCCCTCTACAGTTCTGCGCCATTTCCTTGAGAAGCTCACAATCAGCAACCGACAGGTAAACTCTTCCTCTCCCCAGTGAGTGTATGTATTGCTTAGGGCAGTAGAGCACAGCTGCAAGCAGAATCACTCTCTGGGCATCACTGGAGAACATCATTTGCTATTATAATATAGCTTAAAGTCTTTTAGGCTGTATCATCTGTTGGTTTCAATCTCTGTCCATTGATGTAAACGGGACATAGCTATTTACCACCACTAAGGATCTGACTTGCTCTAAGCCAAGCTTTGAACAGATGCTTAGTGAAGCACAAGCCTTTCTACCTAACACAGGCAATATTGCCTCCACCCATGCCACTCTGTTCAGATTTCTTTGAAGGTGGGGGTGGCCTTGTCTCTCCTTGGCTTATTAGACCACTTTCTAGTGCCATGGCTAAGCTCTATAGAACAAAGGCATACCAGTTTTGACTGGATGAAAGGCAGTGAGACTCTCCGTACCACCTTCTCAAGTACATGCTTACTGTTACAATATCAATAATATAACTGTCCTCATCTTCCAAGCCACTACCTAAGGACTGATTACAGTTCAGAGAGTCGCTTTTGTTTGTTAAGTATCTTTGAGAAGGGAGCTATACATTGTCCAGCCTCAGAGGCCTCTGAGCTATCATAGTCTGCTGTTTTACTGTCTCTTCATTGCCCTACTGCAACCATGAGTACAGAACACAGAGGACAGGTGTATTTCCTTGGAAGCTTTCAGGAGGTGTAAAAAACCCATTGGCATGGGTTTTCCTATGCATATTCATGCCCATAACACTAGCTCAAATCTGCTGTGGGTTAAGAAGATGAGGACCACAGAATAAATTTATGATACAATATGTCTGTCCTTAGCTGACAGTAAGATGCCTTCCCCTCTACACCCCTTTCCAACCATAAGAAATGTATTTGTCTACATTAAAGCAGGCAGCCTCTAAAGGAAGAAAAATAAGGTTCTGCCCTCCTACCCAGCAGCCACAGCTATTGACTTGAGCTGAACTAACTTTCACAGGTCATCTAGGTAGTCATTTGTTCTGATAAGCCACACAGGGGTTATCACAGGGAGAGGAGTGCAGAATCAGGATGCTAGAGTCAGTACAAATTGCAATAGGAGGTATTGACCTGTCTCAGATAAAAAAAAGACAGACATTTACCTGGGTGCCGTGCCCTGAACCTTGTTTGGGGAAATGTGGGAGCAGTCACAAGCATATAGTTCTGCTTCATGTACCAGAGCTGAACAAGGGAGTATGGAACAATGGGAATAAACAACACCAGGGAGGACAAAAGGGAGAAATCCAATCTCCATTTTGTGAAGGAAAGAAAAACCATTTGCTCTTCTTCCAGGATGAGCTGATGTATATGTTAAGGAAGCTTTTGCTGAACATTGGAGACTTCCCTGCCCAGACATCTCATATCCTCTTTAACTACTTGGTGAGTAGCTTGTGGGTCCACTGTGCAGCCCAGAGTCTCACCTCTGCCTATGTGTATCCTAAGAGGTTAATGTCACAATCTGCAAGGAAATAAATGCTCTTAACTCTTCCTTTATAGCTCATATCTGCTTCTGGCTGTGGGTGCAAGTCACCAAGCTTACACCAGCCTTTCATTCCTTCTAGGAAGAGGAAAAGGAACCTTTAACTTTTTATTAAATCCCTAAGCAACCTGTCATGGATTTCTGAATTGAACCAGGGACAATGAGTTGTAGCCCAATAGAAGGATCCCAGTGCCACAAACCTTTATTTTACTTAATTTTGATTCAAAAGTCCTTTGCTCTTGGACAGTCCTATTGGATCAAATCTAGTGGCTTCTTTCTACACTGTGGAAAATGCATTTGCTGCAGTTCTTTCAGTTAGGAGACGAAAAAAGAGACAAGATGTATGCTACTGTAGGAGCCCTCTGTTGTTTGTGAGTTGTTTGTGTGGCAGCACATGAGAGCAGAAGGCGTAGGAATTCTCTTACTACAGAGGCTCTCCCTTTTCCTCATCTGCTATGGCTTTTAAGGCTGGGCTGCAAAAGTACTTTTTGCCCCCACCCCTCATTCTCTCCAGAAAAAGGAAGAATAGTATAGGAAGATTGTTCTGTAGCATGTATAAACTTTCAGGATGCAAGTTTAATGAGTTTATCGCTCTCAGTGAAGAAAGGTAGAACAACATTATTCTTGTTCAGTGTTTATACTATGCTCTGCACAGTGAAGAGTGTGTATAACCTGATACTCCTCTTACTTATTACCTGCAGGTAGGACTGATCATGTATTTTGTACGCACTCCGTGTGAATGGGGCATGGATGCCATTTCTGCCACACTTACCTTCCTTTGGGAAGTGGTAGGTTATGTAGAAGGGCTGTTCTTCAAGGATCTCAAACAGACTATGAAGAAGGAACAATGTGAAGTGAAGCTGCTGGTGACTGCCTCAATGCCAGGTATAAGAAATGAGTCTTTAAATCTACTTCACTTCCAAGTTCATGACCCCCTCTACCGAAAATGAGATCCATCAGAACTGGATCAGAAAAAGATCTGCTACAAATGGCTGCACATTCCAAGTTAGTTTTCCTTGAGTTGAGGATGCGGTCAGTAAATTCCACCTCTAATTCCCTGAGATTCAGAAAGCTGCTTTAAGAGCTCTCAAAGAAGCAAACAAAATGTGAATTAGAGCAGTCTTTTCAACCCAGAGCTTTGTGCCAGTTGGGCTGTGAAAGGCTGGCAGGATGATCATTGTAAGACTCTACTATTCAGATTCAGTTTGATTTGATGCAATTTCTCATTTAAGTCTCGAGAGAGCCCAAGAAAAGCATGTTGTCAGCCTAGGACGTCATGAGTCAGGCAAGAGATATCTTGCCAAAACCCAGATTTGACCTTTTAGGTTTGTTACTTCCTTAGAGTGACAGTTGCTGCTAAAGCCAGCTCAGTCCTTTAGGAACAGATCGATTTCTCATTAACAGTGAAAGTGTGAGACTATGCTAACACTACATAATGGATTCCAGACAGGACTGGCATTGTCTGTCCGCCCAGAAATGAATTTTAACTATCAATTTTCCTCCATGGGCAGTCTTTTGAAATTGAGTTAATTAAAGAGGCCAGGGAGAACGCAACTGCTTTTCTTCCTTTAGGCACAAAGACCCTTGTCGTGCATGGACAGAATGAATGTGACATCCCAACTCAGTTACCAGTCCATGAGGACACACAGTTTGAGGCTCTTCTGAAGGTAGGAGTGAGTTTTTGAACTGGACAAGCTGCTTAATAGTGCATTTACCTGCCATACCTCTATGCCAGCAATACATCCTGCCCAATTGTTCTGTTTCAGTGTGGGGGAGAGAAGTTTTGCTGTGACAGGCATTTCTGTCTCTGTATGCGGAGAGCTAGGCTGCAAGAAACAGTATCCCATATTAAAGGATAATAGAAATGCCCTGACCTTACAGACAGCCAGAACCCCACAAATGCAACTACATTTGAAGACACTGCAGTTTGTTTAGTATTTGCTGTGTACTGTCCTTTGGATAAATACATACATAATTTAAATGTTTGGTTTTATCAACACTAAAGACTAAGAAGTATGATCAAGATTAGAGCGGAAATAATGGTTCAGTGGCCATCATGATATCTTGAGATCTAGGAGTTGTGAGATCAGTTCCTCCTTGTGCCAAAGATTTCCTGCATGGCCTTAACTGAGCCCCACAGGAAACAGATTCGTAAAAGCCTTTGGTTTGTGCAACTATGTTAAATTTTAATGGGAATCACACATCTCAGTGCTTTGAAGGACTGGAACTTTGGTGTCTCTGTACATCACCTATCATTAAAGTTTGATAAATACATAGTGTGGACATGGAAGCCACAATACCCATGTGGCTTATATAGCCAGACACATATGTGCGATATGAAGACATTGAAGTAAGTAACCAGTCTTCAGGACTGTGATGTCAGCATGCCTTGACTATCATGAACATATTCATATACTTTATGATTAAAAAAATAAATTAGGAATAAATGGCAGAAGAGTGTACCAGCCTGACTAAGGCATGCAGGTCTGTACCTTTACACATTATTAGCTGGATATTCTTTTGGATGTTATGGTCCTAGACAAGCAGCTAATAAGTAACAGAATGTTTTTCTTTCTTCCACTTCAGGAGTGTTTGGAGTTTTTTAACATACCTGAAACACAGTCTTCTCATTACTTTTTAATGGATAAGCGATGGAATCTTATTCATTACAACAAGGTAAGGCAAAGGTCAGGCCCAGGTGCCTTGGTTCTTTCCATCTTGTCCCTTTTTAGACATCAGAGTTATCTAAAGGAGAACAAGCAGCCCATAAACAGACAGAATTCTGTCCTGTGGGCACCAACATCTTGGGTGTTTTGTTGTGTGTGGTGAAAGATTGGAGTTTGACAGAGGGAACTGGCAGAAGCGGAGTCCCCTGCTCTTATGTCATTAAGTCATTAATGTCTAGTTTTCTTAGAAAAGAGCAAATTTCTCTTCTCTTTATGCTCTTCCATGATGCCTGACACTGCCTGAAAGCCCCTACTCAAAAGCTTCAGAAAGGGCTGAAGGGCTTTTTGTTGCATCCTGTTGAGTGATGCTGTTCCAATTACATTTGTTTAAAATGCACTTGTTTCCTTTCCTGGCAGACCTACGTCCGTGACATTTATCCTTTCCGGAGGTCAGTTTCTCCCCAGCTCAACCTGGTGCAGATGCATCCAGAAAAGGGTCAAGAGCTCATTCAGAAGCAGGTATCTTACTGTCACCAAACACCTCTGCCCAGAAACAAACCCTGTAAATAAAGCTTTCTTTTCCCTTTTAAGGCCTTCACTCATGCTGCATGCAGATAGAGGGCTTTGCTGGAGAAGTAGCAATTGGCATGAAGTCTGCCCTGGTGCCACTGGACAGGTGTATGGTATTTTAAGAAGAGTCAATGCAGTGTGAATTCCATCCTGCTCTCTCCAACCAACTTCTTTTAGGTGTATCATTTTGTATTCTCCTACACTTGACCAGAAGAGCTTTAGTTGCCTTAGCTTCAGAAGTTGCTTATTCCTTTCTTTAACATGACCTCTGGCTCTTTAGGAACACATTTAAAACCTTTTCTTTGCAAGTCCATCTGGCTGTGGAGCAGGAATTATCTGTTCGAACTTCTCTGTCCTCTCACTGTAGAGAATGTTACCTGCATTCTCTTCCTCACCCCGCTCTCAGATGCTAGACTTTTACCATAGCCACCCCCAGAGGCACAACAGTAGCAATTGTTTTGTCAGGGGAATATCTGCTCTCAGAAAAGCACTGTCCTCAATATCTTCCAGCCTCATGACCTGTTCATTTTTCCAATCTTGCCTAATGCTCTGCAGCTCCAGGAGTTCTCCCTTAGGAATTAAATTCTAATTTAAGTGGCAGGGTGTTGCCTTCAATGTGCTGCAAATCCCTACAAGTATCATTGCTTTAGACAGTAAAACAATGGTATTGAGCTCACTCTACCCAGAGAAGCCACATGCTCTGTTTTCCACAAAAGCAAATTTGTCTCAGTAGCCCAGGGTTGAGTGTTTAGAGGAAAGTTGCTCTAGCTGTATCTGCAAAGGATGATAATAAGCCGGAATAAAAAGGAGGGGGAATATGGTTAAACTGTATGAGTTTGATATTAACAGTTGTAGTATTCTAGCCAAAAAGCAGCTACTGTAGTTGTGTCCCTGGCAGTGTGCAGAGTTGAGTGCAGAGACAGGAAAATATCAGGAATGGTTCCAAAAAGCAGCTATAAAGCTGCTTAAGAGAGACTAGCAGCTAAATGGAGAATATAGTTAATGCTGTCTCATAAGTGTATGATACAGAATAGGGAAATATTTCATGTGCTGCATCTGTCAGTAGAAAGTCTATAAAAATCTGAAATTACTTGGAATCATTTTGATTGCTTCTCTGGCAGAAATTATTCTCTCTATGGTTCTAGGACATGTGTCCCACATATCAAATAAATGAGTTTGATATGTCCTGCGTGACCCCAAAATATTAAAATGGCCAATCCAGTTTTGTCAGGGTGTTATTTTACAGTCCCCATTTTTCTGTTTAAAGTACTTGGAGGCCAAAATATTTCTAAGGCAAAACTTAAAATCAAGCATCTACCAGCCTCTCTGAAGTCATGCAAGAAGTTGCTGGACAACATCCAACTTCAGCAAAGAAAACAGCACTGTAGAGTCTATGCACAGAACAGCAATCCATGGAACAGTACTTTCTTTGCTGTTGATTGCTTGAGCACCGAATTCTAAAATGGGTGTACTTCAGAGCAAGGTGACAGCAACTGCAGGACGTGGGAAGCTGAGCTTTGTCACATGTTAAGCCACATGCTTCACGTTTTGGCTTCATCCCAGTAGTTAAGAGCTGTCTCAAAACTGCTTCTGAAGACAGTTGCTTCTACTATTGAGTATCACTGCCTTATGGTTACTTTTAGCATCAAAATAAAATAGCTAGCTTGACTAGTTCTACCAGTCAGAAGTTCAAAGGAAGCTGGTAAATGGATCTCAGTTTCCCAGCTGGTGTAAACCAGAAGCAATAAACTGAAGTCAGCAGGACTTTGCTCATTTGCAGTAACTCCCAATCTGCTCTGCTTTGTTTTATGACTTTTCTTTTGCAACTATACATACACTTTCTGTTGCCAGACATGAGCCAGCCTCAATTCAGAAGGAAGATAACAATTCCAACCTCATGTTGACTATAGTCTAAGACCTTGCAGAGAGCAACTGTAACTGTTTGGCTTTCAGTTTGGCGTTGGTTGGCCTCTGACTGCCTTGGGTCTCACACTGGCAAAGCTTACATTAATCTACAAAAGACCACATGGCACATCTGCAAAGTGTTTAACAACCACTCGGGCTCCTCCACAAGGCTGAAATAGAAAGTGTTGAAACCTCTTTTACAAACATGATCCATCTTTGCGGAGCTGGGCTGAATAACAGTGGTCACACAAATTCTAGCAGAAAGGTGCAGCACTAACCCTGTGAATTTCAACAGTTTTCTCTGGGCTATGAGTGCAGCATCCCTCCCATCAGAGAAAGCCATGGAAGCTAACCTAGAATAGTGCATATACATTGTAAAGAAGTTTTTGATCAGACTGATTCTAATCTTTGTCTCTTTTTATCTCTCAGGTGTTCACCCGCAAGCTAGAAGAGGTGGGGCGGGTGTTGTTCCTCATATCCCTGACACAGAAAATCCCTACTGCCCACAAGCAGTCCCATGTATCTATGCTTCAGGAAGACCTCCTCCGCTTGCCTTCCTTTCCCCGAAGTGCCATTGATGCTGAGTTCTCACTCTTCAGCGACCCCCAAGGTATGGCCTTTTGATAGCTTCCTCTGGTGGTTTTCAGGGCCCAGAAGGTTTCTGCGAGGCACTTCATTTGCCTTAGAAATGTACAGATTTGTAGCATTACTGAATGCTGATACATCTCTTCCTCGGGAAAATGATACATAGCTGTTGGTTTGCAAGCACAGCAGCACAAAGGTTTTTCCTGGTAGAAGTCTCCAGACAAAGCTACTTGTCTTTGGACCCTAATGAGAATGAATTCTAATTCTGTATTAAAATTATGCATGAAACTACAGCTGGAATACTGTGTCCAGTAACATAACTGCACCTAAAAACAAACAGCACCTAAAAAGGGCTGTTTGGAGTCCTTTGCCATCCACTTTGAGGAAGCAATGGACTTCCAATGAAGACTGGGCAAACTCTGCAGCAGGCATAAAGAAACAGCCCTCTTTTTAGAAACTTTGCTCTGAAAGTCAAGTAGGATTTCCAGCCTGACTTGGGGATTAAACAAGTGGGGCAGATGATGTGTGTACAAGCTCAGATCTGCTTTCACTTTTTAAGAGGAGAATTTCCAACCAGTGGGAAGCAGATTTAATGAGCTGTGTGATATTCATCATTCTTCATTTTCATGTCACGGTTTGCTCAGTCCCTGTGGATACTTCCAGAAGTACAGGATGGGTGAAATAATTTTTAAAAGGCACAACAATGGTCAGTGTTGTGAGGTGGTTCTTTGGAGAGGCCTCTGACCTCTGGGAATGTTGTGGGGCTGGCTGTGGTGGACAGAGTTGATTGCTGTTGCCTCTTTTCTCCACAGCTGGGAAAGAACTGTTTGGTCTGGACACTCTTCAGAAAAGCTTGTGGATTAAGCTGCTGGAGGAGATGTTCCTTGGCATGCCCAGCGAGTTCCCCTGGGGGGATGAGATCATGCTGTTCTTGAACGTCTTCAACGGTGCCCTGATCCTGCACCCTGAGGACAGTGCCTTGCTGAGGCAGTACGCTGCCACAGTCATCAACACAGCTGTGCACTTTAACCACCTCTTCTCCCTCAGCGGGTACCAGTGGGTCCTCCCCAGCATGTTGCAGGTGAGCCATTTCCATGAACAATAGGAGGGAAGACTTCTGAGCAAGCACTTTGTTATAGAACTGACTGTTAAAGGAGAAACTTTCAAGTGCTGAGTCCTGGTGAGGTCATAGATTTGTGGGGGCCCCAAGAAAACAAACAACACATCCGGGTAGGATGGCCCAAATCAGCATTCCTGAGACTACATTCCCTTTTGTTGTTCAGTAAATGACTACATTTTCTTTTCTTCTTTATGTTAAATAAATGAATGTCTGTTTCCTTACTATGTACTTCCACAAAGAAATGAAAAATTTCTAGAAAATTTTTGGACCTTGGATCTCCCTCAGTGTTTTTACCTCCAGGGATGGCTGAAATTTGGGGAATAGTTGAAATATCTGTATTCGCTGCTTGCTGATTGAAACTAAATTATATTCACTTCTTTAAGTATGAGAATTCTATTATCTGCAATTTAAATAGCAACAGATAATAACATTAAACATTTATGAAAAACTATATGTTGTCTTTTCATATGAGCGATGACAGTGCAAGTGCCAGAGGTGGAGTTTCTTCTCACTTTGAGGTGTACAATTATGCCTTTTTTCCTGTTGACATTTGAGAAAAATTAGATACTGAATATAAAAAAGCCTCAATATAGTTCTTTTACAGACAAAAAGATTATTTCTGCAGGGCTTGAAGACAATATCTGTTGATAGTGGTTTAGTATTTTAATGCAAATACAGAAAAAACTATTGTTTCTGTAAAAGAAGCAATGACCATTATATCCCTGTGTATGTTCACTTTAACATAGTTAACAGAGCACAATAATTAGAACCAGTGACAAATTTAGCTATCTAAACAACCTCTTTAGTAACTGGAAACTCTAATATCAGCCTTACATGGTTAGGTAAGTATGTATTGGATCCAGGTCTGCAGTGGATGGGTCTATTCATTAGGAACAAGACATTTTGAAATAAATTAATTCAAAGTACTTGGTGGCAATCATTCAGTCCTGTGAAGGACTCTCCCTTTATTTGCACTTTTCTTATGGAGAGAAATTATTTTTGTGATTCTTTCTACCCTCCCTAATTATTGCCAACTACTGAATTAATAAAATACCATTCTTGGGAGGCAAAAAAGCAATTCCAAAAGAAAACCCAAATGTTGCGTGGCTTGTTGGTTTTGCAGACCCTCCCATCTCTGTTCTGGGCACCTAAGATCAGCTGGTTTGTTTGTGATCATCACAAACAAATTCTTCTACAACTTCTGGGCTTGAGCCAGCCGATAATAGCTTAATTCATGATGCATCCGTGCACACACCATGCTCTTTTTCTTGTAGGTTTTTCCACTTTCCTTGGTGAAATGCATATATAGTTAGTTATTTCCCTTTTCTCAAGGTAATTAGATGTTGCAAATGTAACAGGCCATGGTGATTGACCGGCCTCGTAAGCATGCTAGAAGCTGCTGATTATTAAAGACATACTAATCTCTTCAGCCTATAGGCTGCTGAGAAGTGAATACTTCTCTGCAGAGGTCTCACACACTAATGATTTTTTAGAAACCTTCAAGAGCCCTGTGCTGTAATGTGAATTTTGCACTACCATAAAATCTCAACATTACCTGTTGCCAGCAAATAAGCAAGAAAATCCTGCCCACCCCAACTCCAAGCCTCCCACAGACGACTTGTACCAGCAGAGAATTGCAGACAGGCAATGGAAAAGGACAGAAGGAGGAAGCACAGTGAAGTTGTTCCTAGCAGTTTATACTGTTTACATAACTGGGAAAGAAATCCCACATCTTTGACAACACATTGGCTGCATGGTTCAGCACTCTAAAAACCTTAAAATACCTTAAAAGTGGGTGGAACTGTTAGTATGTTGGAGGACAGGCTAAGAGTTCAAATTATCTTGACAAACTGGAGACGCCATCTGAAAAAAAAAAGAAAGAAAAACAGATTATGCTGATCAGGTTGGACAAGTGTAGGTCCTTACTTATGAATAATCAGCCACATAAATACAGAAGGGAAAGTAACTGATTCAGTAGCACTTCTGTAGTACAGAATATTGGAGTTGTTATAAAACTGAAGCTAAACATGAATCAACAGTGTCCTTCTGCTGAAAGATAAAAAAGAAAAAGAAAATATCTCAAATGCCATTCTGGGATGACTACACAGATCTGTATCTTGTGAAAGAAACATGTAATAATTCTGCTGGTCCCATCAGCAGCACTCCTGACTTGAAGTGCTGGCTCTGTCCAGCTGTGGGCACTGCACAAAAACCATCAGTTATTGAAGAGACTACAGACTAGAAAACGTCATATGAGAAAGAACTAAAAGAGCTGGGATTTGATTAACTGGAAGAGATTAAGACTAAGGAAGTAAAGCACTAACCAGGTTCAAAGAAGTAAAGTGCTTCTAGGAAGGAGAGGGAAGGAATCTACCCCTGATACATAGGACAAAAAATAATGGACTAAAGCCGTGGCAAAGAAGGTTTGGGAGTGACAAACAAACATTTTTTCTAAGGATAATTTGTCCCTGAAATGCATTGCCAGGGAGGGTGGACAAGTCTCCATCTCTAAAAATGTTAGGCAAACGTTTCAGGAATGACAAGGCTGTGGTTAATTCGGTCTGGGGTCAGGAGATTAAGAGCCTGAGTAATGAAGAGTAATGCTTCCATGTCCTTTTCCATTTGCTCAGGTATATGCTGACTATGAAAGCAACCCACAGTTACGCCAAGCGATTGAGTTTGCGTGCCGCCAGTTCTACATTCTGCATCGCAAGCCCTTTATTCTGCAGCTGTTTGCAAGTGTGGCCCCTCTCCTGGAGTTCCCTGTGAGTAAAAGCCATTCCCTAGTCTCAGCGCAGGGAAGCCTGTGTATGCAGCCAGCACCTCATCAGAGATCACAAAGAGAACACACCTGGAGCAGCAGCACGGTTCTTACTGAACGTGTGCTTACTGCACTTGGTGCTGCACAGAACCATTCCCTGAACTTATTTCTGCATGCTTCTTTTCATCAGTTGATTGAGCAGGATGCCGAGATAATGGGACACTGGTATCCAGGCTAGTAAATGTAGTCTCACTTTAAATTTCTGTTTATAAATAGAGTATAAAAGAACAATAATTATTTGTAAGTAAAATCCCTTCTTAGAATCCAGCAATAGGAACAAAAAGCTGAATGCCAAGTTTTAGAACATGTGAACTATAAGACTGGATTAGCCATATTTTGAAATATTCACTAATTACTTTTTAAAATTTTAGTGAGTGAAAACAAGTTAATAGAATTTTAATTTGAAGTGGGACTACCAAATCTAACTGCACATACAGTGTAAGCACACACATCTTTCTCCTTCACAGGGCAGCAACGATCTGCTGTTTCTGGGAAGTAAAGCTCTGTGCAGTTTTCAGATCATGCTTCCACTGTAGCATCAATCTGTTGAGTCAGTCAAAGATTCCTGTTTGATAGCAGTAAGCTCTTGAACTTCATGTGGGACCTTTGTCAAAAAAAAAAAAGGTTGCCCACACCTCCAGATAAAGATTCCTGGGATGCACACAGGCCCTCAGAAAATCAACAACAAATGTCTGTTGTTGAAACAGGATGCTGCAAACAACGGAACCAGCAAAGGAGTGTCAGCTCAGTGCCTGTTTGACCTGCTGCAGTCTTTAGAAGGAGATACTCCAGACATTTTGGACATCTTGGAGCTGGTGAAAGCAGAAAAGCCTCTCAAGTCGTTAGGTAACAGCAAAGCACATTTTATTCAGTAATTTGGGTTTGTTGTTCATTGATTTAACGTGCATTTGATGCAGCATGATTTGTTCAAATTTGAACAAATTTGGCCCTTTTCTTCTCCCAGAATGCAGTCATATCTGTTGCTTATGCCTCATGAGGCTTTTAAGGTTGGCTTTATCACCACCATCCTTTTGATATTTTCCACAGGAAGGGAGTTACTAATGTATTTTATTCTAAAGCTGCTTCTTCTGCATTGCGCCTGCTACTCTGAGACTGCCCCCCGGCATTTTGAATTTTATCATGTGTGGGTGAAGAATAAAGACGCCTAATAAACTGTATGATGCTGACAAGATCAATGTCGTCCTCTCCTGTGCTCCATGTGGGCAGGAAACAAAAGCATTCTCTCCTGTGGGTAGACTATGACTAGTAAATGATGGATGCCATGCAGACATTAAACAGTGCTGAGTTCTCAGAGGGAGGTGATTTATCATAAAGCAGAGTATATATGGCTGCACGATGTATCCAGGACACTGTGTCTCTTGTTAGTTATCCATGCAATGCAGCATTTAATAATTTGCCTGCTTTGTGATTTGCAAGGAAGTAAATTTTGCTGATTTTTGTGAGGATCTTCAACTTATTTTCCAAGTTTGCACTTCCCTTAAATAACACTGACTTTGGCGAACTGTGAAGCCTGTCTAGCCTTAAAGCTTTATTACATACTGGGATTTTATGATGCTGCACAATTAAATCACAAGTTGTCATATAAAATGGTACAGAAACAGAAGATATTTCTGGATTGTAGGAAACATTTATATAAAAGCTTTGGGGTTTTTGTGGAGGGTTATTCAAAGGCATCTCTGAAAATTCCCAAGTGTGTGTTGACAATGAGACTGTAGATGAGTATGTTGTGTGCCTGGTATTTTTCATACGAACTGACTGACTTCCAAATTCCATTATTGAAAGTGATTTACATACTTTGGGACCTTCACTTTGACTTGAATCATAGAATAGTTTGGTTGGAAAAGACCATTACAATCGTCTAGTCCAACCATAAACCGAGCATTGCCAAGTTCACCACTAAAGCATGTCCCCAAGTATCACATCTACATGTCCTTTGAATACCTCCAGGGATGATGACTCCACCACTTCCTTGGGCAACCTGTTTCAATACTTGACAACCCTTTCAGTGAATAATTTTTTCCTAATATCCAACCTAAACCTCCCCTGGTGCAGCTTTAGGCCAATCCCTCTTGTCCTATTGCTTGTTATTTGGGAGAAGGGACCAACACCCACCTCCCTACATTCTCCTTTCAGGTAGTTGTAGAGAGCAATAAGGTCACCCATCAAAAAGGTCTCCTGTTTTTGGGTTCCTCTATACCAAAATCACTTCTGCAAATGGGACTATAAGTTGTATTGCAAATATTATTCTTTTGATATTTCAGTATCTTTGTGCCTGTCACTAATTATCCCCAAAGTAATATTTGCTTAATGCTTTTGAAAACTTTTTCTCAAATCACTAGCAAACCAGACTCACTTTTGTGCTGCTGCCTGTGTAGCTTCCAGTATAGAAGGGAGTTGATTTTTTAGAAGTGAAACTATCTTCTGGCATCAGTGGTGTATCAGGATCACTTTTAGTGTGGTGGAAACATTTAGGAAAAAGCAGAGGGAGCATAAAAACTGTCATTAAGCTGACATGTGTCCTTGTCACCTATAAGCTTAAGATTTTGCTTGCGATGGGTGATGTTTGAAAGAGGACTCCAGTAGCAGCTGTAAGGCCTTATGCTCAGCAGTGATTTGACCTACTGAGAACTGTTTCTCACCTACAGAATTCTTGGATGGCAGGGTGCAAGTGGGAGTGCAGCATATGTTTTCTTTTTATCAACAGATTTCTGTCTGTTGACAGAAATCAAGAGCGTTGATTGGGGATTGTTAACATGAGAAGCAAACAACTGAAAAGGGGAAAAAGGAAGCAGTGTGCTAGCTCCTTTCATATTCAGTATGCTTGTGTGATAGTCTTCTCATATTGGTTTACTCCCTCAGACTTCTGCTATGGGAATGAAGACTTGACCTTTTCCATCAGTGAAGCCATCAAGCTGTGTGTGACAGTGGTGGCCTATGCTCCTGAATCATTCAGAAGGTGCTAATCTGTTTTCTTGGTTTGTACAGACCCAGAAAAGGCATAAAAGCTGCACATGGCATGCAAAAGCCAGGCAGACAAATGGAGGCAGGGATATAGAAATACATTCCAAGTACAGGGCTTCTCTGTGAGGCCAAGCCTCTGCCTGTTGATACCTTTCCTAAGGCACTGGCTCCATATCCTGCCTGCCTGCTAGCTGCAGCTCTAAGCTGGATGGCAGTCTGAGCAGCAACACTTAGGCTGTATTTGCAGGTGGGGATCACACTGTGTCCTGCAGGTTTCTGTTGTCAGAGAAGCAATGGAGAGGCAACTGGAGGGGAAAAATAGGCAGCTGGAAAGAATGGGAAGATACAGAGAGAGGGGAGGTAAACTGGTAGAGCAAAGTAGTTAGTTTCCCAGAGGGATCTAGAGAAAAAAAGGTGTCTTTGGAGGGGAAAATGAATGTCTCCAAATGGATGACATTCAGAAGATACCCAGAAGTCTGGGTTGTTGTTATTATTACTGTTTCATGCATCAGCTAGTTTTCCCCCTGATATCTCTGATCCAAGAGTTTCTCTGGCGCAAGACTGCTTATCTAGTTAGAAGCAATGAAATCACAAGGCCAGCAAGAGATCCATGGGTCTTCAGATAGAAATTCCACCTGATGAGAGTTTCAGGACTGACAAAATAAGACAGATCAAGTATTGGTTATTTTTCCAGCCTCCAGATGCTGATGGTCTTGGAAGCGCTGGTTCCCTGTTACTTGCAGAAACTGAAACGACAAACTTCTCAAGTGGAGACTGTGACAGCAGCTCGAGAGGAGATCGCTGCTATGGCTGCCCTTGCCACCTCTTTGCAGGCCCTCTTGTACAGTGTAGAAGTTCTCACCAGGTAACCCACATCGTTCAGAGGTCTGAGCCTTGGTTATCAGTCCAAGGAGAGGGAATGCACAGGAGGTCATGGTATGCAACTTAGCTTGGATAATGGTTGAGCTTTAGATGTGGTAAAATTAGTGCCAAATGTGACCAGATCACAAGCAGAATTTCAGTGCACTGGTTAGATTTAGGCTATAGTGTGCTATTCATCTTCCCTTTGCCAGGCCTATGACAGCCCCACAGATGAGTCGATGCGACCAAGGCCATAAAGGGACCACAACAGCAAACCACACCATGTCAGCAGGTGTGAACACCAGGTAAGTCAGTGGGCTTTTCTTTCTTTCTCATTTTTCTGAACAGCTGTTTTTTGTTTGGTTTTTTTTTTTTAGTAAGGTAACTTCTCATTGCTCAGAGTGCTTGGAGCACTTCCTCAGCTATCTGAAGAAGTGCTCTAGGTACTGGGAGAGAAAAAAGTCAGATAAAAAGAGCACATAGCCCCGGACTGTATTTCTGACAGTAAACAAAATCCCCAAGACTATGATTTCCAGTTAAATCCATGTGACTAACTAGAAGACGAGGATATCAAAATGGAGGACACCCACCCTAAGTGTGTTTATCTTTGTTTCCCTTTTCATACTCCAGAGATATACTAAGAAAGCGACTATGTCCCTCAGTTCTCTGCTTTGCTTTTTCCTGCATCCACTGCCACAGTGACCACTGGGCAGAGCACACTTGGATGGCAGAAGGTTTAGGTCCTCCTGACCTTGTTCTAAGAGACCAAACAGCAGTAAAAGCTCAGACTGTTTGTCAGGCAGAGACTGTCACCTCTTCTACTTTTCTTTTCTTCCTTTTTTCCATCTCCTTTTACTTTTACTATGGTATCATTCTATCACCTTTACCTCCACATGATCTGGATTTTGGTTTGGTTTGAGGTTTTGTTTTTTTGTTTTTTGGGGTTTTGGGCTTTTTTTGCAGTTACAGATAACAGAGAAATGGGTTGCAGAGAATTTTGAGAGAAAGGGAAGAATGATTGGGAATATTTTTGTCCTTCTTTAAAAAACTCACAAAAAAACACACAAAAAAAAATGCAGAAGAAGGAAATCAGGAAGGAGTTGGTGCCAGTAGACTGTAGTACTGCTCCTTGGCCATATTGGCCATTCAGATTAGGCTGCTGCAAATTAGACAAGGCTACTGGACAATCTAGTCATAGAGCAAGGGCTTAAGAAATCTTGTAACAAAATCCACCCACAAGCATTTGGGATTATGAAGGTTTTCTTTGCAGTACTGATTACTCTTCTGGGCAGCCCTGCCTTCTCCTGGCCAGCCTATGCCTTACTGTGCTTAAAATCTGAATCCTTGGGCTGACCTGGAAAGGAAATTCTCCCCTAACAAAAGCTGGAGTAGCTGTTCTCCCAGAGCAGATTATTTCTCTTTTGTCTGTAACAGCTGATAATAAGTCTGTGCACAGCCAGTGTCTAGTACAATACCATGAGCTGTATAGAACTGGAAATCAGGAGCACCCTTCTGGCAAGACATGCTTTCTGAGTTATCCTCTTTTGTATTGAAGTATGATAGAAATCACTCTCTACATGGATCATCAAGGAGCTATTGTGTCAATTTGTAGATGTGTAGTGCGCACATCTTGCTTGGTAACTCCTGGAATCAGTCTGTTATTCTTTAAGATTGATTCACGCATGGGTGAAACACAGCTTTGACATTCAATCCTGGATCTGAGAAGCAGATAAACCCCTTCATGCTCGAGTCTAGGAAAATAAGGTGTGGTGGAAAGTAGTGCTTTATTATTTGTCTGCTGCTTTTGGAGAGCAGTTAATATGTATCTGCTGTTAGGCAATGTGGAGACTCCTGATGCTGTGTGACTCTAACATCTTGGTTTATATTTCCAGATCTTTCTGATTATAAAACATTCAGTCTCTGATCCAAAATATTTTTGCACTGCTCCAGGTTTCATGTCCTTATTTCTTTTGTTGTGTTATCATTGCAACAGACATCTGCTAGCAACAGCAGGAGTCTGGTGATGGTAGACATGATCACTGTTCCAGCCTTGGACGTGTTAGCCAAGTGGTGCAGGGTTTGTTACTGCTTTCTCTACAAGAAGTGGCAAGAGAAAATGACAATAAAACAAAAAAAAACACTCTGAGGTATTCTTTACACTAGCTGAGCTCTGACTTCATGAAGTAGACTGAGCACTGAGGTGAAAATCAGTAAAAGAAATTGCTTGAAAGATGGTTCTGGTTTTGAAGCCTGAATTTTTCCTTTTGTAATAAGGGCAGTAACTATAGGAATCTGTTGTTTGCTGCCAGTTGGGAGGTGAAGGCTATTCAATGTGGTCCTTAACTATGTATAGCCATTGTTCCAGTGATACAAGATACCATCCTGCCCATGGTGAGTGTACCCCTGGGCTAGAACAGTGCTGCCTTCTTTCAGAAAGGCACAGTTTAGGCATTACTAAGTTGCTGTTTACAACTGCACTATTTCTGTTTTCCTAGGTACCCAGAACAGGGAGCCAAACTACACTTCATCAGGTACAGTAAAATCTTCACCCAGTCTTCCCTGACTTGTGATGAACTGTTCCCCAGCAGTTTCCAGGTTGACTGGAAACCACCCACTGTCGCTGTGACCGGTGGTCTTTTTTCAGGGGAGGATAGTTCATATAGAAATCATTGAAGTTCTTAACAAGACTTTGCAGATTATAATTTTTCCCTTTTTTTTTAATTGCAGATGCAACTATCTTTCTTTTTAATTGCAAGGGAAAGCATCTGTTGCAGAAACAAGCTGAAGAGGTTGTTAGAATCTATCCCTGCTTTTACACTGCATATAACAGTACCTATTTTTTCTCATTTTATACCCTCCAGAGAGAACCTTCACTTATTGGAGGAGGGCCAAGGTCTTCCCCGAGAGGAGCTGGATGAACGAATTGCCAGAGAGGAGTTCAGGAGACCGCGGGAGTCATTGCTGAATATCTGCACAGAGTTTTACAAGCACTGTGGTCCGAGGCTGAAGATTTTGCAGAATCTGGCTGGTGAGCCCCGAGTGACTTCTCTGGAGCTGCTGGATGTGAAGTCCCACATGAGGTATTCCACAGGCATTCTGCTTTAACTTGTTCATTTCAGGGGGATTCCTTTCTTTTAGCTCTTAACTTTTCGTAATAGCAGACAGAATCATTTTTTGGTAGTGTAGTTGCATGTTGCCATCTGAAACATGCAGAACTTGTTTTGGATGTTCCTTAGATTGTACTTGGTGCTGCTTGTGTGAAAGGAAGGTCTCATTCAGACCCCATCTCCAGTGGATGAAATAGCTCCATGGAAGCCCATCTGATACATCAGAATAAGTTGCAGTGAGGAGCAGAGCAGGTAAAGCTGCCTCTGCAGGGCAAGGGGGTGTGGAAGCTGCCTAGCTGACTGAATACGACCTTTATCCTCTCCTGTGACACTGTGTGTCAGAACCACCTGCTAACAAGCAAGAACAGCCGAGCAGCCACTGCACTGTATTGCATAAATGCCTGAAATACAGAGGAGGATGGGGCAGGAGGCATTTACCTCCCTGTGAGATACAGCAGGTGTGCAAGGCTTTTATTAAGGTGCAGCACTGTGCCCAGCTTGCTGGTTGGATGCAAACTGCAAACTGTTTCACGTGGTGCTGACCTAGAAGAAGTTGGACCTAGGGCCTTCCAAACACTTTGGGCCTGATTATCTTCTCTGTGTTTGCAGTTCATGGTAAACACAAAATAGTGCAAGTTGCTACTGAGAAGTTTGTCCAGATGTAAATGGTGACAAAAGCAATGGGCCAAGAGGGAATGGACCTGATTCTGTTGTCAGTTTTTCATTCATTTTCAGGGGAAACTCCTTTCTCACCTCGTATTTTCTCAGGAAACATAAATGAAAACAGGACAGATACTCTCCGAGTTAGCCACAGTTAGCACTGTTCTGACTGGTGCTCTTTAGAAGGAAAACTGGGATTAATATGAGGCAGTCCTAGTGCATCCCTTGGCAGGTGGGGTCACAGAGAGACAGCTATCTGAATTCTTTTATGAGACAGAGAAAGACTTCAAGATCATTCTTTGAATACAGAACAGCTCAATACCAAGAGGCCGTTTTTTATGGCCTAAGCCAAACAGTGCTCAGTAGAGTATTAAAGTAAATAGGGAAGATAGTGAAGATCTGGATATCTGGGACTGGCCTCAAAAGTGACTCAGGACCATTGTAACAGTAAGTTATGTTGCACCCTGAACCCCAAGATGCAATTCTGGCTGCAAATTATTGCTCTGTTTGAGCACTATACTTTTGTCCTGTAAAGGAGGCTGAAGGGTGACAGATCCTAGCAATGCACTGAACCAGCCCTGTTCCTGCCCCTGTTCCAAGGAAAACCCTGAAAAAGCTCTTCTACTTTTTACATGAGTGCTCTGGAAAAAAATGGCAAAGCTGCTTAGCTGGCAGATTCTGTCACAATTAGAGATCTTCGGATTCAGGATGTCTCTGAAGAACATAAAATTGTGTTTGACATTAATTTAGGTCTTGTTTAACAAATGCTGCAAATTCCTTTGGGAATTGAGAGGTGGTTTTTGTTTGGTTTGTGTGTTTGCGTAGGAATTGAATATGGTGTTACCCCCTCTGGCAAATGTTTAATAATTTAGAGGATAATTTTAAACAAAGATGCCTGTTTCCATAGATGCAAGTCATTCTTATGTAGTGCTTGGCTGCAAAAAACTGAAAACCTGATGGACATGGCTGCTTTTGAAGTGCCACCTTTACATTTTTTCCAAGGGACACAAGCCTCAGAAATCAATACATCTGTTTAGCCACATTACAAACTCCATGACTTTTAGCAATGGAAGCCTGAGATAAGAACTTTAATCTTATGTTAGAAACAAAGGTGAGATTTTCAGGACAGCTTATGTCCTTGGTTAGACATGTTGTGGGGTTTTTTTATTATTTCAGTGGGAGTGAGAAGCATGTGTCTGATGAATTAACTTTATTTAATGCAGTAAAGTAAGGGGCTTAGTTCTTTTTGCTATCCTATTCTTATATTTGTATGTGATACAAGAATGCTGTAGTGTACTACCCAGAAGTATTTTCAATAATGTGGGAATTTCATTTCTACGTGTTTTTATATTCCAGAGTAATTGAGTTTAATTGTTCTTAAACTATTTTATGTCCCTCTCTTAAAAGATGAGTTTAACAAACTTGAATCTCTATGTACAGAAGGTGTTATTGGTACATTTTCTGGAAAGATACTTTCTTGTGAGAAGATTTCCATGTCGCAGAGCCACAGTAAACAGTAGTAGCTGGCAAATACTGCATTCTTTTCAAGAGAGAAGGTCTTTCACAGTCAAAGCTTACAGCAGTAAAACTAAGGGATTGATTTGCAGAAGATAATGAGCTGTGCTCCAATTTCTCCTAGAAAGTGCTAGAAATAACTGCTTTATTGGGGTTGGAACCTGAATTGCTTTATCATAGTTAGCCCTAAATAAAAATGAACATCATCTTTATTCTTACATAAATTCATTTCGTAAGTATCAGTGAAGTGACTGACAGGATTTAACTGCTGTAGGAAAAAAATCTTTTCTAAGTAGAGAGCAGATTTACCAGAATGTGATGTGACAGCCATGGTCTTGGGAGGCTGACAGATGCCATTTCAGAGACTTCAGAAAACAAGCCAATATGATAATCACTTCAGACAGGATTCATCTCACCCGATTTTAGCCATTTAAAAGTTAAATATTTAGTCTGCAGAAGTCACAAAGATTTTTTGGGACCCAATGAAAAGGGAGATGCACATCCAATGAGCTGTTTATCCCAGTATTTCAGGAAGATAAGAATTTCCCAGGTTGTTTGTTTCTGCATGAACGGAGCTAGAAGATTAATTGAGATTGACGTCTCAAGTTGGATGAGGTGCATCTCACACTTTATAATGCATAAGAAAGTTTTCACATACCATTATGTGCCACTGATATTGTATTGCCAGAAAGAACCATAATTATATGATAATTTAAATTTCACGGCGTTTAAGAAAACAGACCTACTCCATAGTATGACAAAGTAGTTGTAAAAAGTAACAATACAGAAACACTAAATAAAGAAACACTTTTAGAGCACTTTTGGCTAATCTGAGGAACTAGTTGCCCTTGGTATTGCTAGGCAGATTTTAAAGACTGTAGAAATATATTCCATTAGTTGAAGGCATTTCAGAAGAAGCCCCCACAATATGAATAGGATTGTACTGTAATAGTCCCTACAAAGCCTATTGATCTTTCAGGGCGTATATAGGTTTCTATCCCTCTTATTAGTAGATGTAGCTTAATTACTTGTCTTTGTCTACTGCAAATGTTCAAGTATTTCAGTAATCTTTGTCAAACTGCAAGTGTAAGTTGAAAGTTGCCATGGTATTTCACAGTCAATACAGAAAATACCATCAGCGAGGCCATCTGTGAGGGTTAGAAGAAGCAGCAGCAACACAATCTATAGAGGTGTGAGGAGAAACAAATCAAAGCTGCAGGGAATAATCCTACAAAGTACATGTTGTGTAAAACTATGGGACTGACACATTATTTTTAAAATCTAACACCTGATAATTGCACAGCGATGCCTCTTAAAGTGATGGCACTGAAAAACAAGCACAAGACAAACCAAATCACTCATTAATTGACATACAGGCGATGTCAGGTCTGTGTTTCACAGGCATTTACAATATTGTAATCTTACCAAGGTATTTTGGGTTTAGTTATGCAAATCCGTGATTCCTGATGTTCCTTTGGTGCATTTAACATCAATGTAAAAATATTCTTTAGACCATTTGGATGTGCATAAATATAAACAGTGATTCCACCAAAATAATCTTAACAGACCAGGAACTGTGGTATCATGTATAAGAGTTTAAATAGCAGCACATTTCACTTTTGCATCTTTTTCTTTTTACTAGGCTACTGAAGATTTATCTGTTAGTTCATTGACATGTGTAGAGAAATGCAAGTTATATTTGATTTTCCTCTTCATAATCCATGTTTTAGGTTGGCAGAAATTGCACATTCCCTGCTGAAACTGGCACCTTACGACACACAGACGATGGAAAGCCGAGGTCTCCGGCGCTACATCATGGAGATGCTGCCCATCACTGACTGGACAGCTGAGGCGGTGAGACCTGCCCTTATCCTCATCTTAAAGAGATTGGATCGTATGTTCAATAAAATTCACAAGATGCCTACTCTGAGGTGAGCAGGTACAATGGAAACCCTCTGGGGTCTGTTTCTGATGTTGCAAGCCTTGAAGTGTGGGTATGTCATCTATCTAAAACTGTCCTGTTGCAGTGAACCTTTACAACGTATCAGAAAATGAACAGATGTTTTTATCTCTGTAAGTGTGCATTTATGTGATGTTTTTGTTGTGTCTTCTGGTAGCAAGAGAGGAAACACATGGTTATTAAGAACTACAGACAGAACTTCCAGAAATCTCATTTTTCTTTCTCCAGAATAAGTTTTCAGATTTGTATCTCACTACCCTCTTTATTTATTTTAGCTGTGAGTTAAGGAGATTAATTTTATTTTTTAATGGAAAGTTAAACTGTAGTAAGAGTATTTCTAGCATGCCTTCTCATGAAAATGCTGGTATGTTCTCTGTAAACATAAAAATAGCCGGGAACTATGCAGCAGCCTCTGAACACCCTTTAGTAAAGGGAACAGAATTGCATCTAGTCAGTGGCTAGTGAAAGCCTGCTGCATCGTGTAGTAATTATGGTACAGACTTTGGCAACTTCAAGAAGTATTATTCAGTATGGAGCATTCCTACCTCAGAGGCAGTGATACGAATCCAGTCTGGGTAGTGTAAATTCTCTCAGCCCTGTGGATTTTTCCAGTGATCTGAGTAAAAAGAGTCATTGCTCTCAGTCACCTTCATGGGCATGTGCTTGAAACAGTCACTTTGTGGGCAGTCTCAGCTGAGAAGCCAAATGATATTAAGAGAACATCAGAGTTTAGGACTCAGACACAAAACATTAGGTCCCAATGGGAATCATATGTATCCAACTAAGCTGGAGCATATAATAGGGAGGTGATCTCTTCTTTCTGGCATCACTACCTATCGCTCTCCTTTGGCTAACAATCTGCTTTAAGAAACTCCTGCCCTTGTAGGGCATTTAGAGGCAGAAATTTTGGTCCTTCTCCTTCCTGTCGGTTTGATTCTTTGCCATATCTTGCTTGCTTCTCGCTCATTCTTTCTTTTCTTGCTCATACTTTTTTCTGCCTCAGAGGCAGCTTAGGGATCTTCCAGTTCCTGAAGATCTTTCCTCTTTGTGTAAGCTGAATGATTGCTCGCAAATTAAAATTCCCTTCGTATTCTCTCTGTCTGTGCCTGTATCTATGCCTGGCTGAAACTGCTCTTCTGTACACAAAGGGATAGAGACAGAAAAGCCACTGGACCAAATGCAGCAACTACATTTAAACATTATTGGGCCAAGAAGCCTCTTAGAGATGGGGCTGGGTGCCAGACCCCAGGAGCCATCCACTGAGGTACCCACATCAGAATCTTACATACAGCCTCCTGTGGGCACCCCACTCAAACCCAGTGTCTGATGGGCACAGTATAGGTGTCGGAACAAGAACAAACTACTGTTCTGGAGATTTAGGATGCTGAAAGATGAGGTGTATATTGGTCTGCATAAGAACTTGGGTAATGAGCACTTGATGCCCTGTGTGTCTCTAAGAAGTCTACTGAGGAGCCTGAGGAAGGTATTGTTTAGTCTTAGTTGTGCAAGCCTTCTCTTTCTGTCCCAGTAAGTGCACAGTCAGATGTTGGCTTGAGAACTATACTTACTCCAAGGAGTTGGGCTCTGAGATGAAGGATGTGAACCACTTTGATGTTACCTATGCTGTGCCTGCTTATGGTTAGGAAGGACTCCATTTAGCATCTGTCACGAGCCCTAAAAGCTGTTTTGGTGAAAAAAGCAAAGTGTTAGGGAAAATGGGATCGTGGAATAAAGGACATTGGTGCTGGTGGGGAATGAATCAGCCCTCCTGCACAGGATGAGGAAGGTAAAGATTGTACTGCTGGGACAGTTTAAGGCAGACTCTCTCTGGGAGTCACTCTGGCAGAGCAGACTAGACTGAAAAAGCAGCTTACAGGGGATGCTCACAGCCGATGGGGTTTGTTCCCCCCCGTGAGAACATCCACATGCCACAGGAGATGGAGCAGTGGCTCTCAGTTGGGAGCACAGCTCAGCAGACTGCTCTCCCCGCACAGGCACACCTGAGCTGTCTGCTGGCTCCCTTCCCTTCACTGTCCCTCGGAGGGAAGCACCAGGGAGTGAAACACAGCTCATCCGCCACTGCTGTTGCAAGGGGGTTTGTGTCACTAGCCGAGACCCCTCTGCTACGCTTCTCATCTCTCTCAAACGCCCCGTGTGCTCTGTGGCTCTCTGCTTTCCTGAGCTGCATGGGTAAAACCTTTTCTCTGTTGCGCACTTTGTGCTCATCTTGGACGTCGTTGCTGTCTGAAACGTTTCCTCTGTGGGCGTCAGTGTGTGTCGGTCGCCGTGTTTGCGAGCGTCTGGTGGGGGGCAGGAGGCCCGCGGCTAACGGCACCTACTGTTGTATTGCAGGCGCCAGGTTGAGTGGGAGCCTGCCAGCAATTTGATTGAAGGGGTTTGTTTGACACTTCAGAGGCAGCCAATCATATCCTTCCTGCCTCACCTTAGGTCTCTGATCAATGTGTGTGTCAATCTGGTGAGTAGCTGAGCGGCAACCCCGTGAACCTCTGCTAAACCTCCCCCTGCTGTTGACTTCTCTGGAATCAAGATGATGACAGTTCAGCCCCATTCCTGTCATTTTACTTGTCCCCTTTACACCTCACAAGGGGACTTCACAAGTGACACTAGAGATAGCAAGGTTCATTTTTGAAGTGGTGCATGGGGAGATACAGTGACCGGTAGCGGTGGTCGAGCCTTTTATTTCCGTTGCTTCCCACGCACCACTTTGAAGATCCACCTTTTCCAGACTGAGCTGAGAGTTGAGGGCTGCAAGTTGGAGAGTGGGGTGGTGGAGACTGCACACACCTGGTAGAGATGGGGAGAGGGTGGCACTGGGGATACCTACCGTCTCCAGTGGGGAAGGACCCTGATGGCTCTGTCAGAGGCCATCAGGTGTTGGCTAGTTAGAAGGGTTTACATGGGTGGATTCACTCCACTGTTTGCAATGTCCCTGGCTTGATCTAGTACAGGTTTGCACTGTACAATGTTCAAATCCCACTCTTAATAGAATTTATGCTCCTAAGTGCGTTACAACAGAGAGGTCATGCAGACAGAGCCTGTCTGGTCATTCAGTGATAGATTGTAGTGTTTCTGCAGCCGTTACACTGAGGGCAAACCCTCCATTTGAGATCAGTGTAACTCCAGCCATTTGGATAAACACGCACGCTTACATTCCATGTGGAAAAACTACAAATACAGGGGGAAAGGCTGCACTAGCATTTTCGTTGTTATTGGGTTTTATAACATTTTCTTCTTAGAACATAAATGTTGTAACTTTTTCTAGTAGTAACAGAAAACCTCTCAGGTTTCACCAGTGCTCTGAGGAGCTTTAAAAACAATGATCAACAGTTAAAATGCAATATCAGTTTTTGCCAGGCTCCTGTCCTTCAAGTCCCTACAGCACTCATCGCTGCAAGGGCAAAGAACCTCCAACCTGTCAGAGTCAGTCAGATTTCTCTCTTGTTCAAGCAGAGGTAGCTACTCTGTGCTGCAAATCTGAGCCCTCAGACTACTTAGGGTTGCTACACGGGGAGGTTGCTACAGAGTTAGCTCAAACACAAGTTTAGAATGGACTTGCAGTTTGGCAAACAGGCATGGCAGAGTGAATCACACCAGCAAGCTCTCCAAAGTGCCTGCAATAAAAATTAGCCACTGCTCTAACAAATAGAGGAAAGTTCTGCAGTGCTGAAGTGCAGTCATCGCGCTTGCATTCAACTGGCTGGGAACATCAGAGAGAGCTACCAGGAAAAGATGTACTCTTACCATTAAGAGTATTTTACCTTTAGCTGTCAGAACTATGGCCACTTTTTGCCAGAAAGCCAAAGGACAATTTAGAAAGGGAAGAGGCAGAGCCCTTTGGCTTTCTGGCAGAAAACTGGCTACTGCCTTTCTCTCCAGGCTGAATTTGGAAAAATAGAGTGCATTCATCTCCCCTAAGCTTAGGCATCTGCCAGGTAGCTTCTCCCTGTTCCTGTCATCTAGATGTGTCTAGTCATGAAGAGAAACAGGTATATGCAGGACTGTGATTTATTTCCTCCTGAGGGACACATCCAAAACAGTCCCAATAACTCTCCCCTAGAAGTGCTATTTTCTTATGCTGATATTTCAAGGAGTTCCAGACAACCAGGTCACATGCAGGTGACTCTGTTTCAGACATCTGAGGTCAGGTGAGATGAATCATACTTAAGAGTTCCTAAGAACAGACTGTGTTTGAGAGGAATCTGAACATTGTACAAAACCCGGCTTGGGTCAGACTTAGGACATTATTTTTCAAGTAGATCAGCAAGAGAAGGGAAAAGATGTCTAGTTTCAATGCAGACTTTTTGCTTTGATGACATATTTTTATTTGTTACAGTCGTTACATGACATATCCTCCAACTCTAACCGTTCCACCAGTCCAGTGCTGGTCATTCAGGGCTGGTACTGGGTACATTTTCAAATGTACCAGGTTACCTATACACTCCTCCCATCCTTGCTGGTTCCCTCTTCTCCCCTCCCTTTCCCTGCTAGAACTCCTTCTCCTCACTGGCCCCAGCTCCCACGAGGACCACTGGCGGGGCTGGTTCTCCTAGAGCCACCCCAACTCAGTGTTCAATGGAAGGCCCCTCCATTTCACTGATGTTGGAGGATATGGCATGGATGAAACTGTAAGTAGTCAGTCGTGGTGATGTGCTTTGTTTGTGTTGCAGGTGATGGGAGTGGTAGGACCCTCCAGTGTGGCTGACGGATTACCCCTTCTTCATCTCAGCCCTTATCTCTCGCCACCTCTGCCCTTCAGCACAGCTGTTGTCCGGCTTGTAGCATTGCAGATACAGGTGTGTCTGCCCTGGCCTGTGGCCAGGACTGTTATAGCTTCTGGTTGAGACACCAACTCATCGGTGCTCTGTTTTCTTTCTGCAAAAGCTGGGCAAAAACTGTGGAACACACACCAAAAATGAAAGAGAAGCAACATGTAAATTCTCCCTTCATTTTAAAGGCTTGAACTGAACTCAGAATTCACCTGTTGGGGCCAAGTCCACAGCAAGCATCCATCAGCTTAACACTGCCATTGAAGTCCGGGGGGTTCAGCTGATTGATGCTGTTTAAGGCTCTGACAAGCATGTTAGGATTCTCTGCAGGATCTAAGGAGTTAGCCTAAGTCTCCTGCCACGAGGAGATGGGCCCTAGCCTGGGTTGCACCCTTGCAACACTACTTCTTTTCCTGTGGGACCATGTGTGTAACTGAGAGTGGAGTTTGTGCTCTTCTGCTCTTACCTGAGCTGGTCACACAGTGTGCCAGCCCAAAAAAAGCAGAGCAACCTGGCTTTTCAGCTGCTGACTCAGTAGCATCCTTGTTGTCCGGAATTTAAAAAAAAAAAGCATCCTGGACTTTTTGGAGAGTTCATCACTATTCCTTTCTCATAGCAGTGCCTTACCTATTACAGAGTCTTTCTGCCTCTGTATCCCTTTCCTTCCCTGTTGGCATGAAATCAGACAGAAGGGTGAACAATGAAGGGACAAATTTCCTAATCTAGCTCCAACTTGCATTTTTAAATAAGCATTGGCACATCCAGTTGAATACTTCAGCAGGTATTTCTGAGCAGTGGGGGGGCTTGGGAAGGAGGGCTTATAGGGACCAAAACAATGCTGTTCCTCAGAACTTCAGGCATAAAAGGACTTTTGGGTATCAACTGACACAGAAAGAGGACAGATTTCTTCCAGCTCTGACATAATGGTTCTTTAATCAAAAGCAAAAAAAAGGTCACCTTCACCTTCTCTGAAATCTTTTCACTTTTTTAAAACCAGATACCAAATTAATCACTTTTTTAATAACACCGGGAGTTTTTACTTCTATTATCCTCTGCTCCCTGTTCATGGGCTTTAAATGCAATGAAAACCAAACATGTCAGAAAAACACATGAGTAGTCATAATTCCCGATACTTCCAGCGGGATATGAAACAGAAGTACTTCACACCCCATCAGAAAACTTCTCCTGGAATGTCTCAGCTCAGGTCTGCAAGCTTGAGGGGTTGCAAGGTTCAGTTGCTTTTCACAGCTAAGTCTGTAGCAACTGGGAAGCTTCAAATGAGCAGAGTTCTACTGACAGTCATTTGTATTGCCTCCTTGAAAGATGAACGACCTTTCAATTTAGGCTTGACTATGCTTCAAGAAGTAGATGTGCATTTCATTTATTTTTCAGGAGTTCATTCTTTGCATTAGGGAGGATGACAGGGCAGCACAAAGTGAGGCAGAAAAAAAAAATGTGTTTGGGAATGGCCTCCATGTTCAGACAACAGAATATTTAGATCATGTCATTTGTGCAGTTTCCTCTGTTCAGTTTTTTATTCCCTGTAGTCCAGGTCAGATCCTGATGCCATTCACAGCAGTGCAGAGTTTAGGACTAACACTCAGCCGACTCCTGTGGGACACATCTGATTTTGTTAATGATATCTGTGAGTTAGGAGTCTGGGCTTCTTACCTCTTGACTATGACAAGAGCAGGTGACACCTATGTTACTCTGTGAATTCCATTTACTGCTGACGAAGTGGTCTCAGGGCTTCTAATTCAAAGAGGACACCAATGCCAGTGTTGTACTGTGTAAACAGGGTGCCCGTGGGATCGTCATTCCCTGCAGTAACTTGTGTGCGTGATCTGCTGATGAAATCGTTTAATCCTTTCTTATTATTACTGCACAGGCTTTGAAAGAAGATTTCCCCCTAAGCCATGTCGTCTCCCCATTCACCAATCAGGAAAGAAGGGAAGGAATGCTTTTAAACCTACTGATTCCATTTGTGCTCACAGTAGGATCTGGAAGCAAAGGTCTGACTAATTTAACAGAAAGAATTTTTCTCCCCTTTTCTGCCAACCGATGTTTGCACTTTCCCTGCTCTCTGTTGATTTTTTAATTTTTATTTTTTAATTTGTATTTCTGTCACTGGCAGTGTGTCAGCTAAGTGCCCTTTGGGTCCAAGACTGAAAAGAGGCCCACTGGGAGAAGTTGTTGTTGTTTCTTCTCTTTGTTTCAGCTGTGCCATGGTTCTTGAGTCAGGTCTTACACAGATGTGCTCCTTCTTTTGAAACGGGAGTGCAGGGCAAGACAAATCTGTTGTAGCAGAAGCCACAGAGGGGAGCAGAGGTCACAGAAATTGTGTGCTCCCGTGGATGACAGTCTGCCCAACCCATGCCACTTGTCTGGCACAAGTCCTGCTCCTTGCTTTCTATAGAGGGTGATCACTGGTAAATCCCTAAATGAAAGCAAAGAGTAAAGGGCGAGGGGAACATCAAAAGGAAGTGAGATTATGAGACCACTGAACGGGATGTGTCTTTGTGCTGTGTAGCTCTGTGTTTGTGTGTGTTTGTGTTGGTGCTAAAATAAACTTTGCCTTTGCTTGCAGGAGGAGAAGCAGCAGGAGTAACAAGGTGTGGGGGACGGAGTTTTGGCTTAGGGGACATTGGAGATTGCACTCCATTTTGGAACTGAACAGGGTCTGGATCTTTTGGGTGTCTTTGATGGAATGTAGCCTGACCTTTCTCTCTCTCTCCCCTCCCAATGCATCTCAGACAGTCCGTGGCTGGAGCAGCCTGAAGTCATGCTGCTGCTCCAGACTGTTACCAATATCCTCCTGCCGCCTCGCATCATCAGCACTTCCCGCAGCAAGAATTTTATGCTGGAGAGCTCCCCTGCCCATTGCTCCACCCCAGGGGATGCAGGGAAGGACCTGCGGCGGGAAGGGCTTGCAGAGTCCACCAGCCAGGCTGCCTACCTGGGTGAGTGAGTGATGGTTTCTGCTCACCTCTTAGAAGAGTTAGAGATAAAATGGGGTGTTCAAGACTATAGATAGCACCAAAGAAAACCATCTCAGGCAGGTTTGAGCTCTTTAGAGCTACTTTAGGTCTTGTCCTGAACAAGGGGCCAGGCCAGAGTGTGAAGTATCTCTGGAATGTATTGCAACGTGAGCAGAGTCTGCACTGCAGCTGGAGGAGGTTGCAGCACAGCTAGAAGTCGCTCAGTTTTCATACTGCCTGAATATAGCCATGAAGCCACAAAAGGCAAGTCAGACTGCCTGGCAGCCCCTAATATCACAGCTGCACTGGCCCTTGGCTGACTAGAGTGAAATGTGATGCAATCTGTCTGCCTGCTGGCCCTGTGCTCACATGGCCCTTACTGACTGATATTCCCTCTGCTCACTGTATACTGCTGCAAGGTAGTACTCTATTTTCTCATGTATGACCCACAGGTGAAAGGAAAGAAAAAATAATCAAACTGGAGAGGCAGCAGCAGTGCAGATTATCAGGGCTACATGAGGAGAGTTTTGTCTCAAAGCTCTCAGTCCTTCACACAGCTTCTCTGTTTCTGACTTTGTGAGGACATTTACCCAAAGACTTATATGCAGGTCTTTCTTAACCCATAGCTGAGAAGTGGGGTAGAACTGATGAAACATTCACCACTCATTTAGTCCAGCACCCCAACAAACCTGGATACAGATGTGTAATAGCTGAGATGTCTTAACCATCCCTTCAAGAAAGAGAAATCAGCCTTCCCCCAACAATTCCTCCCTGTTTGTTCCAGAGCAGGGGAGCATGGAAAGGGCAAGTTTCCCTGTCTCTCCTGTGAGCTAACCGTTGGTCACTGCCCACTTTAATATAGAGCATTGTTTTGAACCTCATTGTTGTTCATCCCCCTTTGTAAAGCAGTGCTCCTGTGAATTATGGCCCTTGGCTTACTGGACCATATTTTTGTTTAGATTACAGTTTGGCCATGACTCGTGCAGCTGCACTGCTAGAGAAGTTCTTTTCATTACCCCATAAATAACCTGGAGGTTATTGTGCTCACAGGGTGACTCTTTGTGTGGATATGCTTGATCAAGATATTTGAGGTTGTCTGATCAGCTAGGGCTGCATTCAACCCCTGAGCTGCTTTGGAGGCAAAAGAGCTCTGCAGGGAGGGAAAGGGGAAGCTAGCGCAAGAAAATACAGAGGAATTTAGGTGTGAAGTAGGAAAATTTCTCTGGAAAAGGGACTCTCAGCCCTGGCCCTGAGGCCTTTATTATGAGAAGGTTGCTGCCCTTCCCTGCAGCATTTGGAGGCTATTAGAGAAGACAGTTGTGACTCTGAGGTGTGTGGGTGTGCATGTGCACGTGCATGCATGCATGCCTGCGTAGGTATGCCCCCCCCATGCCCCCCTCAATGCTTGCAAGGGACACTGATAACATCTCTGACTGCTGTTTGCTGGTGTGTGTTCCCCTGTAGCCCTGAAGGTGATCCTTGTTTGCTTTGAACGCCAACTGGACAGCCAGTGGTACTGGCTGAGCCTGCAAGTCAAAGAGATGGCACTGCGGAAGGTGGGAGGGCTGGCCCTGTGGGATTTCCTCGACTTCATCGTACGAACACGGATCCCTATCTTTGTGCTCCTTCGGCCCTTCATCCAGTGCAAGGTAACAGTTGCTTTGGCTCCTGCTAGATCACTGGCTGAGGGCAAGATATCCTTTATTCACCTGCTGAGAACAGAGAAACGGAATTCCTGGAAGAACTGGGTGTTCACATAGAGAGTGACTTCTCAGAAGTTAGTAGGCCTGTGAACCCTTTGATACTAAATCACAAGGCTTTTTCCTAGATGGCACTAAAGTGTGTCCAATCATACAGGAGCTGTCATCCACGAAGCCTCAGAGTATAGCTAGTCTTAGTTCCCCTAGATGGGAGAGTACTATCAGGCTGGACCAAGAGGGTTTGCACATGGGCTTAGTTTTGCAACAAAAACACTCAAAGCACTTGGAAGTAGTGTGGATGCTCTGAACCTAGGAGGGGGTTGGCATGTGTCCTGGACAGCATGATTGGCAGAAATCTTCCAGAAGTCTCTCTTCTGTACAGAGCCGGGCAATACAGCTAACAGTGGTCAGGTGGTCAGGAAGGACCACTCCACTTTACATTTTTTCAGTGAAGATTCTGACAAGGCTCCTGCGGATGGACAGACAGCTGCTAGGCTGAGGTGGCCAGGGCTTAAGCTAATCAGGGCTCTTCCCTGCTGACCAGGTAGGCTAGCACATGGTACTCCACCTTATTTAGCCTACTGTGTCTTGCCACTAAGACAGACTAAATCATCTCGGAGGAAGGAGCTGTCTCATGTCTAAGGGGTAGAGCTTAGCATAAGGAAGCCCTCATCCCCATGTACCAGTGTCAGTGAGGTTTTGATACCTGTTCAGTCACATATAAGGTTGTCCCTGCAAGATAGGTGGAAACGTCATAGCTGGAGTCAAAACTTCATGCCTACAAGGAGGGCAGTCTGCTGGCTGCAGGCTCAGGCTGGTCTGGAGACCAGTCTCAGTTCCCTGGCCATCACTTCCCTGCAATGCTAACGTTTCCCTGTTTTTCAGCTGCTGGCCCAGCCGGCTGAGAACCACGAGGAGCTGACTGCCCGACAGCACATTGCCGACCAGCTGGAGAGACGGTTCATACCGCGCCCGCTCTGCAAGAGCTCCCTCATTGCCGAATTCAATAACGAGCTGAAGATCCTGAAGGAGGCAGTGCACAGCGGATCTGGTAAGGAGGAGAGGGGACAGCCCAATCTGGCCAGCTGGCTCACCTGTAAATTAACTTGCGAGGCAGACCTGCCTGCTGCCTAGGAAAGGGATGGGGTAATCCACCCACACCCCGACAGCCTGTCCCTGGATCAGGCCCTATGCCCAGCCCACCACTGGACAGCCAACAGAAGTCCAGGTTAGTTGTGAAATGCACCTTGTTTTGCCCATTTTTTCCCACTAAGTCTGTGTCCCATTTCCCAGCAGCTGCCTCTCTCTGTCACAGCTGGTTTGTGCAGCCCCAGCCCACAGCCCAGCAAGCCGCTGCCTACGTCTCTGTAAATCTGAAGCTACTCATGTAGAAATGGATGTCTGTTTGTCAGCAGCAGATGTCTCCTCCCTTCTCCCCTTGGTCTCTTTTTTATTTTCTCTACTGTTACCAGCAAGGTCTGGATCAGGTCCCCAAGCTTGCGGTGCACTGAGCTCTCTTGCATGAGGGGACACTTTTCTCATGGAACAGTCACCCTTGTTGCCACGAGATGGCAGCCACTGCTTACACATGGCAAGAGATTTTATGGGCTTTGTTCTTAAGAAAGGAAAACAAATTCAAAAGAAAATAACTCAGCCTTTTTTTCCTTGGTAATAATTTGCCTTGTTCCTAAGTGTTGAAGCTGATCTGGAAAATATGTCTCTAAGGTTGAGAGAGAAAATCAGATTGCCCGAGGAAAATGGAGATTTGGGAGAGGTAGGGTGAGCCAGGGCAGATGTGTCTGTTTTATCATCTCTGCCAACCCCTGCCCCACTACTCCGGGCAGAATCAGGTGCCCGACATGACAGGAATGCTTGGCTGGTTACTGCTTTCCAGTGCCATCACTGACTTGGGTTTGGTTTTCCCACTCTTGCACAGCTTACCAAGGGAAGACATCTGTCAGCACCGTGGGCACCTCCACCTCTGCTTACCGCCTGAGCTTGGCCACCATGTCCCGCTCCAACACTGGCACTGGGACAGTCTGGGAGCAGGACAGCGAGCCTTCCCAACAGGCCTCACAGGATACGCTGAGCCGCACAGATGAGGAGGATGAAGAAAGTACGTGGCAACCAATTTGAGCTAAGCCCCAACACTGAAGATGGGTTTTTTTTATGTCCCAGAGGATGACTGAGTGGGGAAGACAGTTGTCCCTGTCCTCATGTGAACAAAAGGCCCACAGGCACACGAGGCTGAGAAACTGGTGTGGTTTCTGCCCAGTTCATGGTGTTAGCACTTGGGTCATTACATACCTCCTCATTCCCTCCTTAGCTCTGGGTAGGGAAAAGGGAAGGGCACAGGCAGATTTTTAGTGTGTGAGACCAGGGCTGACCTGCAATCCTCACAGTGCTGACAAGGCATTTGGCAATCAGTCCTCTCTTTGACCTTCCTTATGACAGTAGGCACAGACTGTGGCTGGCTCTGTAGTTAGGATCCTGCTCCTGCAGGAACTTTGTACTTCCTGCTCATCGCTTCTGTCCAGATGCTCCAACGTGAAATATGTTGTCCTTGTGCTGCATGGGATCCAGCTGTGGCTGTCTGCAGGGTGGAATGTCTGTGTGCTTGTGTCACTCGATTATCAAAGAGGAAATTAAGACTTAAACCTACTGACAACAAAAGCTTGATCTCCCTTTTGGGCAGCTGGCAGGTTCTGGGGATGCCAGGCTTTCTGGTGCCAGTTTGTAAGGAATGGGATGGTGAATCTTTTGGGAACTAATTTGCAATGACCTGAATGTTGCTTCATCATTTCAGCTGAGTTTCATGTTATTCTTGGAATTTTGCCTTCTCTCTGCTTCTGAGCTGTCCATCTGCTTCTGAGTTGTCCATCACTGAAAGCCAGGGTAGAAAACTCTGCTCATATGTCATCAGGCTTGGGCTTTCCCCTCCTTTAGCAGGGATATTGTCTTCTGGTGCCTCAATGCCTGAAACTCAGGTGCTTCACTTCTGTATTTGAAGACTGCTGACTGTTCCCCAAAGACATTAAACAAAAGGGGTGAAAAACAGGCTTAAAAGAACGGCCTGTGCAGTTATGGCAGAATTGCCTTTTGGGAAAGAACAGTTAGCCTGAAAATTTCCATGCTCATCCCAACTTTATTTTAGCTGGACTCATCACTAAACACTGTGCAATCCACCCAGTATTGTACTGCTGATACATTGCTCAGATACTCACTGTGTTTCAGCCTCAGATTAATTATGAGCCACTGTGTGGAACGATGAGTGCTATCTTCCTATTTGCTTGTGGCAGTATTACTTCAGCCCTGCCTTGGCTTAATGCTGCCATAAAATATTTCAGTGTATCAAAATTGGAAAGGCTCAAAAAGAAATGGGAAAATTACACAAAACTTCCCCTTTGTTTTATTTGTTTATTTGTAATTAGAAGTTGTTGGGGTAAAAACCACAACAGTCATTTTTTTCCAGGTGCTTTATATAATTTTAAACAGCACTGAAAATTTCAAGCAATCTTAATCACAATCCAACTGTCTGCATAATTTGGTTGCAGTATGATGTATTTGAGTAAATTCATCCAATTTTTTCAGTGACATTTTAAAATGCATGTCCCAAAGGGTGTTAAAGGGCATCAGTTCTGCATTTTGCTGTTATGTATTTTATCTTTTCTAACAGTGCTTTGCTGTATTGTAGCAGCAGTTTATTTCAACCAGCAAAATGTCCAGTTAGAACTTTAGTGCCAGAAAACACTGTATATTAACAAACAATTTATTAATCACAGGAATTAAGCCCTAGTGGAAGCTGAATTCCCCAAACAAGTTTTTCTGAGGGCCATATAAGCTGAAAGCATACATAAATCCCTGCCCCATGTCTGCTGGGGTTTATGCATATGTCTTTCTGAACTGTGACTGTAAAATCCAATGGAAGTGTTCAAATTTGCAGGCTTGGGGTCTTGGTAAGTAAATGCTGGGTACACCTTTGGGATCTTGTTATCTCTTGACAACTGTAAATATGTAGGTGGATTTGGGGTGGTTGTTTCCTCTCCTTTCCTGTTTTTTCTTTCTTTCTAGATGACTCCTTGAGCATGCCCAGTGTGGTAAGTGAACAAGAAGCATACCTTATGGGTGCCATTGGGAGGAGGCGGTTCTCCAGCCATCTCTCCAGCATGTCTGCACCTCAGGCCGAGGTGGGCATGTTACCCAGCCAAAGGTAACAACATGGGCTTTTCACCTTTCCCATTATATTCACCAGAGCAGAAATGGCACAGGTATACTATGTGTACATCAGAGATGTGAGATAGCAGGATCAGTGCCAGAATAGTGATGCTAAATTTACCCATCCTGAAATAGTATTGGACCAAGGGGGCAGGGTTGGAAATAAAGATTTTGCAGGATGTTCTGTGTTGTGTTAGGTCCATAAGAACAAACTGTGATCCATAGAAACCTTCCTCTTAAACAGTTTCAGAAACCCTCAGCACTGTTAATTGCCTCTGCTGCTATCATGGATAGCAAAAGGAAAACACATGATTTTGGGGTTATGCATTGAACCAGGGGATCATACACAATCTGTGTAGGGAGTGGGGAGGAATCCCGAGAAGCTGAGAGAGAGGCAGAGGCATCCTGTTTGATTTACTTTGTTTTCTTCCATGTAGTCTTTGTCCTTCCTAGAACAGTAACTAGCTCATCACAGAAACTGAATGTTAAGTTCAAAGATGGGGTTTGATACTGTTTAAAACCAGAAATATACTTGTAAATAGAAATAACTTTGAATGTCTTATTCCTGGTTAAAATGGAGTGGTGAGAAAGAGATTGAAATTTGGGAAATGTACATCTTCAGAAAATGGAGAGAGAAGTTTTGCATTTAAACGTTATTTTTTTTCTAAGTAAGCAATGTTAATTGTTTTATTTGTCTGCAACATAGTCATCCAAGGATATCTGACAATGGACAGATTAATTTATGTTATTTCCTTTGAACCTTTAAACAATAAATTCTACATTATCTCTTGACCAGCCTTGTAAAATCAAACAACATTGTTCCCTCCCCAATCTTGCTTGGAATTAAAGAAATAACCTTGATATATGAAGGAAAACTAACAGCTGTGGTACATACCAGTAGAGACAGGAGAGGTGATTTACAGGAGAGAAGTTACACAGATTTTTATCTGGGAGTTTTCACAAAAGGGCTTACAGGAACTCATTTGACTTTTGAACTCAATTGATTCAGACCCTTTGTTTCTTGAAAATTTAATATGCAAGACTACATTTTCCTCAGTCTTTCACTACCATCTTCAGTGCATAAACTTCATAAGAGTCACAGTTGACTGATAGCAATGTTTGCTTTGTGCAATCCCAAGTCATGGTGATGCTGAGAAAAAAAAAAAAGACTTTAATTACAACAGAGCTTTGCTCTCTGCTTTTTAAGTACATGGTACACCAGGAGAATCGCTTAGGGAAAGCACAAGCACAGCAAGCATAATCATAGTCCACAACAACATGCCCTTTTTAGTTATGGTTGGTCTCTGGGCTTTCAGACTGCCTCACTAATGTAAACTAATTAATGTTAAGTAATATTATTATTGCTTTCCTGCTGGTAGCCCAGCAGACTGCTTTCTTTCTTTCATGTTTTTCCTATGGGCTGAGAGGGCTGCTCCTGCCCGAATGGCTGAAATGTAGAAAAGCAATGTGATTGTGTACTTGTTTGCCAGGATCCACGCCAGCTGTTTACTTACAGTCTCAGTGCACTACAAGACCTTGTTTTCCAGATGTTTGTGTCCTTAGAGTCGTACCAGAAGGAGAGTGGTCTGTAGCTTGTGAGAGATAGATTAGCCCTCCCTCAGGAAGAAGTGGCTCATGGGGAAGGGGGAAGAAAAAAGCTTTCTATGAAGCTGGAAGTAAATAGAAACAAAATAAACGAAAAATGCTGCAGGAAAACGTCTTTGAAAACATTTTCCTGCCCTTATTTCTCATGGAAACACATCCTACCAAACTTCTCAGCTCCCCAGTTGTCAGCAGAGATGTAGAAGTCTCCATGTAGTGTAAACTCCCTCTGAAGACTGATGCTGTTATCAGATGTTCTTTCAGCGCCTCTGAGTCATATATGTGCTGTTGAGCGTGCGAGACCAGTTAATGTTACCGTCCTTTTTTTACTTTTTTTTATTCCGTTGATATTTTTTCCCTTGAAAATAGAGACAATCGCATGCTTTTTGCATTTTCTTTCCTTTTTTTTAAATTCTTAATCCCCCTGCCCCTCCTGCAGTGAACCTAATGTCCTCGATGACTCCCCGAGCCTGGCCACTGAGGGCAACCTCTCTAGGTACAGTGTTAACACTACCTGTCTGTCAGTGTGTGTGCTGGGAAACGAGCCGTTTCCAATCTCCTCTGTCTCTTCCCTTCACCTTTTGTCGCTCTTTCCATCTCTGTCTCTTGTGGCTCATTGATATTCAGGCCTGCAAGTCAAAGGTGTAGCAACCCACCTTCAGTTTTCAGCTTTGATTGCCAATAACTTTGAGGAGGCTAAGGGGAAGGGGAAAGAAAAAGATGTAGCAAGTGAGATAGTGGTCTGGCTGGCTAGCCTCAGGGTTTTCCCCTTGTTTAGCAATTTCTTGAAAGGCATGAGAAAGATTATCCACAAGGCATTAGCTGTAGCCTGTTATAAGCATTAGTCTGGAGGCTTATATAAAACAGAGACATCTGTTTTTCCATTCATCTCACAATGCTGTCCCCAGAAAAGACTTAATAACAATATCAAGCTGTGTTCTTTAACATTCACTAATAAAACTAATTATGATAACTCCCGTGGAACATAGTTCTCTGCGGATGCTTTACAGTAATTCTCGTTATTTTTACAAAGTGTTTCCAGTTCTCAAATGAGACCTTGGAAAGCTTGCAGGTGAACACCATTAATACATATTTAAAATTGCCCTGTCAGTGCAGGAGTTGAGGTCTAGCTGTTCCCCATTACCCGTGCACAGGGGAGTTTGTGTGCAAACACTGTTACGGTCCTGCCTGTCAGATGGGTCAGGAGTGAGCTTAGAAGGGAGGTCTGCACCTTTAACGGCCAGCTCAGTCCTGTCAATCATCCTTACTGTCCTGCCGCCGTGCTCGCCCCTCTCAACTCATCCTCGTGAGGTCAGAGAGCTGTCATTAGTCCCAAGAGCATTTCTGTTTCCTTCCAGAAGAATATGGCCCCTTACCTTGGCAACATGGAGGGTAACACACTATTTATTACTTTACCACACCGGCTGAAGATGTGGATATGTTGAGAGGCATTTGTGTGAATGGGTTTTATTTCGTGAGTTTGGTTTTAGATGTCAGGAGTGGCTTTTCGGGGTGGGGACAGGCTGCTTTGTTCATTTACTCATTCTTCTCAGCTGACAAATGGAGAGTTTATCATTGGTGGTGTCACTGAGATCAGCCCATGATTCACAGTGTCCTTCGTGTGCATGAATCCTGCTTTGGCAGATCGGTCTCTAATTGGTGCTACTGTAGGAGTGGCCTTAGGAAAAGACAGGGGCTTGTTGACAGAGACAGGAATATTGTTATCTGGTTTTGTGACAAAGCAAAATGGATTGCATGGTCACCTGAGTGTGTTTTGGAGCCTAAAGAGAACAGGAGTCATTCAACCAAAAAAGTTAAGTGCCATCCCTTAAGTAGAGCTAAAAACTCACTACAGTTGAGGAGGATGATGAAGGAGAAGGTCCGTATCTGAGTGGAAGCCACAATGACTTGATACCGGGTTACACCAGTGTTGAATTTGAAATGTTTTGATCTTGTAAAGTAGGGGGGAGTCACTCCTAATGACAGTGGTGAGGCTCAGGAATATGAGAGAGCTAAGTCAACAGATCAGTTCAAATGCAATAATTTATTTTGAACCCTGAAATGTAATCAGCTGTACAGTGGGTTCCTACTAATATCTGTCACACCAATTTTTGCTAGGGACCGGAACACTATCTTCCACCTTGCTCTATGGTACAGAGATTTCCTTAGGCAAAAAGGTCAACAGATGTACTTGGGAGTCAGTTCTGTTGAGGTTTATTATTCTTTTCAAGGAGCAGGCACTACATCTGAAGGAGGGACATCAGGGCTGCAAAGCCTTAGAAAGACAGGGAAATACTGCAAATTTTTATTAAAAGCCTAGGCTGGAGTTCTCTGAGGAAGATAAGATGTTTCAACTGCATTGTTAAATGTGCAAATTGGATTCCTCCTCTAAAGGACAGAAGTAATAAAGCAGACATTGTAGGAGCTTCTTGTGCTGTGGGGATCATAGGACAGAATTAATGTGTTTTTGTATTCAGGAACATTAGTTTTGAATAAAGCAGGCTTGAGTTTTTCTTACATAACCTTGATTTTGGCTGGAGCAGAATGATAACAACTGTTTAGGATTGCCTTCTGAATCTGATGTTTAGTCATAACTGACATAAAGAAATAAATCATACAGAGACTAGACCCTTATGGAAGGCAGGAGTTTAAAATAAATTAAACAGTGACAAACACAAAAGGGAATAAAGTCTGTTTCCCTTTGTTCAATAGCAATTGCAGCCAGCCATGTAGAAAAGCAGGGAGGACAGGAAGGGGATGGCATTTAAGTGCTCATAAGGAAACAGATAGCATGGGGTACAGGGCTGAGGAGCATATGTGTCCAGCATTGTGATTTGCTGTGGTTATAATCTGAGAGGAGAGGATATTTTCACGAATCAGAAAGGAAAAAGAATGAGAACTCACTGTAATGGAAATCTGTTCTACAAACACATTTCCCTTTAATGTTTGTCATTATGCCTGTCTTAGCTTAATGGTGCCTAATGGGGAAAATCTGAGTGAATTCACATTGCCAGGGCTAGGGTAGCAGATCTAACACTTAACTGGGCTAGGATGTGTCTGGGAATACAAGAGCTGGAGTTCATCTACATTTTAACCCATTCTCCACTGGCCTTTGTCCACTAACCCTCTCATTCAGATGTCTCAGGACGCAAAGTGTGTATGTTTACCACAATGGCGTGGCAAGCACATACATCTTTTTAATAGCTACTTAAACTCCTTGCTTCCTTTGTCTCTGCTTTTTCTTCTTTGTTCTTTCTTCTTTTCTTTTTTTTTGGCTGCATGGTTTCTTGTAATTCATGAGCATCGCTTATTATAATTGCCAACCTGACAAAGTTTCTTTTAGCCCCCACTGTGTGAGTGCACTGGCTGTCATTTCTTGTAGTGCTGGCAGCATGCTTTCACAAAGTTGGGTTGGTTTGATCTTTTGCTCACTTGTCTCTGCCCTTGACTATGTAATGGGAGTAACATTATTGTGCAGATAAAACCCCTGACAGAGATACTCAGAGAGTGACAGAGCATCTTTGTGTTGGGCAGGAAAAACTTCTAGTTTGTTATTCCCAAATAAATCTGGCTTATGCAGTGCAGAAAAACCCTTCTTATCGATCACATTGCCACAGGAGGGAAACGTACTGTCAGCTGAAATGGCATTTGATTCAGTGTTCCTTGATTGGGTCCCACGGGCTGCTGGAAAAACAGTATACTCCTGGTCAGGTCTGGTAAACAAGGAGAGACAGAAAAGGAGGGAGGGAGAGCGACACAGAGCCAACAGTCTGCCTGCCACACTAATTTTCACGGAAACAAGATCAGTAGTGCTGCTGTTTGATGTGAAAAGAAACCCTCACAAACCCTCGTGAAGTGAAAGGTTATATCTGAAAATTCAGTCACTCATACGAAATTTCTGGTCTTTATTATTGTCTCTGTCTTTTCTTCCCTTCTCCAAAATTTGGGGATAGAAGACCAAAAGACAAGCCACAGCAGGGCTGTGCTGTGTGCAGGCAACTCTGCAAAACTTGGCTGCTCTGGGATCCACCATTTGTCTGCAATAGCTATCTGCAATTTCAGCTCATAAGATCATCCCAAATTATACTAATTTGTCTAATGAATCAGTACTGGAAATAAACATCCACCAGCTCACTAAACTCATTTCACTTATAAGCCAGGCTGAAAATCCCAGACCCCAGCAGGAAGACACAAACTCCAGCCTTTCTTTTGCTCACCTATTGTTTGTCCTCAGCGCACAGATCACTCCACGGGAATCGTTTTTTAACTCATGTCTAGTCTCTGTGCCCTCATGTGGTCCATGAACTTCCTTTATCTAATGACTTTTTCAAAGTGCTTTCATGATGTATGTTAAATTAGTTTGTTTCACCACTATAAACAGTGTTTTGTACTGAATATAATTGTAGTCTTTCTGCTACAGACATTTATGTCTCCTCAGTCATATAACTAAGAGTTCCTGTTCCTTCATCAGAAATTTTAACACTATTCTCAAAAACTAGTCCAATAGAAAATTATTTTTTCAATACCTTCTCCAGCAAATTCCTAATTAATTCACATACTGGTAACTACATGAAAACCTTTTTAAAATACAGAGGAATAAGTTTTTATGTAATCCTAGAGACAGAAGATAAAGAAAATTCTACAAGCTATAATTTCAGGTAGACTGCACCACAAATCTAAAGACTAATTTCAGCACAGTCTCTTTGCTTTAACAAGGAGTGATGTGTTGCTTCTGGACCTACCAGTCATATGTGCTGCAGTCATTGTCTGGGTCAAGAACACAGTCCCACTAACAGGAAGTAACTTTGAGGACTCTGCTTATTCATAAGCGGGTGTTTGCATGCTGTTTAGGATGCTTTGTATGTAAATCATGTCGATATCCTACGTAAAAGATGGAAAATATGTTCCAGAGACTGGTGATCTCATTTGGAAAAGCTGTCTGAGGGAGAAAAGGACTATCTTGTTTGTTCTTGTTTTGAGCTTGCAGAAGCTTTTCCTTTTTTTCCAAACCACTGCAGCTGTGGTGAGATTGCTGAGGGCATGCCTAGGATTATTAGGCTGTGGTCAGACAATCAGAAGAGAAAGAGCTTCAGGGTCTTAAGATATCTCTCTCCTTGAAGCTGCCCATTGTCTCCCCAGTAGAGCTGGCAGAAACACACGCATATGGTTTAGTGAAAAGTCTGGCTTTAGTTTAAACTGATAAAGGAGGAAGGAATAGGACTTTCAGGTCAGGTAACCAGACTGTGACCTGAAGCAGACCAGGAAGCTCTCATGTTCTGTTCCACCAAACCTTCCAAGGGCAATAACTTCTGCCAAAGCAAAGAATGAGCTGTTCAGGAGACAGAACTTTTTAAGCCTCTCCACAGATACCCTCCATGTCTTGTCTGACCACGTCCTGAAGTTGGTCGTCTTCCTCCTCTCCTGTAAGGTCAGGCAATAAACCCTCACTCTGTTGGTGGTAGTAAGCTCCTCCAGGAAGATCCAAGGAAAACATCTAGAGAAAAGAATGTTTTCCTTTAGATTAATGCAGGGCAAAGGCAAAATGGATTGTAATACTGAATCTTCAACAGTGCACACCAGATATAGCTGGAAGTTGCTTAAATGGGACATGTGGCTCAGTGGATTCCAGTCTGTCCCAAATAAGCAGCTGCCTGATTTAAAAGAAGTCCATCTTAAATGTTAGTTGCTATTGTAACCATATGTCTCTCAGACACGGTTCATTCAGTTAAAATGTTCTGTGACCACTGTCTGCTAAATGACCAATTTTTAGCTGTTTGGGGGAATACAGTGCTTTGATAAAAATGAGGGGAGGGTGGTATTTTTATATTAAGTAGATTAATAGTAGAATGGTAGAATGAGATGGTATGTAGCTGAGTATGTTTTATTGCTAAAGATTCTTTTACTGCAGATTTTCAGATATTTTGTGCCAAGATATTACAAACTAAAAAGCTGTGTTTATATACACACACACACACATATATATATATATACAAAATTTACGTTTACTTGTCTTTTTTGTTTGTTAGCCACAAAAAGACTTAAGGCTGCAAGTGTTGAGTGTGGGGCCTTGTTCACATAACTCATGCATCCATTATGTGAATGGATCCTTTGTCACTTTGTGTTTGTTTTTTGTTTGTTGACTTAAATTGAAATTAAAACCAGATGACAAAATTGTGATGAGGCTGTGGAGTCTATTTGGGAGGAAAAAAAAAAATAGCTTTTACAACATTGTCCTTGAAAAAGGAAAAGCAAACAAGAAAGCTTTTGAGCTAGGAAGCTGATATTTGTGCCTTTATTGATGTGGCAAAGGATGCACAGAAGTGAGTGTTGCTCAGTGGGATGCATCAATCAATGACTGAAAACTGAAATCTGCAGTTATTTATCTTTGGATGCTACCTGTGCGTGGCCAAGCCCTGCCATGACTCCACCTCCCACCCTTTCCTAAGCCCCGGAAGCCACCACCCAACAAACACGTCCCCCCATCCTTCAAAGACAGTATTGCTCTTTGAAGTGTGCCATTAGTGGTTGGTTTATTTATTTATGTATTTATTTGAGTCACAATTGCCAGGACACCTACTAGTTATACAGTGTGCTTCTGTGCTTGGCCTAATGCTGTCAACATCTAACAGGGTGGCAAGCGTGCAGAGCGAGCCGGGACAGCAGAACCTTCTTCTGCAGCAGCCCCTGGGGCGGAAGAGAGGCCTGCGGCAGGTGAGAGCATGGGCAGGGAACAAACCTTCTCTCCTTCTGTTTGAGTTGGTTTGCTTTTTCTTGTCTGTGGCTCTTCTGAAATGATTTGTGGATGTGACATGTCGCTTTTACCTAATTTGTGATTTACTAGTGCAGCCCATTGAGTTAGCGGGGACCTTAGCACAAGTCATTGCTGTGAGGCCTGACAAACCCCTATGAGAGAGGTTGCATTTTATTTTGAATTCTCCAACCTTTTCCTCTGCAGGCTTTTTTTTTCTTAAAAAAAAAAAAAAAGCACACAAGAAACCTCACAAAAATAAACCAAAAAAACCTCTGGTCATACAGTCTGCATTGCAGAGTGAATGGACATCTAGCGGAATAGACAATGATGATCTGTTTTTCTTACAGGAGAGAAGTTGTGTAATATATGAACATACATCAGCCTAACTCTTTCTTCCAACATTTAGCTTCGACGGCCACTGCTGTCACGTCAGAAAACTCAAACTGAGCCTCGTAGCCGTCATGGAGCTCGACTTTCAACCACGCGGCGGAGCATCCAGCCAAAACCAAAACCTAGCGGTAAGGCACTGCTGCTTCTCCAGAACCAGCACTTCATCTTTGAGAGCAGAAAATACTATGTTGTTGTCTCAGCTTAAAGGAAAAGTTAGTATGTTGTTAGTAGTCTCTATTAAAGTGAAGTTCCAGCAGTTTTATCCTTTTTCCTAGTAAGTGGATAACCAATCAGAAAATCACCCCCTCAAAACACTTTGATAGTTTCTCCAAAGGCTTTCAGGGTGAAACTGGACATGGACAGTGGATTATCATGTCAGTGTGGAGAATCTAGGGGACAGGTGTCCTCTATTCAGGATGCCTTATCCAAAACCCCCAGATGTGCAAATTTTGAAGCTGCTATTGAAAGCAGCAGAAAGAAGGGAATTTCCCATCATTTGTAAGCTTAGCAGTGCAGAGCTGAAAGGGCAGTGAATGGAAATGAACACTGGACTGTTCTAGTCCATGCTGTATGTTTCCAGGAGTCAGCACTGCCCGGCAGAGCAGGGTGCTGCATTCGGCACCATCTGAAGCGAGCAGTTAACTTTGGAGGAAACACCTGGAAAAGCAGAGGTTGCTGGCAAGCTCTCTGGGTTTCTAACCGCTCAGCCAGGACTGTGCTGGGGCAACAGCACTACTGGAGATGTTTGAAACATTAAAGTTGATCTCAAATAATTAAGAGCAGGAGCAGGGATATCAGTTCCACTGCTAAGTTTTAGTCAAGCTGTCTTCACCCTGTGCTGTTCTGTTATTCGTGGGTAGTGGTCTCAGTCTGCAGGAATGGGGGGGCATTCAGTTGCCCTCTTTCTTTTCTCAGATTTCCTGCAAAACCTTGGGCAATCCCCTTATATATTTGCACCTCGGTTTTCCTTTTTTAGTTGAGGGCAGAAATGTCTAACTCACATGGGAATTCAATTCAGTATATTCTTCTGGGATAGAAAGATGTTATGGGTGGCATTTATTTCACCAAGACATAAAAAAGATAGGCAGGGTCTAGTCTTCAGGAGACCCCTGGCACTTGGTGTTGCTTTAGGGGAAGCCTAGGGTAAAAGGATTTGAGATTAGACTCCGATTAGACAGCTTATAAAGATGGAACCAATAATGAATCCTGTCTTAGTTGTGAAAACTCCAGGGATTCTCTCTCTTTCCTTGTTGTGTTTTCCTTCCCAAATGGTAGTATTTTAACACTCAGTTTTCTGGGCTTTGTACCCTTCAGCGGAGCAGAAGCAGTCAGTGACTTTCACTGAAGCCCAGCCTGAGACAACAGCAGCCTCCCCAGGGGACCCGTCGGCTCCAGCAGCCCAGCAGCAGGGCCCACCGCCCGCGCCGAGGTACGCCGGCCACGGCAGCCCCACGGTGACCAGCAGGCAGGAGCCGCTAGGTAAACCTGTGCTGACTTCCTCACCAGCCATCGTTGTAGCTGATCTCCACAGCCAGAGCAGCGGCCAGGTAACGTGACTGATGGTGTTATCATGTGTGTCTGTCTGCTGCTTCATCCAAGTTGCGGGTTTTTCCTGACACAATACAGCACTGTAACGAAAGCTGGCGAGGGAGTGAAGACAGCAAACTCCTCTGTGTGTCTGTTCTTCTGGCTGAGTTTGCTGTCCACCTTACCTCCCTGCTTTGTAAACCATTCACTTCTAGACCTATGCAATGATTCTTAATTTGCAAATGTATTCCCTGCATCTTCCCGTCACACATACTAGTCCTTCTGGACCTGCTCACCAGGGCGAGTTTTCATCAACAGGTTTTTACAGCTTGCTGTCTGAGAAGTGCATCTTTAAGGAAGGACTCCTTCAAACCCTCAGGACTGTTTTAGCAAAAGCATCACATTTCAAAAGAAATCACTTGTCCAACATTCTCCCGTGTCTGAGAACAGTGCAGAGACAATTACAGTCATCACTTCAACACAGCAGTGACACTGAGATCACTTTTATACACTCAAATATCTCATGTCTTTTGAGGGTTATCACAGAATGGTGGGGATTGGAGGGGACCTCAGGAGATCATCCAGTCCAACACCCCCTGACCGAGCATGTTTTTTTCCTACACCAGTTTGCACAGGAAAGCGTCCAGGGGGGTTTTGAACATCTCCAGAGATGCAGACTCCACAACCTCTCTGGGCAGCCTGTTCCAGTTCTCTGGCACCCTCACAGTAAAGAAGCTTTTCCTTAAGTTTGTCTGGAACATCTGGTGTTCCAGTTTGTGCCCATTGCCCCGTGTCCTGTCACTGGCCACCACTGAAAAGAGCCCGGCCCCATCCATTTGGCCCCCACATTTCAGATATTTATATATCTGTCCTTTGCCATGTCCTTTATATATGTCCTTTGCCACGAACAAATGTCTTGAGAATACACCAAAAAAAATGAAATGAGGAAGTGTTAACAACTGAAATCAGATAGCCGTTCTGATAATTGCTACCAACTTGATTCACCAGCAAAATATGTCATTATTAGGGAAAAATTTTAGGCATTTATAATCTGCAAGTGCCTGGCCCTTTATGGTAAAAAGTATTTCCGGATGAGAAAATATTTTATAGATGTTCCCTTGCTTTTCCCCCCCACTCTCCCTCTCACTTTCTCTGAGCCTGACCACTGGGTCTTCTCCACTGCAGAGCGAGGCCCTTTCTGCTGAGAAGGAGAAGGAGAAAGAGGAGGGCTTGGAGTCGCGGCCAACAGCAGCACAAAGCACCCCACCCACGCAGCTCTCTGACACCGAGGACTACGCTGGCCTCGAGACCACCAGCTTGCTGCACCATGGGGACACTGTCCTTCACATCAGTGAGGACAATGGGATGGAGAACCCCTTGCTGGCCACTCACTTCAGCTTCACGCACGTGGAGCTTGGGGAGACTGACGTTGATCTAGATGAATCTCATGTTTAACTCTTGGGGAAGTGCAGTAGTGGGAGGAGGAAGAGAAAGTGTACCTTATCCTTTGAGTTCCCTGGTAACTAGTAACTAATTAAAACAAGAGCACTTTATTATTCGAAAGCAGAAAATAGCTAACAGCCAGTTGCTGTAGACTGGCAAATTTCTGTTTGTGAAATCTGTTTCAGGTCAGGGCAAGACCGCAGGAGCAGAGAATTTTTAGGAAATTCTCAGGGTCGGGGTGCGTGGGCACATATGTGGTCCATAAAACCTTGATCTGGCAGCCATGTACTGTGATCAGCAGCCTCGCTGGGTGTGAGCGGGTTGTTGTACTGTGGGAGATAGGGAAGAGAAACCTCTTTTGAGATTGTGCCCAAGATTTATTTTTGTAGCTTTTTTGAGGAGGGTTATATAGCAGCTGAATCCAAGGCTCTTACACCTTGGTACTGACTGGTACTAACAAAAGATACCAGTCTAAAGCTTGATTTTCACAAGCCTGGGACCATTGTTTCTAACTTGCAGAGCAATGATAAGCACCATGGAGCAATTTCTTTCTTTCTTTTTTTTTTTTTTTTTTGGCACTGCAGACTTTAGTTGAGTTTACTTTTGTCTATTGGTTTCATTCCACTCTGTAAGATATTGCCCTTGTGCTACAAAAATATTTGCTCTGTAAAACTAAATACGGTACATACCGTAAGACGGAGTACACGTGCTGTGCACAGATATAGATGGGCAGGGGGTGAGTGGTCTGCAGATGGTATAAATAGCCCACGCTGTCCTGCTTAAATGTACCAATTAATTCATCTCCACAGCTTAAAAAAAACTCCCAAGAAACTGCATCTGGAATGTGTGGACCTCCCGGTACCTAGCAACTGCTCCACTGATGCTGCCGTATGTACTTAGGTATAGGGATTTAACGTAAATATTTATATACGGTATTTTCATGTTCCTATATATAAAAATATAAATATATATGTACATTATAAACAAAAAATTGATATTGCAGGGCAGAGACTTGATGAAAGAATCTATTTTTGGCATGTTGAGATTGTATTTAAAAAGGTTCCATTTTATGTACATAGTGTTCATGGCTGCAAGTATTAGAGAGAGAGAGAGATATATATATGTAACATTTATACGTAGATGGAGATCCCCGTGGGGGATCAGCTGAAGTCACAGCTGAGTTATGGACTATGCTGCAGCATCATGGAATTACACTGAAATGTGAATTTAGCCATTAGCTGTTTACGGGCAAACTGCAAAACAGCTGTGAAACAAACCATGAAATCATAAGCAACACCCAAAGTTACCCTGTGCTTTGGGAATCATATACTGCCTTTTCCAGCTTACGTTAGAAGAACTAGAGTTTATAATCGTGGCATTATTGTGCAGAGGAAGATGTTTTAGATCATCCTGGGAGTCTATAAAATGTGCTAATTAACAGTTTGGCTCCTGAGGACTTGCAATTTGGACGTACACATTATAAAACAGCCTTACTGAGGAGACAGAACAATATCCTCCTATCCATCTCCAAAGAAGGGATGCGCATCTCTCTTCAACAGCTCTGAAACAGCTGTTTAAAATACTGCCATACCGGTGACTGCCTCGCTGCTGTAGTGCAGCATGCAGGTTTCACTGCTGTGTGGAAAACAAACCGTACACCTGACAGCAGGTTTCAGCCTGTGCTGCCCCACATTTGCCAACGCTCAAATGTTACATGGGCTGTGCACAGCGATCTGAGGGGGGTACTCATGCACACTGAACCTCTGAAGGTAGCAAAAGCCATCCTTCTCCCAGGCTCACAAGTGTTGAGCGTGTCTGCTTCCACTGCACTGGTGAGCGATGGAGACTCTCAGCACCTCTTGGGAAAAGCAGGGCTGAAAAGGCAACTATTTTTATAGTGCACCACCTTTATCACCATATATATATATATATATATATAGGTGGTGCACCAATGCAACTTTAAAGTGTACACAGCTTGGTGAGAGATGGTTAGGTGAAGATGGCAGTGTCTCGATGTGCTGCTCAATGTGTGTCCTGAATGACAAACCTCTTACTCTGCTGACCAAAACATGCTGTACCGCTTCTTATCTCCTCAGCACATGGGAGCCAGGACCAGCCGCCTATAGGAGACTGCTTTGGATTAGCTCCTCACTTGGAGCTCACTCAAAGCATTGCTGAATTCCAGATGCTAAGTTTTATTATTAACAGTGACGCACAAATGAGAAAAAACACAGCTTCTCTTTCAAACCCCAAGGTAGGCTGGGTTCCTGGCAGTCGGGTGGGGGAGGAGAGCTTTAAACGTGAGCTGTTTAGGCTGGGACACAACACGTACAGAATTCATGGTGTGTTTTATAGAGTGACCTTTTCTGCTGAAAACAAGAAGGGAGCATCTTCCTTAATGAAAAGTAGATGCCTCGCCATGGTACTCCACTCTAACAATGAGAAAATAACTGTGATTTACTTCATTTAATTCAGTGTATGTAATAAATGTTTCCATTCAGGTTTCCCACTGTCACTGGTGAATCCGCAGTAGTAAGCCATAGCAAAGACTAAAATGCCTCTTTTTAATGTCTATCCTGATAGAAATCAATGCAGCTTATAAATGACGTAATGTGTAATTTAGTTTTGTTCAGGTGGCTGAGCAGATGGCTTTGATTTTGTTGGATGGAACAGAGAGGCCAGCCCAGCCAGTCTGTTTCCTTGTGTGTTTTCCTTGCATATTGCACTTGATGCTGTACTCACGCCCTGCGTTCATGTACTGTAGCGGGTTCTGTGCTTTCCTCCACTCTCTCTGTAACAGAACTGGTGTGTTTCTGCTGTGACGACAAATGATGCTGCTTAATTAGTGTTAGAGGCCTTAAGCGCATGTCACGTTCAACAAATGTGCACGTCGCGTGTCGGTCGGTCCCGTTGCCTCAGTGTTTTATGCAGACGTTGTCCTGAGGACTAAATACAGCGGAGCCTGACGGCAAACGGGGACAGAGTCCTGTGTCTGAGCCTCCTGCACCACACCGCGCCCCTTGCCCTCTCCCAGCGGCTTCCATACGCGGC